CTGCAACTGGTCAGTCTCTCTAATTGGCATATGTGCATACTGTGCGTATTGCCTCTATATAGTCTAAATTCACAAGCATGGTAAGCAAAGATGGATAGTGGTTAACGCGCGTTTCGTCCTATTTGTGACTCGTCAGCAAGATGTACCTGCACCTCAGGAGTTTTTATACAGCACTAAAGTTATGAATTTGTAATCTATACTTAAATAAGGTTATGTAAGCTAAGTTGTCTAAACACCAAGAATTCCACCTTTATAACTAGTGAGAATCGCAGCTTAAGGAGTTATATTTGCTGGTATTCATTCGTGGAATTGTTGTAAACTACCTTAAGCTCGCTAACAATGATCCTACCCAAGACACCACTGTATATTATTATTATTGTTATTACTAATAATATTATTATTATCATTAGAAATATGTGGAAAAACTAGCAACGACGGCGGAACAAGCTTCAAGAGAAGGAAATATGAAGCAACTATATGATACAACGAAGAAACTAATAGGTGAATATAGTAAACCATAGGGACTGGTCAAGTACAAAGAAAAAAAGACAAACACTGAACTTCAAGGACATAGAATCAGATCAGAAATCAGACATAGAAGTAACTGAAAACATGCTCCACCTCCTATTAAGGAAGATTTAAAAGGAAGAACAAGTGCCAGCGACAAACTGGGAAGAAGGATAACTCATCAAGATACCAAGGAAAGATCTGAGAAAATGTGAGAACTACAGAGGCATCACACTGTTATCAGTTTCACATCTGAGTGGAAGCACGGAATAAAATGGACATATCAGAATCAATTAAACGATTTGGACTTCGCAGATGACCTGGTCCTCCTATCCCATACACACCAGCAAATTCAGGTGAAGACAAATAATGTAGTAACAGCCTCTGCATCAGTAGGTCTCAACATATAGAAGGGAAATAAGAAGATCCTCAAATACAACACAGAGAACATCAACCCAATCACACTTGATAGAGAAACTCAGGAAGATGTGGAATCTTTCACGTATCTGGTAGCATCATCGATGAACAATGAGGATCTGATGTAGATGTAAATGCGAGGATTAGTAAAGCAAGGTCCGCATTACTACAATTGAAGAACATATGGAACTCAAAACAACTGTCAACTAATTTCAGAGTGAGAATTTTCAATACGAATGTCAAGACAGTCCTAATGTATGGAGCTGAAACGTGAAGAACTACTAAATCCATCGTCAATAATGTACAAGTATTTATAAACAGTTGTCTACGCAGAATACTCAACATTAACTGGCCGGATATCATCAGCAACAACGTTTTATAGGAGAGGACAAACCAGCTTCCATCTGAAGAGGAAATTAGGAAAAGACGTTGGAAGTGGATCGGACATATATTAAGGAAACATTCAAACTGCATCACGAGGGAAGACATAACTTGTAATCCGGAAAAGAAGCTGAAAAGGGGAAGGCTAACGAACACACTTCTTCTAGAATAGGAAGTAGATATCAAAGGGATGAATTAAAACTGGGAAGAACTTGAAAGGATTGCCCAGGATAGGGTACTCCACCACGAGGAGTAGCAGGCGTAAAAAGTATTATTATTATCAATGCCTTTATTCCACATTATTCTTTTTAGTACAATATGGAATTCTCAGGAGACTACATTCCAATAAGTTACTCTTACAAAAAAAAGAGAAACAGTGAATACCTATTTACATGATGTAAGTAAATAAACTACCAGAAATTTAAATGGAATACTTTTTAATAAGACAAGAATCTGTACAACGTTTAATTAGCAACACGTTTAAGAATACAACTTATTGACGAAGTGAAGTCTTACAATCTGTTCGTTGCATTTTGTACTTACTAGATAAGATATTGTAGAGTTTGTATAGTTTAGCGTACGGGCGAGTTAAATGATCTTTGACATTCACTTAGTATTGTTTGTTTGAATCTTCCCAATACTAAGTGAATTCAAACTTCATCCCAATGCACAAGCAAGTGGCTACCAGGACTCAGTAGCTGAGTGGATAACGCGATGGCGTTTGAAGCGAAAGGTACTGGGTTCGAGTTCCAGAGTGAACATCAACAAGTCTGAGATGCACTACATTCAGCTGACGAGTCCCAAATAGGACGAAACACGCGTCAAACTGGATTCCACTGCTAGCCACTATCCATATTATGATCTTTGACAATGTTTTCATTAGAGAATTTCCAATGGTACAAACTTTATTGGACTCCAACAAGGTGTTTAGGTGATGTTTATGTCTCATTCTAAGATTAAAAACATGGCACTTAGAAGGATTAATTTTGAGACCATTGAGAAAAGGTTATCATTCCAAAAGTGACAAGAACTTATTCATTTCAAGGAGGTTTGAAGAGGCAGAAATTGGAGTAGATACGCTGATATCATCCGCATACTTAACAAAAGCGATTTCTGTAAATAGATCATGCTAAAAAAACGAGAAAAGTAAAGAGGAAAGAATAACTCTTTATGGTACACCTTTTTATGCTAGTGAAGACGTAGAATACTTCCCCTCAAGCACAGTATACTGTTTTCTCTCAGGGAGGTAAGAACACAAGATCTAGACAAACGGGGAAATTAAGACTAATTTACCTGCGATTTGAAAAAACTGACTAGTTTGAGTATTACAAAACTACACTGCAAGAAAAAAGGCCAAACCCTCGAGACCAATGGTAAATTGTTTTGTCTCACCTTTGTCGAGTATCCCCATCATCATGATCTATATTTACATGTTTCATTTTAATTCACACTATCTAAACCTAATAAACAATCTTTTCAAAACGTTATACAAACGATTATAGAGTTTAGTGTATATCCAGTTTGGTCTATGGTCAATTAATCTTAATTTGAATTTGAATAGCCTTTCAGTTCATAGCTACCTAATGCAACACATCAATAATGTCAATAATGTGGTGTATGCTACTTATACGGACAGATAGAAGTAGTATATATCAGGAATTGAAAATGGAATTCCTACGAACAGAAGAGAAAGGAAAATAGAAAGTAATCGAAATAACAACAGATTCTGTAAGGGATGACTCAAAGAAGATGTCCAAATAATTTGCATAACACAATTAATTGAATTACCCTAACCAAATCATTGTTCACTTCAATAACACTAGATAAATCAAAAAAGTGGTCTTCAGCAGAACTAACTGTAACCACTGTATACATTTAAGTAAAAAAAGAAACTGATATAGTTAATTAGTACTCATAAACTGTAACCCCCAAATTCCCTGGTACGGCTGAGAGTGGGGAGAGTCCACTCTCCCTCTCCAAATGGTCTCACATGGCCACGCGTATATAGCCTCTGTCAGTGAAGTCCTAATCAGTGCCTTCCCCTAAAGAGGGTGTTCTCTACGAAATTGAGAGGAAGAAAAGCGAATGTCCAGCGCTTTAACCCGGTTGGCGGACACGGCGCATCCATCTAGGGGAGTTAGAAAACCCTGATTCCAAACCAATGGTGCACATGGGCTCCATTATCCTGTAGGAACAAATGGCGTATGAATCAATCGTTGGTGACCGGCTACCTTGAGACTGCGTCTCCTTACGTTGCTCCACTGTCTTGTGGATCATATCTTTAGGTCAAAGGCTTGAGTTGTGGCCGCCTAAGAAAACCACCTGCTACGGTTTGGGCACCTGGTCAGTATCACAGCCCTTACACAAGTCAAATGGGATTTGTGTGGCGCATATATATCTGGTGCCCCTTCGTACCGATATTTATGTGTTCAAATAAATAAAAATAAACTGTAAGTGATTGAATGGGGATTTGTGGAGGTTGTAGTAAGATTTTAGACACTTAATTTCATGAGTCCGACGTAAGCTAGATTGCTAGATTGTTCACCAATACATAACCACAATCCCATACAAAAGAAATTCAAACCCAGGACCTTCAGTTTCATATGTGAACATATAACCTCTAAATCACTAAGCTACCATCTAACAGTATGAATATCTAAAAGATGGTTTGAATAATTTTTCTGTTTAGCGTTTTTTTAGCGAGTTAGTTTTCTACGAGATGGGGTCGCTAACCCCATGGCCAAACCCTATTCTTATATCCGGGCTTCGGACCTGCAGTAGCCTCTAGAGATGTTACAGGCGTAGTTATCTTAAAGATAGGAATAACAAAACTTTATTTTTCATAGTTGAAATGAGTCAATTGAAATTAGACCACTATGGAAAACCTGGAAACACTGGAAGGCTGTTTCGTCCTATTATGAATCTCCTCAGCAGTGCGTATCCACGAACCCTCGCGAAATCCGAATCCAGAACCTACCAGTCACGAGCCAGAGCACTTAACCGAGCACCTAACTTAACTTTACTTAACTAGGATGGCATCTAATCACAACAACAACAACAATCTACACATTCATTTAGTATTGTTTGTTTTATTTTTTCAATCGATGTGTTAACACTGTAACTAGTCAGTCTGTAATTGGCATATGTGCATACTGTGCGTATTGCCTCAATATAGCCTTAATTCACGAGCATGGTAATCAGAGATGGATAGTGTTCACTCTGGGACTCGAACCTAGTACCTTCCGATTCAAACGCCATCGCGTTATCCCAAAGTGAACATCAACTCTGAGATGCAGGTACATCCAGCTGACGAGTCCCAAATAGGACGAAGTGACGCGCGTCAAACTGGATTCCACTACTAACCACTATCCATCTCTGCTTAACAATCTACACAGATATTAATCATTTCAAGTTATCTATTGCATAAAATATCTCTTTAACAAATATAATCAATAATTCAAGAGATTATGATTACCGCTCATATCAAGTTGAAATGATCATTTAGATCAAGATTAACCCTATTCATATAAATAGAAGTATTATTATCATTACTATTATGAATACTACTATTATTATTATAAGTAGTATTTAAGAATAATCAAAACTAGTGAGTACAATTCATTGATATTAAAGCACTACTCAAAAGAAAAGAAAAAGAAAAGACAATTTCATTTCTACTCTTGGTAACTGATCAAATGAATATCATGTATACAATAAGTAGTTTAATACTATTACTAAGTCAAATATTATATATTACATGTATTTGGCATCCATCTAATTATCCAGTACATAATAAATATCCATATCAATTCAATACTTATTATCCAGCAAGAAAATATAATGAAGAACAACCTATGGTAGAACAAGTTAAAACAGTTAAATATCATGGTAATACATATAGACAAGTAATGGGTTTGAAATTACCATTTCATCAAGCTGAAAACTATTGTAATCAAGTATTTACATCTGAATCACATTTAGCATCTATACAATCAGATGAAGAATGGGTAAGTGAACTATGGTTAATTCATTTTAGTTTATATAATTCTGTAATGAGTTAAGATCATTGATAGAATAGCTGTCTTTTGATAAGTGGTCGAATACCTTAAAATCTGTTGTCATAATGATTACTAAAAATGAAATGTATGTTATCGTGCAATTAAGGTGGAGAGACAGATGACCCACCTGTAGGGCACATGGGCCCCATTATCCTGAGAGAATAATGGCGTATGAACCTATTTTTAGTCACCGGCTACCATGGGACTATATCTCCTACCAATGCTTCACTGCTTTGTGGATTAAACCTCTACGTCAAAGGCTCAAAGAGTGGTTCCTTGAAGAAACTAACTACTTCAGTTTGGAAACCCGGACAATATCTCAGCTCACATACAAGTTAAATGATGACTACTTTGTACCGATGGTTATGCGTTTAGGTTAAATAAATGAATATCGAACAAAAGGTCAATATATAACCTCATAATTTCCCTACGATATTACAATTATGGGCTAATTACATTGACTACATTGGCACAATAAAAATAAAGTAATACGAAGTAGATGATTGGATTACTTGTCAACTACATGTGTTGAGCATAAGGTCAGAGATTAGTAACAAATAATACTTGGAATAAAAAACAATATATACCCTCACATGAACGTTATTGCCCGTGAACTGATTCACTTTATTCCTCCTAATACCTGCTTCAGTCTGGGCACCTGGGCAGTATCACAGCCCTCACACAAATCGAATGAGATTTGTGAGGCGCATATGTATCTGGTGCTTCCTTGTACCAATATTTATGTGTTTAAATAAATAAATAAATCCTAATACAGATTTAGTCCCTAAACGTGGTCATATTTAGTTCACTTAAAAAAATGGATGCTTAGTATAATAGGAAGTCGGAATGAGCTATACTAATAGTACCATGGATGTGTTTGTGGCCATATACATTGCTGTTATGTGAGTGAAGAAATTGATAGATTAACCATACTACGACGAGTGGAGTGAAATCTGAACCTTCTATCAAATGCAGTCTTTATTTTCTAAAGCCTATGTGCCACACTATTGGTTCCCAGAACACTCAGTAATAAGCTACTCACTCAAGTTGTGTGGAACTTGTTCATATATAAACTGCGCTACAATACTATTGGTGAACTACCAAATACGGGTTGTGTTGGATGAATTCGTCTCAAGCGTTCGTTTATCCGGACAAACATTCAGGATGAAAAGAGGGGAAACAAAGCAGAGAAGGTGAGTAAGTCAACTCTTTTTGATATAGCGTGACTCAATATTTATAGCCAGACAAAAATAAGCTGAAGACATGTCATGAATAGGGTAAGTCAAGGCTAATAAGCGAATGATTGACAAGGTCAAAATGTGGCTCAAGAAGAATAAATTGGTCTGTCTAGAAGTTGGAATAACCCATATAGTCTTGACATAGTACTAGACAATACAAAATATTAAAATAGCAACTATCAGTGATGCTGAAAAGCACAGATGCTAATTTAGTGGTGAAGATACCACCAGTACTGTAGTTTGACAACTATTAGCCAGTAACACCTATATTCGAATCGTCCCTCAATCGGTTAAAATCAGAAGTCAGATGCGAAGAAATTGGAAAGATATATTTGATCCGTTATCAATATATCAAGAAGCGTTTGCTCTAATCTCCCTAGTGAACCTAGGAGCTGTTTCCCACGCTGGGTCGTAACGTGATCTGGTGTGGATGTATGACTGAACGCCTTCAGTTAAACAAGTCCACTTAAAACAATGTGGTCAGCATCCAATGTCGAACACTTAAAGAGCTATTGATTTTGGGGAATTATTTACAGCTACAGTGGTAATTAGGTTAAGGTAACACAATTGCTTTTAATGCCATATGAAGTGATACGATAAGCACAATTGGTACATACTTTAAATCTGATTTTTCTCATCTAAAATTAACTTGCTAACTAACCTGAAAACATTTTTTATATATTACAAATAGAAAATGTTATCAAAATGTTTTGGGGATAACAGTTTAACTAAAATATGGCTAGGAGGGACGGCAGACCTCGTGAATCATCAGTATATCGTTTTACAATGGTTTGATAAAACAGCTTTCAAATTCCTCCGGTTCCCAGATACAGAGAGGGGTCACTGGCAGCAAATCCTGAAGAACCGCCAGGGTTGTATCATTGGTAACTTGAAAAACAATGGCCAAGGAGAATGGAGCATTCAAGCTATGTCATGTGATGAACCGAAAGAGTTCATTTGCAAAGAAACAAATTCAGATTTCCAAAATAAACCATGGGATACTGAAAGGTCAAGACTTGTTTATATGCCTCAAGAAACACCGTTCCAACACTTTAATCAACCCCCAGTCGGTATTCTTTCATTGCATGGAGATATGTATCAACCGAAAATACCAACAGGTCCGAAGAAGTCAATTATTGCTCATGTATCTAATGTACAGACAGTAATACCGACAACAGATAGCACAGAACAACAAGTGCACCCAACTCCACCAGTTCAGCCCAAAATCAATAACAACACAATCACGAGGATCAATATTAGTGAGTCCAAACATTTCATAAAACCAACAAAAAAACCAAATAACATGACTGAACTACAAGCAACTACAATAAGTAGATTCGCAAATAAGAATGTGAAATTTGTTATAATCAAATCAGATGAGCCAAAAACAGTGCCCAAAGAAAGTAACAATGAAATAAAGTCGGAGCAAGGTAAAGAAACAAGTCCAGAAAACCAATCTGGACCCGTTACAATTTATCTTCAGGGTGTTTCCGTTCCAGGAAACGAGTTTAAGGAAGGGGCCCAATAATTTTTTTTCTTCCACCTGTTGATCGTTAACAATTAAACTGTGTGATTATGAATACTGTTTAGATGGGATTGGTTTAAATTTAATGTTTACTAGGTGATTGGTAAATAAAGATTTTCATTTCATCTGGTCGTTTTGCTGATTAGTGATTATGAGAGTTTTATGTACTGCAAGCAATAGAACAAGAAATAAGATTTGCTTAATCATACAAACAATCTTGCGATGAAGGCCTTCGTTTACGAGATAATCTATCTTAAAACTAGAGTAAGGAGATAAAGACGGAACATTTGGTATAATACTAAGCAAGAAACTACAGGGAGATCAGTACAGTTTAGTACTTCCAGTTAGCTGGCTACACGAAGGGAGTGATAAATTCGTTATAAAAATAGTTTTCTCTCATTTTCCCAGTAGTTGACTCTTTCTTGCATAACTTAAGACTATAATAGGAACGAATTTTTAAGTCGAAATCCATGGTAATTTGGTCCTACATAAAAATTAAGAAGTTTCCATAGATCTTATGCTGGTCTCATCAATAAATCGGGTTTGACCCGAATATCAGCAAAACTGAATAAAATCTAGACAAGTATAGCCAACTACACAAAACCATTTCATGAATTCACTTTCCACTAAATAGTGGATCAGAGTATTGAAAACCACTTCAATATTATCGCTTAAGAGTGGCCCCTTCTTTCTATGTTATGTTAAGTCAACCGGTTATCTCATATTACTGGAGAGTAGATCATATTTACACAGGTGTTTTGATAGTCTGTTTTTTAAAGGTTGGATAGTGTCCTACGGGCTATAGGTACCGACTTTTAGTCTACCAATAGGAAAATTAACTATCAACGGTTAGACGTTGTATGTGAGTCGCATTATATAAAAGTCTATTCAGAAACAAAGCGGGTTTGGTGAGATTTCTTTTCGGAGATTCCATTCCTAAAGCCTGTATATATGCTACATATATGTTCTCATAACAATGATTGAATGAATGTAGTGGGGAAAAAAATAAACGTACACAATGTCCATTTGTATTCAGGAGTTCGATCAAAAATGAAATAAGATTCTTATAGAAACTAGACAGAATAATAATTATGGAATTGTATTCAGTAATATGGTTAAATGAATAAAAATTACACATAGTTCTGGTTTTACGGTGTATAGCGAAGGCTTCAGTAAGATATAGAAAACGGATAAATTTTAATTTGCTGTTTCTATTTATCTCATAGATGACTTTAAACGATGGCTTTATCGGTTGTCGTGATAAGACGTTCTATGATCGAATTTCTACTCCAACTGTAGTGAACGAGAACTCAGATGAGGGAAAGTAGTTTATTGTTTAGTGCAAAATCACTTAGTTGCTTAGTAAAATATGGAAATCATACATCATTCACACATCTTCCTTGTGTTGTGTTTTAAATGTCCAATCATTCACCTAATTCTGATGTTATCTCGATTGCTCTCCGATTTCCTCACTCTTCTCTTCATTTTAATCTTCTGCTGGTGGGCATTCCACTTCTGACTGTTGCTACATACTACTTGTATCTGTCAACAAAAGCAGCATACATCACACAACCACTAGCTCGCTTTTTTAACCATGTAGCGTAGTTTTGTAACCTTCCTGCACAAAATGCGCACTGAAAAACCATTACAACTTGCCCAACATAAATAGGTGTACTGATAAACACAGCAAGCAAGTGAAACGCCATCGTTTGTCTTTTGTGTTGTTGATAATGATGCGATGACTGGAGTGCAGCACCCTCAATATTTATTGTCAACTGACTGTTCCATGTGAGTTTTCTGTGTAAGCACCGTTGTAACATGGAGCATTGTTAGTTAAGAGTCGATAAGCTGTTGATTTTATATGCAAACAATACTTTTATTATCTGCAATCATAAATTTGATTCGAATGTTTTAAAATATGTAATCTATAGAGCTTTCAGCTGCCAATAAAATTTGCCTTCGAGAAGGAAAGTGAATCTAACTCCGGCTTTCTTAATGTTAGAATGAAGAAAGCCGATGGAACGCTTTTACCAACAATCAGTCATAATAAATATATATTATAAAAGAATAATCTAACATATTCTACGTATACTATGCTTACTAGAATGGTATCCATTTCGCAAACAAAAATTTAGGAGACAATAGAGCAATTCTATTGAGATAATAAAGGCTGCCGATAGATTTCATAGAATACTTCCCGACAATGAACGAATGATCATTTATGAAAACAAGCTACTAGATCATTAAATTACCCTAGCAGTGTGGTCTGAGCTACTTATATCCACATCAGTAGTATATAACGATGATCGGGCATTCACTGTATTTCAGTAGGAGATCGATAAGGAGAGAACGGGACACGATTAGTATGAAAATGTATGAACAATAATAATCGGAGACCATGCACCGATACTTGCAGCAGGAATGGTTAAGATTCAGACAACTGATTGGTAGTTCGCAAATTAACTGTATACTGTATGGTTGTCAGATTTTAATGAGATAGTCTGTAATTTTCGTGTCGAATACATTCGATTATGTCCACTTGTCTTCTTGTTCACTACATCGGAAGTCCCAAAAAACTTCGTCAACGTTTTCACTCGATGAAAGTGTTCATTGAAAATAAAGGGTTCTGTATTGCACAAAGGATTACAATACGCATCTCATATGAACATCAACTAATTTCAAAAGATGACATTCGACTATATGGAATTATTCTACATAAAACACTAACAGTATGAGGTCATATTCAACAAACCAACTGTTCTACCTACTTAAGAATACGAAAATGTAGTTCTATACATCACTATTAGGCCAAATGAATGAAGATCTATACTCATCGATTGTACCATCACTCTTAATAAATATTTACTAAAATAGACCACCATCACATTTGGAGGGCAGTTATTTCTTATCTGATTTGAGGAAAGTTCTCCTCAGTGGTGTAGTCCACGAACTTGGTTTTTCAAACAAAACGTAGTCATGTTCAAATGTATGTTTTTTTTAAATTTCTTATCAATTTCCAATAACCAGTACCATTGTCTATCAACCTTATGGATCATTCATTCAATCAATACAACTTGGAGTTGTCTTTTACCGAACCAATGGTTGGAGACTCTAGGTGATATGGCCCAGAATCTATCACAATGGCGTAAGGTGTATACACTCTTTATCTTCTCTTAAACCGTGAGATTGAAATTGCTTCATATCTGTCTTTTTTCTTGTACTATATCCTTATATACAACCTTTCTTTTATATATTACCACCACTAAATTAACTACTTCTATGAATTCGGTGTTTATCTTGTTGTGTTAACGAGGTATGGCAACTTGAACCAATGCATATATGTGCCTCAGTGGTCTTGAGTGTTGTTAGACGTATGAGGGCAGTTATCACTTCCCGGCTGCCCACACCGTGGAAGAGTTCTTCTAGGGGTACCTGGAAAGGAAATTCGTTTAGAAGTGGTCTTAATGACCTGAGAGCGTGACCGCAGTGCCCAAGGGACAACTGATCGAGGTCGGTCACACACGACCTTTCTGTGGGTAGTTTTTGTGTTAGCTCCGTTCTTCAAAAAAAACCTTACCGCCGGAGACGGATATCCGTAGTATATAGCAAGGTGTGCATTTTCAGGGTCGACCTTTTCTAACCCCACCCCTCCTTGTGGGAAGGCAGCATCGCTGTTATGCTGGTTGTCTGAAGGAAACACCTTACTGATGTCACACCTCTGTACAATCAGCAGTACGACTTCACCTTCAGACCTTGGGTTTGCTGCTTTTAGTCTTACCGCTCTTCAACCGACCTGTCTGGCATGGTAGGACCATGAGAAACGATTGTTCCAGCCAGTAAAGCTCGATTGGTTTACCACGATAGGCAAGACCGACCACCACGTCAAGGTAGCAGCAACGTTGTAGCTGACTAACTGACTGACTGACGTCTGTGTATCATGGACAGAATACTTAAAATAACACCAATTTGGTAAATAATTAAAGTCACAATTCAAAAAGTCTGCCAAGTTGTAATTGACAACAAAAAATTTTTTTCAAGCATCAAATACATTGACAAGACAATACATAAGTCGATATGTACAATAAATTACAATACTAAGAAAAATTGCATTTGCCAAACAAGTTAATTCTAAGCATACATCTTTCCATGTTTCTAATCGACCAAATAATAAACATAATACAAAATGTATAAGACCAGTTCGTCGTTTACGTTTGGATGAATTAGATTTACGTTTCACCATAAATTGTGTTAAGTTAGTAGGTAACTGACCACTTGAATTAGAATCAAGTGTATAACAATTAGGTTTATAATGACTAACACTTGATAGATAACTTAAATTATCATCATCCCGTTGACCGGATTCAATCATTTGTTGTTTCATTGGATTGTAATGAGTTGAATACATATTGGAAGATGTATATGAATGTCGAGAACCAATAGCACTGGGTGAGATATTACTACCACTTAATACAGATGGTCGAAATACATTATTATATTTGTTTGTTGTTGAAAATAATTTTGTATCAGCTAGCTCATCTTCAAGAGATCTTCCACTTGAGTTGAAAGAGTTCATTGTATAATTTGTAGAATGATGACTTGGTGTTGAATAATAACTTATACTATCTGTAGATTGTAGACATGGTAACTTAACATTACTAGGCCATGTGTCTTTTAATGTTTTCTGTTGAGATTTACAATCTTTCAAGAAAAATGATAACCATATTCGGATTCCATAAAGAATGATAATGAATGAAGCAAACAAAATAAAAACACCTAATAGGGTAATATGGGTAGATGTAATGGGTAATTTTATACTACTCATTAAATTGAAACTATCAATAATTAGCGACGACGATGATGATAAGAGAATATTTAATGAGATTAAAAGCATCGAAATATCATACAATACGACCAGTGTTTTTAAACCATCATGATAGATTGAATAATGATATGATGTATTATGTTTGTTACCAAGTCGTAAACTACTCATAGCAACAAGGGTTATTTGTAAACAAATCAATAATAAATTAAACCATAATTGACCTGTATTAGTAAGGGAGAAATGTTGAGAATAAGCTAAAATCTCATTACAATATTGTCGTGTATAGAATCGACAATTACTAGACCAAAATAGTTCAATTAGTTTATATAAGTAAGATTTATTCTTTGTCACATAGATAAGGCATGTTTGTTTACTGATTTCAATTAGAATAGGACTAATTATAATACATATAAAGCATAATATACTAATCAAACGTAAAATAATAAACAATTCAAACCATATAATGATTTGACGAGGAGTTTTCAATGAGACTGAACTTTTTTTTGTTATGGAGATGGTTTGTTGTTTGTTGTTATGCCACCAATCAATGAAACTTGGTAATAATTTGTAATCTAACTGTTAGAAGAAAAAGAAGACAAAGAAAGTCAAGTAAAGTAGTTGTTGATAAGAACTATTTGAATGAATAGTTTTTATAGTATTTAGTTGCTGAGTTAATCTAAGTAATTGAATTTGAAGTCAAAATCCAACGACATTAACACTGTTGGATGCCGGCTCAGTGGTCTATCGATTAAGTGCTCTGGCGAGAGACTGGTAGGTCTCAAGTTCGAATCTCGCTTGCGAGGCGGGATCGTGGATGCGCACTGCTGAGGAGTCCCATAATAGGACGAATCGGCCGTTCAATGCTTTCAGGTTTTCCATGGTAGTCTAGCTTCAATTGACCCATGATTTCAACTATGAAGACAAAAACTTTGATCTAAATTTGAATGTATAGTTTTTTATAGTATTTAGTTGCTGAGTTAATCTAAATAATTGAATTTGAAGGAAAAATCCGACGTTTCGCTCGGTAATCTGGTCCAAGCTTTTACTCAAGAAAACATAATCAAACATTAAAATCATTGACAGTTTTAACCAGTACATTCTTCCTCTTTAATGTCTTAAAGTAATTGTCATTGATTCATTGTCAGTGAGAGCTGTGATACTGCCTAGGTGCCCAAACCGAAGCAGGTGGTTTCCTTAAGGGCCACACCCGGAGCGTTTGACCTAAAGATCTGATCCACAAGGCAGTGGAGCAACGTAAGGAGATGCAGTCTCATGGTAGCCGGTAACCAACAATAGGTTCTCTCAGGATGCTGGAGCCCATGTGCACCATTGGTTTGGAATCAGGGTTTTCCAACTACCCCAGGTGGATCCACCATATCCATCAACCCGGTTAAAGTACTGGACATTCGCCTTTCGTCCTCTTAATTTCGTAAACAACACACCCGCCGCGAGGAGGCAGTAAGTAGGACTTCCATGGCAGTGGTATGCACGTGGCCATTTGAGAGCATTTTGATGGGGAGAGCTAACTCTCCCCACTCTCAGTCGTACCAGGGCATTTGAGGACAATCTAATTACATTAATCTGATGTAACCAGCACTACTGTTAGTACTTCGCTAAGCTGGAGTAAGGCAAATAGAAATACAAGTGGAACTGTCAGTTTAATTCCAGCTTGAAAGCAATCTGAGGACAAACAAAAGTCATAACAACGATACTATATCAAAATTAAGAGTTTCAGAACAGTTCAGGCGCTGAGGAGCCAATAATAAGCTTGCATAAATGAACAGCCATTGAGATCTATTTTATGGGACAAAAAACAGTGACCTTATATAATACGACAGAAATGTGGTAAAACGGGATACAACAAGGTTAACTGAGGTGCTTGAGGTCACTAACTTTTAGCCTGAGCCATGTTGGTAGATGCAAACTACTTGGTTGGGGTACGCGTGACTATCTTAACCAATGTTTGGAGACTCTAGGTAACATGACTCAGAATCGATCACAATGACGTAGGTGCATACACTCTTTTGCCCCCCAATGCCCTGATACTGCTGAGAGTGGGGAGAATTAGCTCTCCAAGGCCACGTGCATGCCACTGCCGAAGAAATCCTACTCACTGTCTTCTCGTACCACGGGTGTTGTTCACGAAAGTGAGAGGAGGATGTCCGGAGCTTTAACCGGGTTGGTGAACACGGAGAGTCCATCTGAGGGAGTTGGAAAACCCTGCTTCCAAGCCAATGGTCCACATCGGCTCCAGTATCCTAAGGGAACAAATGACGTTTGAATCAATCGTTGGTCACAGAGTTCCATGGGACTGCATCTACTGGGCACCCGGGCAGTATCACAGCCCTCACACAAATCTCATTTGATTTGTGTGGCGCATCTGTATTTGGTGCCCCCTTGTACCAATATTTATGTGTTCAAATAAATAAATAAATAAATCCTTTAAACCATGAGATTAAAATTGCTTCATATCTGTCTTTTTTCCCGTACTATATCGTTATATACAATCTTTCTATTATATATCACCACTATTAAATTAACTTCTATGAATTCGGTGTTAATCTTGTTGTGCTGATGAAGTATGGCAACTTGGATCGATGCATTTATGTGCCTGGTCCTACGTTGTAGCTGACTGACTGAAGGTTGACTGAGAGCACGTTTTCAGTGACTGTTGAGTTTAGGGACGATGAGATGTTTATTCTTAAATCTTGTAAGTAATAATAACCAATACACTTGCAGCTTTTGTACAATAACCTGAAATTAAGTAAACTGATTGAGTGGAAATTGAAAATCGTAACTTTAAGGTTGACAATGCTAATTTGTAGAAAGCTAATACATTTAATCTACAGTATGAAATAAAAGGTCTGGTAAGCGAAAATCTAGCCTCAAACGTTTGTAATCTTGACGTTTGTCAAAAAAAAAAAGAAAATGAAGCATAAAGAACTTGTAATTGTGGTTGTAGCTTTATTAACCTCATCCCTTCAAAGACAAATTGTCCTAGTACTCTTATGAATTTGCAGATTGTTGTTTGGCACTTGATGGATTTATTCAGGATCTATAGTAACTTTTGTTTCCAACGAGGAATGCTGATATGGAAATTTTTATGGACGGAAAATCGGGGTAGTTACGATTGAGACTAGTAAGAGCGTGTCTCAGAATTTGACGGCTGGTTTTAATGCACTTTCTTATTCAATAGCGAAACGCCAAATGCCATGGTACGACCGAGAGTGGGGAGAGTCTACTCTCCCTCTCGAAAGGCTCTCACATGGCCTTGAGAATATATAGCCTCTGCCAGGGAAGTACTACTCACTGCCTTCTCACGCCATGTGTATTGTTTACGAAATTGAGAGGACGAAAAGCGAATGTCCACAGCTTTAACCGGGTTGGTGGACATGGAAAGTTCATCTAGTAGACTTCGAAAACCCTGATTCCAAACCAATGGTGCACATGGGCTCCAGTATCCTGAAGGAACAAATGGCGTATGAACCAATTATTTGGTCACCGGCTACCATGGGACTGCACCTCCTTACGATACTCCACTGCCTTGTGGATCAGACCTTTTGGTCACAGGCTCCGGGTGTGGCCCCCTAAGAAAACCACCTGCTTCGGTTTGGGCACCCGGGCAGTATCACAGCCCACACACAAATAAATGAAATGATGAATTCTATTGACGATACTATTCCTGCTAATGCTAGAAGCAAGACAATTTACATTATTATTATTACCTTTATTATTATTATTATTATTATTATTATTATTACTTACCATATCGCTAACTCACCCCCTTTTATCCCCAAGTTGTGTAACCTTACTTTTCAACTTATGCAGCAGCTCGCCCATGGTGGAAAATCTGTCTTATCTAAACGATCTCCAGTCACTGTCTGGTTGAAAGTGAATGCTTCCACCGATAATGAATACTGAAGCAGTCTTTCTGAAACCACGTACGCCGTTCAAGCTGGCTTCCTTCAACGTTCGCACACTAATGCAGATCAGACAACAGATAGGGCTGGCTATGTCTTTGGAAGGTCTTAATGTTGATGTTTGTTGTCTATCCGAGAACCGCATTCAAGACTCTAGTGAAGTAATACAAATCCGCTCTCCATCTGTCTCCTCGAAAAGCTTGTTCCACGTGCGCTTGTCCGGGAACCCTGTGGCATCTTCGTCTGGTCTTGCTGGCGTTGGTGTCGCACTAAGCGCTAGGGCTGAGGCAGCACTAACCGATTGGATCCCCATTAACAGTCGGTTATGTACTGTTAGATTAGAAAGTTCCATCAAAGTGAGAAGAAATCGGCGTGAGAAACGGTGTCTTTTCGTCATCTCCGCCTATGCCCCGACAGATTGCAGCCCGGATGCAATCAACGATGACTTTTACCATCAGTTAACAGTTCTCCAGAAAGCGCGTTCGACAGATATTGTAGTACTAGCCGGAGACTTGAATGCTCAGGTCGGGCGTCTAGGCACAGAAGAGAGTCGTTTAATTGGCCGATGGGGACTTGTTGCTCGCAGGACAGATAACGGGGACAGTTTGCTGCAACTGTGCACAGACCACAACCTGTTTCTGGCCAGCACTAACTTCCGGCACAGTCATCGCCGGTGTGCCACATGGCGTCCTCCCTCTGCATCCCAAGCCTGGACTCAGATTGATCACATTGCGATCAGCTACCGCTGGCGTGGTTGTGTACAAGACTGCCGCTCCTTTTGGAGTACCTATCTGGAGTCTCATCATGCCCTGGTCTGCGCCAATGTCACCGTACTTTTCAGTGGCCGAAGGACTGACCACCACCAACGGATTGATGTTAGTAAACTGGCTGCAACTTCTGTTGCAAGTACGTATCGTGCGGAGCTAGCCTCTAGGCTAGCTAACACTCCACCGAAAAGTATAGATGAGCATTGGTTGCTTCTTCACGACGCCATGAAAATGGCGAGTAAAGCCGCTCGCGGCTTCGCGAAACGTCCCGCTTACAAGCACTGGGTTTCTTCTGGCTCCTGACAACTGATGGAAGCCCGTCGGTCTACTCCGGGTGACCGTGAGTTTGACCACAAACGAAGGCTGTTACGTAATGAAATCGGGCAAAACTTGCGTAAGGACCGGGAAGCCTGGTGGTCGGAGCGTGCTAACGAGATGGAAGCAGCAGCTGCATCTGGTAACTGCCGGAAGCTCTTCCAACTCATTCGAGCCACTGGCAGCAAGAAGTCTGGTGTGAGTGAAAAAATCTACGAGGATGATGGGATGCTAATCACTAACATCTCCCGACGTCTTGGACGATGGGCGGAATTCTTCGAAGGGCAGTTCAACTGGCCTGCTGCTCCGGCAACATCAACCAGCTTGTCCTGCCCCCCATGGCCGGTGACGACTGATCCACCAAACGAGGCGGAAGTCCGCAAAAAGAACTCCAACTCTTGAAACGTTACAAATCACCGGGCCTAGATGACTTATCTCCGGCTCTTTTTAAAGATGGTGGTGACCTTCTGACTAAGGAATTGACTGTGTTGTTTGGAAAGGTTTGGGAAGAAGAAAGTGTTCCAACATCATGGAATGAGTCGATAGTCGTCCCTATCTTTAAAAAGGGTTCACGTTGTTCCTGCAATAACTATCGGGGGATAAGTCTACTTTCGATTGCGTCCAAACTATTGGCTTCTATCATTCTTCGTAGGTTGTTTAAAACCCGAGAACGATTGACTCGCGAGTAGCAGGCTGGTTTTCGTTCTGGTCGAGGATGTATTGATCACATCTTCACCCTCCGCCAAGTGTTAGAACACCGTCATACTTATCGCAGGCCAACAATCGTAGTGTTTCTTGATATCAGGGCGGCCTTCGATTCGTTGGACAGGACTGTTCTCTGGGATTGTCTATTGAAGAAGGGTGTGCCTGAGAAGTTCATTAACACCTTAAAGGCCCTGTATACGAACACCTCAGGCAGAGTGAGGGCATACAATCACCTTTCTCCCTTGTTTCATTCGAGCAGTGGGGTTAGGCTGGGTTGCCCGATCTCACCATTCCTCTTCAACTTTGCCATCGACGACATCCTGGAAACAGCTCTGATGGATGTAAGTAATGGCGGTGTGGATATGTTGCCTGGAGAACGACTTCTCAACCTCGAGTATGCGGATGATATTGTCTTACTGTGCGATAATGCTCAAGCCATGCAATCCGCACTTAATCAGTTGGCAATCAGTGTCCGCAGGTACGGCATGTGCTTTGCACCCTCCAAGTGCAAAGTACTCCTACAAGACTGGCAGGATTCTCATCCTGTACTCACCCTGGATGGTGAGCAGATTGAAGTAGTTGAGAAGTTCGTGTATCTAGATAGCTATATAAGTGCTGGTGGTGGTGTGAGTGATGAGATTGATGCATGTATTATGAAAGCCAGAGCGGCTTATGCCAATCTGGGCCATCTTTGGTGTCTTCGTGATGTTAGTCTGGCTGTAAAAGGTCGGATCTACAACGCGTCGGTGAGAGCAGTTTTGCTCTATGCTTGTGAAACCTGGCCTCTCCGAGTTGAGGATGTTAGACGACTCTCGGTGTTCGATCATCGTTGTCTTCGAAGGATTGCTGACATCCAGTTGTAACACCATGTTAGTAATGCAGAGGTTCGGCATAGTGTGTTCGGGCGCAGAGATGATAATTCAATTGGTGTCACCATCTTGAAACACCGACTTCGGTGGCTTGGACATGTTTTATGAATGTCGTCCCAGAGACTTCCACGTCGTGCATTATTTGCCGACCCCGGGACTGGTTGGAAAAAGCGGGGAGGAGGTCAGTGTATGACATGGTGTCGTGGCATGAAAAAAAGCTGCAAAGGGCTAGCTTCTGTTGGTCCTTCACGACTCCCTGGCTGGGGTCCGAGAGATGGTGCAACACAGTGGCTAGAGACGTTATCAGATATGGCTCAGAATAGAAGCCAGTGGCGATCCTGCTGCAACCTTCTTTTACTTTCTACATAAAGAATGGTTCTAACTTTCTTAACTGAAAGAGTCTTCTGGTTGTACATTTCAGTCCGCCTTATCTTTTCATCCCTTCTCTTCCTATTTTCATTATTTTGTGTGGCGCATATGTACCTGGTGCTCTTTTGTACCAATATATATGTTTAAATAAATAAATAATAAATAAATAGCGAAATACAGGAGGCTCAACATTCGAGACTGTGGCGGCAGTATGCTTTAATAAATTGGACCTTAAAAATCCAGGTGTTGTAAAAAGTAACAATATGAATAGGTACTTCATTTGTTGTACTGAAAAACAGCACGTCTTTTAAGGTCACACTATCTAGCGACGGCCCAAAAACATCTAGTTCCTTAAAAAACAAACCACCAACTCTTTACAGTTCTTCACGTTGCACTTATTGGTGTGATAGGAATGCGTGAGAGGTTTAATCCTCACAAAATGAAAATAAAATCATAACCGTAAACAGTAGGTATCAAGGTAAATTAAATTTGAGTGACCTCGACTTAACATTTATGCAATAAAAAATTGCAACCTACCTGCCTAAGTTTATCATTAACTTTTCGATAGCAACTTGAACACAAACCATATTCCAACTCTAGAAGGCGAGTGTATTCTTTTATTTCCTCATCCGATCTGTCATTTTTCGGAGTATACTCCGACAACTTTTGAACAATAGTATTTTGATTACGTGTACAGTCCGGACACAATACATCAGAATGTGATGAAAACGTACCGCGAGCCTAAAGAGATCAAGGGTAAATATAGATCTTACCTTACTGAAATTAACTGGATTTAACTCGGCACTGAACTGGGATGGTATGACTTTATTGTAATCACCATCACTTGTAAATCCATTATACTGACCACATTGTTGACAAACAAACGATGTCTTTCTACTCCACGATGTTGAGGCAGTATGCCCACAAAACCAACACTGAACTTTCAAATAAAAAAACCTGACTATGAAAACAGTGAAGGCACTAAAAAGTCCCAGACACAATGCTAAAACCAACATCCTGGAGTACAATGAGAAACTAGATTGTGTGTGGTAGTAGATGATCGATCAATCAATGATATAATCTTCAGACCAAAATTAAACTGTTTGCATCTTCGATAATAAAAGAAATCACCATCAACTCATGTCCATGAAAATAATTTAGAATCCCTTCGGTAGGTTGGAGTCTAGTTTTGGTTTGAAAAAGACAAATGGCTTGTGTTAGTCCTGTGAATGCTGGTCGCGTTTGATCCAGCTTCCTCTTGAAAGCGCCGACAAAGCTTCAAACACGCATTGAATTAACGAGTTCCATTCTCTGATGATTCGACGGGAAATTTGATAATCAGATGAATTCTTAGTATCCTTGTGAATTCTGTATTAGAAGACAAGGAAAATGAAGGCTTATCAAACGCAAATTTATCGTGAATTTGAAAAGTGTGACCAAGTCATTTCTGGTCAAAGGAAATAGGTCTAGTTTACCTAGTTTATTGTCATACATGAGCCTTTCGATCCTCAGAATCAGCTTAGCTGCAGTTCTTTGCACCTTTTATAACAGCCCATTATATTTTTTAAGCAGGAGCATGGACATGGTTAATGGGTATACGTATTGACTATATGATCATAGAACCTTCAGCGACTACTGCACAGTAGTTTTTAAGCCTTAACTAACGATGACTACTAGGTCCTTGTGTCTGGACAACAGGTAGCTCAATGTTACTCACTTTGTATGTATCTGCGCCCTGATGACCCGTATGCACTATAATGCACTTTAAGGCATTTATCGGCAACTGTTACATTTTAGAATATTCATATTATCTTTGCGTTATTTTGAAGCTGCAAACTGTCACAATCTTTTATCGCTCTCCAAGTTTTGACATCCTCAATATATAACAAAACAGATTATACGAGACTAGGAAAGTCACCTCTATGTTGGAAGGATAACAAAGGCCACAAAATTGTACTGAGGCACACTGCCAAAGTCTCCGGGCTAGACAACTTGGAGTTAACCAGCACTCTATGTTGACGCCCAACTAGGAAATTTATTATCCACACACATAAGTTGCTCCCAATACCGATGTGACTTAATTTAAATAACAGCCAGTTGTGTGGAACTTGGTCAAAAGTATTACTGAAGTCAGTGACAGCTACATTTATAGCTGACGTTTGAGTTTTAGAAGCACACAGGCTACTAGTAAGTGAGAAGTGAATAACCTGTTATATATCACTACTGCTTTTCAAAGAGAGCCGGGTTTCGGACTAAATACTTAAACAACTTCCGAATAATAGTTTTCTAACTGAAAGCAGTCTAAATGAGGTGAAAACAGTAGCCTTGATGTGTTAAAGACGATAAAAACTAGATTTAACTAAGTGAGGGATGTCAAGAAACGGTTTTGAAGGGGAGTTTTAGTCGTTTTTATCTAGCCAGAAGGTACTGTGTGTACTACGGAGGCACGCAGAATAGCGTGAGTGAGGACTGGGATATGTGAAAGGAAAAGGTTAGTCGACGACACAGCAAGCGAACACAATGCACTTGCTTTTATGCAGGAAAACAACAAACAGCAATTAGCAGCAACATAAGCCTCAGATTATGGCAATCCTAGAATCGAGCACATGGTTTAACATAGCATGACTTCAAACGAGTCACAAGGTCGCGGCGTTTTGCAGCTAAAATCAAGGGCCCGGGTTGTTTTAAATGACTGAAGTTGGGGCGTGGTTTTCGGTCTGGCAATTTTAACGATTCAGACCCCATTGTTTTCGAAATTTTATTTAATTTCGAGTCAAATTATCCTAAAGAGTAAAATATAAATCAATTCTCTTAGTACGCTCAAAATTTACACAACTACTTAATATCCATAAACTTCTTTTCGCCCGAACAACACGGTTTCAGAGAAAGTTAATCTTGTATAACCAACCAACACGAACCCTAGGGGTGATGCCCGGAAACTGGAGACTCAACACAGCAAGACTGTAGACACACTTTCTACTCCTTAAGAGTATTCAAATGTTGAAATTCGCTGCCGGTTGAAATAGTCCAAGAGACTTCCCAGGACACTTAAGAAAAAGCTTGACATATTCTTGAGGACTGATGTTAGCACCTCACTATAATTTACGAACTGCTCTCTTTTTTCCCTCTCATTGTTAATATGCCTAGGTTCTTACTTGGAGGTATCGGAGATCCGCTGTTATTAGATATGGAACCCCGTTAGGTGAGAGCTTCTTCGATTGTGTTCACAACCATTTGAACCATTTGAAATATTCTACTATTTCTTTCACCTAAACTTTCCGCCAGTAGTCATCATTGAAATGATTCATGTTAAAAAGGATTATCACGGAAACAAGGAAGCAACTAACACCTTCGGAAAGTGAATGTACTGTACAGTCATTGGATGCATCGACGACGGAGTGAAGCGGACAAAAGCCAGTCAGCTTACACCACGGAAGTTGGACGCTACCGCAGTAGAGCATGAAAAAAGAACCATGCGAGGGGTCAAATTTTACTCAGCAATTCTAAAGAGTCGCCTGAGACTTGTTCGAAAAATTTCAATAAGTACTTCAATACCATTAACTTTTATCTAAGACCGTTTAGATTCGGAGAAGTCAAAGGGTCTATAGCTGCTTATTCACCTTGTTCATGATTGGAGGAATCTGCTGCCAAGCATATCCTAGAGGAAAATGGGCTAGAATCACATACTTTCCAAGCAGTTAGGTTAGGTGAACTAAGGGTAGAATGCATATCGAAATAATCCTCATAGGGAAATGGTTTTGATGTAAATATTGTGTTGAAAAATACAGTATCTGTGACTGATCACTTAAAGAGAATAAAGGTTCCTACTACGCTGAAAAAATGGTGAGTGAATAGGGAGAAAAATCATATGAACTAAGGTCCTTAGCAAATTCTTGGAAGGCAATTCTTTACACAATTTGCTGCATCATTCTATACCTCCCCACCTGATGTGCAGGTGCTATGGCGATTGAGGGTTCTGAAACCTTAAAGGGCGGTTAGTTAGCATCGATCATTTGCTCGAAGGACAGGCTAAGTTTAAGATCACATTCGAAGACGCGAAAAATCCATATAATAAAAAGTTATCTTTACTTTAGCTACCACGTTTCCTTCATGTATTGATGAGGAAATGGCAACAGCGACACCCAATTCACAGGAGTTTAACAGACTGAATGGTACCCAACCCTGAGTAAGGCCTGTGTTACATGGCATGTATGTCTGCAAGCATTTAGTTATCCAAGTACCAGCATTTATGTAAATTAATACTGATTTAAATTATTTACATGAGAGCACTGTTGACTTCATCATGACTTCTCTCACTTTGTTGAGTGCTTTCTACGTACCGTCTACAAGGACGACCAAAGTCCGAATCTTCCATCAACAGAACTTCTATTGACAACGACATTCTTTCGAGTCCAAAAATGTTATCATCCTGAATACATTATCTGAAAAGACTTATTCTTAAAATCATCGAAAAACTAAGTGAACAATTAAAAGCTTTATAATATCAACATGGCTATGTCTGCAAAGTGGTATGAAGCCTGTGAAATGTTCATAATACAAGTATTTCTATTGCTAGCAAAAGTTGAACACTTCTCTTTCATTCCTCTGAAATAACCAAATATTCATTCTGCCCTATACTCCAGCCTTTCTTTTACTAGTTTAGACATGTAGCATATCACGGCACACTGCACATTATTTCCATCAATCTGAATTTTATTTAAATATAGTTCATCATAGTGACGGTGTTGGAATATTGCCCAGTTCGATATTAGTACATTTATCTTTTTTACTGTAATAATAAACCTTATCCTAAAAGTTCATATTTGTCATGATGTGACTACCCAATCTATAAGATCTTGGAAGTCACATAATTCTCTACACTAAATCGTCCTAAAATGACAGTCCGTATTATGATGTTCAGCAATTCTGAAGAATATATTTTAATATATACTGGGACTTATCATAATGAAGTGAGTAATATATTTGATACAAAAAGATACAGGTCATATAGAATAACTATGCATCCAAGGCTCAGTCATAACATTCCAATCAGTTGCTCTCGCGTTTATCATTATTGACTTTCCGTGTTACATGTTGAATGTAAATTTTCTCAGTATCTATACGCTCAGCCTCGAAGATGGTTTTCTTAGAAACCAATACCATTACACTATTCTCCTACCAGAATCAACGCGACTTTGGTTCGATGCCAAATTTAGTGAGATAGTCGCGCGCCCGAGGTCACCAATAAACAGCAAGAATTCTCCAGGTATTGATAGACTGAAAAGTAAATCAAAAAGAAGGTGGCAGTAACTGATCGGGAAATACGCGTAACAATTCCACGATTCCTGGTTAAGTTATTGACGCTGAAAAATAAAAATAAACGTGAATGTTATTCAAGAGAGACAATGGGAGTCAAGGTAATTAACAATAATTTCGTGTAAAGCTATTCGAACAAGTCGCAGTAAGGTGCGTAGTAATAGTTAATAGCTCAGCTCTTGGGCAGTATAAATATTTTGTGGTTAGAAACAGAAAAGCAATCAATTTGGCGTCGATGTTGATAACGGTATCGCCTGTGATTCAAGCTAGCAAGTCAGTTGGTGATTATGCCTGTACACTATCTGAACGAATTGATTTCCAATTACATCTGCATTAGTTGGCTAACTGAAGGGACAAAAGTATGGTCGCGAAGAGGAAGAAATGCAACTACGGTCCCAGCAAGTTTTTTTAAGTTTAATACAGTTTATAGAGTCGCAGGGAGATTTTCTCATCCTCATTATTGCTTAACAGCGGGAGCATTTAATAAAACTACTAATACATATGAATGGTTATCAGAAATGCCTTGTATACGCGGACGTTTGGACAGATAGATCATAAAGTTCGTTAACCATGAGTGTTCCTGTGCAAGAGATATTTAAGGCTAAATGATTTGATATATATTAAACCAACTATTTATATGCGTATTTACCGGGTGATTGTGCATACAAGTCAGTTGCAAGTATAAAGTTTAGCATAAGACAAAAAATAACTTGTTTGAAATATAGTGACTAAATATTGTAAAAAACGACTAAGCTTATGTGCCACAAGTATAGTGACATGATGCTTTGCCGTGCTTTCGGCTAAATCAATTTTTACAAGGCTATGAACAGTGAGTGATTACTGAGGGGAGAGCAAAAGTTGTAACCTAGGGATGCATAACTATCAACTCAACGTTTGTCGCTACTGAGGTAAATTCAACAGTGTTTTCAGTTTGCAGGATATTTGCTCGGTCACTTATACTGTTGATTTTCTTGCATGATTATGTAGCTAAGGTGACAAGATTTCAAGATGTTTACAAAGAGAGTAACCGACAGAGAAACATACTGAAGTCGTCGATGATGGATGAACATAACCACGAGAAAATAACACTATTTGGTGGTAACTATGGGTCAGTTTATCGACCGAGTTTATGTTATTCGTTTCATTAATTTTATCTACCACATTACGTGATTACCAAGACACGAAAATGCTTGTAACGACCAAAATATCAACATTCGATTTGAAAGCAGAAGTAACGAAAAAATTTATTTTATTGGGCCAGATGGCGTTCTTCTTCACAGCGTATGAACAGTTTTTGAGTAACTCTTATTAAACTATATCAAGACACGAACCCTGTCGGCAAGGCCATCAGACAGATTAATTATGCAGAATTGACAGAACTAGAAAGCATGTATAATTTAGCAGTGTAGGCGGATACAGGAACAACCACAAAGATATTTCACATTATTTTTCGAACTACCCAAGAAAAAGTATAAGTGCCACGAGACTTAGAAGAAGAATGCCTTGTCTCGACACCGAAGAAATATGATATCAGCTAATGTGAGAACAACAGATATCACGAAAATATCAGTACTGGGAAAGGTTTAGACAGAGTTGATGAACAGGATGAGAGATTCGGTAGATGTTCGACTTCGTGATCGACAAGTCGAAATTCTTAGTGACGGGTCATGTACTAAATGGATTGCGGTAATACGCATTATTGTTGAACAACAAATGGGACTTATCAATATACTCCAACCTCTATGATCATTTGGATGAATTCAATAACGTGTGCATGGAGAGCCTTGCGGAATCGTTTTCAACACCATAGTGTGCATGAGAATATCGTCAACATGCTGACGCATAATCGTTCATGAAGAGTGACAGACAGATGCACTCAAGCGGAAGTTGGTGTCAGTCAAGGCTGCTTCTTCTCGCCTTTCCCCTTTATTCTGGTTGTTGACCACATTGTGAAAACTACCATATCTGAGAGGAAGCACTATATACAGCGGACTGTCTGTGGGCGACTGAACTTACCAGATTACTTATTTGTTCTATTCCATACACGGCAATAAATACAGATAAGGGCAGCCACTGCGGCAGCATCTTCCTTGGTGGTAGACATTAACATTCACAAGGTGCAAAGCAAGCTCACGAAGTTCAATATAGCTTGTGACAACCAATTTACATTTGATGGCGAGCGCCCAAAATGGAAGGATGGCTCCACCTACCTAAGCAACATCAATAACCCACAAAGACGATGTGATGCAGATTTTACGGCAAGAATTCGCGAATTAACATTGGCCAGCCAGCAGTTACACATTTCATTGTGGAAGTCAGTGTTCAAAAGCAAACGAGAGTTTAATAAGTTTGGATGAGTCAAACTTCTTACTGACGAGTAGGTATAAAATCCAAACTACGTTTGGGTGAAGAATAGCTGTCGGGAATAAGTAAGCAACGCGTGTCTCTCAATCGAAATCAGAACAAGGTGATTGGGGTGACAACGGTTCTGAATTTTATCATAAATACGAATGTACAACTTTACCTAAACAAATATTACCACCCGGTTATTCAACCAATAATTGTTCCCACAATATTCGATCTAAATTACAATAAATAGACAAATTGATAAGAAATATGAGAAAATTACCAAACGCTTCAAAAAATAAGTGTTATTCTATCCTTTCTGGATAGATCAAGTAAAACTCCGTTCAATAGGTTTCAAATTCTGGGAAAGTGCTCCAAAACACGACCAAAATGCACTATCCTAGTCAAATCAGTCAACACAACCAAAGAAGGAGCAATCAAAATGGCAGCCGCCAGGATAAAATATCAATTAAAACAACATAGATACAGTTCAAGAAGAAACATAGAAACCCAGTGAAAACAACAGAAAAACTGAGAAAAATATTATGAAATGAAACATTACAATTTCAAAGGGCATCAAAAAGATCAACAATACGTACAAATAAAAAATCATTAAGAAGAAGTTGCAAATGTATACACGGAGGGATTTTCATACACGAAACCTTCAAAATGGATCTTACGGTGGGCTGAAGAAGATAACTTCACTGTCGCTAAGCAAAGCTTCATGTTCCTTTTTGAAACCACTTTCGTTTTCATCAGCAAAAATATTCAGGGCCACTGGAATGTAATTGATTCTCAACCAAATCATTCAGAAGATAGTATCATACAAATACTTTCGATAACATTGTGTGTATTTGTTAGGGCTTGAAAAGTACCAACTCTGTGAAATTGAGAGTTGAGATAGCAGACTTCTTTCACAAATGATTTGCTAGACAAAGGACCATGTTTATGTGTGGATTTAGAGTGCTGCTATGGAATAGTTTGATCAGAGAAATGTTTTAAAATGTTGCGAAAAGCCACTACAAAGGAGTCCAGGACATCACCTGAGAAAAGGCTTCTTAATAGAGGCTCGTCATTGATCCCGAACAGTGAGTGAAAGGTCTTCAAAACTTCAGAATGTGAGACAGAAGTTTTTCGCATGTTCTATTCCGACACAATGATGTCGAGCGACCAGAGAACCACTTTAGGGTCATCAACGGTAAACAAGTGACCACCTTTGGCCGTATTAGGGAGAATGATCTTTCTGAATATAAGGCCTGGTATGTTTTCGTTCAACGCATGATGTAGGGCTTTAGGTCACTGAGTAACATAGGTGATGATTTGGTCATGCAGTTTATCCCTTTGTAATCATTGCTTGATTACTCAGGTGCAGACTGAAAGTTTGAATAGATAATTTGAACGTCGCTAGAAAAACACGTTCAATAAACACATTTGAAGCCTCCATTTCTGCGTTTGAAATCTATTTCTGAATCGATTTATCAGCTAATTGTGCTATGAACTATCTAGATGATCAAACAACAAACTGAATGCATTTTTGTGGATAATGGATTGATTTTAACTGTCTTTAAACTTTATTCTATACAAGTATATAAACTGAAGAAGAAATGCGACTTTCAAGAAACAGTGTTTCAAATCCTATTTGTTCACTCGGAATGCACTGTTAAACGCATGTGTCATATTGGCTGAGGGATAGTTGTACTTTAATTGAGTACAAAGAAGCTGATGACTTTGTTTGTTCCATGCTATGTACCACAATGACAACACAACTGTCGACAATGGATAACTGATCAAGTTAGGAAACTTCATAGATGTACATATCTCCAGGCTCAGAACAATAAGGATCCGCTTGTTGTAAAACTAAGAACGCTTGTAAAGCGTTGGTAAGTAAGACCGTATGTTCTTATCGTTATGATTTGATTTAGGCGGTAGCCAATGGTCATGTCTTGATCAAGGTCGTTGCTAATTTGTTATGACCTTACGAAACAAACAAGAACGTAGCTTGCGTGAACTATCCGCCAATAGAAACACGACTTCTACGACCTTCACACTGTGACAATGATGTTCGATTAGTATGAGTAATCTAGCATCCTTAATGGTCCTTAATCCGCCTAGCCCGTCCACTTGAGTCCAGAACACCAATAGCAGCCTCGGAAATATGAATCGTTTGTTTCAAGCATACTTTGTTTATATATCAGGCAGACCACATCATACCATAAAATAGGAATTATATCTGTACAAAACCAAGCCAAATGAGGGTGTAAGCGTGGGAGACAATAATCAATAAACTGAGTATAACATGGGAACTGTAAATCATATGATCACAATCAATAGGTCAAAATGAAGCTTACAATAATATGAATATAGATGTAGATAATCTGGTTACTGAATAGTTATACAATAGGAATATAAATAGAATAATAGTGTAATAGTAGGTCCTGCGAGTTACCCGTACTTATGTCTTCGCTACTACATAACACTTATGAAAAATGGTTGGTTGTAGAAATAGTTCTAAAAGGTTATAGAGATTCTCCTGCAACCGATTTCGAATACGGTTAAATGTTTTTATGCTATTTTATTAACTTATTTAAAAGGTATTATTATTCGAACAGTAACAGCTTGTCTATGTCTTTGTACCATTATGATCACATGTGACAACCTAAGTGCATATTTCTCTCTAGATAAAATTTTATTCGCTTAAATATCACTTGCTGAACCTCTGACCATACTGTTTGATATGGCTCTGTAGCTGTTCAGGCTGCCAAGAGATTGGAAGGATGAAATAATCAGTTCAGTGTATACGTTAGAGAGCAGAGATTTAGGTTGTAGCTAATTACCCGTTAGTCTAACTGGTGTGGTTGTCAAACTAAACAAAAATATTCGGATGGCTACCTAAAACTATATGGAATGGTACAGTCTTTTGGTCTAGGGAACAACTATATTTTAGGAGAGGCCTTCAATGCTTGACAAATCTGCTCAATGCATGAGAAGATCGGGCTGCAGCAAAAGACAAAAATATTTCTGTGGATGTAATTTTCATGGATCTAAAGCCTTGGCCAAATCCTTCATCTTGGTCCTAAACTAAAACTGGAAAGTTTTGGGATCCATTATGAAATCAAATACTGAATGAATAACTTTCTTAATGGTGAGAGACAGAATATACGGGTAAATAAAGCTCTACAAGTGTGGGAATCCGCGAAAAAGTTCTCCAAAGCAAAGTCCTCAGTCATATACTTTTTCAAACGACTGTAAATGACTTACCAGCTGTAGCAAAGTCATCAGTCCTCCTCTTTGCTTATGCCATGAAGGATTATAAATCCATGGACAGGGTGTCAGATAGAATAATATTACGGGATGACCTAAATTCACTGATTGCACGGAAGGGCAATTGGTGACATGAACACCTGTTAATACATTCAAAGCCAGACTGGACCGCATACAGTGTTACAAATTTCAAAGACTGCTATGGATCGATAGACGTCCTCTCATTGCCGCTATAGATTGAGGACTAAAAACAAGCACTGGGAAGAACCTTAGCTAGAATTCTATACTCATTAAATTTTGAACTGAAGCATGCGCTTCAATGAAATGGAAGTTCGGAAGAGCCTAAATGGAGCAATCTCTTCGACACTATACCCAAAAGAAATACTGTTTATGCTTCGGAACCAGTGAAATTCAAGTAACTGTAGTTCCATTCTTCTGATTCGTATGAGTAGCGTGCAAACAGACATGTGAGTGAATTTAAATAGAAAGACTAAAAAAATACGTTGAAAACAAATATCCCCTTATTTAGACAAATAGGATATGGAGGTTGATTAAATCTCCGAGACTTACTGTTTTTGTTCTTTTGAGCATCGGTTGTTTATATGCTCTAAAGCCCGTACTGCTTTTGAATTCTCAAGAACCCGGTGCACGTTATTTTAGTCGTAAGTAATAGGGGATTTCATATTTTATCAGTACTTAGGTTTCTATGTTCTCCAGTTATTATTGTGTGCAAGTCGAAATTCTGTAACAAAAAAGTCATACTTCGATAGCTCTCAACCTTTTAATAGAGAGAAGCATTCACCCTTGTTAATAGTGTTACAACGCTCATTAAACTCGTATTAACTCACGGGAGAGTTCAAATAAGCTAACTCTCAAGGATAAACAAAGACAAAAACCAAGATATGTCGCATTATTCACAATACTTGAGAAAAGACTTCAAACAAATTAACAATTCTCAAGTAAAAAGACATCCTTTATAAAACAGAAAAACTACATAGATGGTTCGTTTGCTTTTGCTAGTGCGAAAAATTGATAGCTTTTGTAAATTACATATAATTCTGGCTTATTTCGATCGCCCAATACTCCCGAAAGTTGACATGTGCTTTATAATTCCCAAGCACATTCGTTAGTTACCCTCAGACAATCTCGATCACAAAAGTGTACTTTCTAATGTATGACAGTCTAGCATAAGCGTGTACCAGTTCAAGTTAAGGTTCTTACCATTAGAAGAGGATCACTAGGCGTAAAGTTGGACCATTGTGTCAGTGGCAAGATATCATGTTGCCCAGAGTAAAAACTAGTGGAAATTCAGCTGCAGTTTCCCCATGAATTCTTTGTAAGAGTGGGGGCTACTTCAGCTAAAATATCTCTTGACTGTGTATCTAACTGAACTATCTCTCATGTGGAGTACTGTTTCTTTACCAACATTTCCATTTTTTGTTTTTACTTTTTTATCATATGCAATACTATCTTCATTTGTATGGATCATACTTTTTGGTATCTAACACCTAATGTAACCGGTAAGGGAGGTCTTTGCCATACATTTCTTATGTGGGTTTTACCCGACTATGATTGCAGCGGTTATTGGAGCCATGTGTCTCACTTCCCAATTGGTAATTCTGGTATACTAGTGTTTATATAATTCCCTTGTCATTTGTAAACCGCAACCAAGTAGTTGCTTTAATTAGAACACTAATCCATTTTGTCTAATTCTGTTGTGTCTTATAAATCCACTAGTTCCCTGTGATATGACTCAAAGCTGCGTTTACTAACCTAAACGTTATTACTGAGTTTCTTTACATACTTTTTTCGTATTAAAGTAAAGTTTACTTAGTTGGTCATTGAGTTACAATTTCCGCAAAACGCCCTGTATGAATGCTAAAACCATACTCAGTGAATATACTTCGATGCTGTTCAGTGCGTTTCATGTGTCACATCTAACATATCTTTGTCATTAATAAGCTCTAAAAATCGCTCAACTTAAAAAAATGGTCAATTGTTTTTGGATATCAGTGGTTTCCATATTTGGTTTTCCAATATTACTTTATATTAGGTCGACTTTATCTCGGTTCTGTTTAACAGCCACTTAATAATGTATTCATAATAAACTGGGGCTTAACATGTTTTCTGTACATAAATTTGATCGTCAAATGACTTTCAAATCATTAAGATTATAGTATATCCTATGATAACTTCATAATACTATAGACATATAACTACCCGAAAATAGTAGTGGCTAAGCACTTCGTTAAATTATCTTACAAATGGTGATAGTCTTTCTGTTAAATTGAATAAGCTTTTATGATTTCTACAAAGTTGATCCCTAATTTACTAACTTTACTCTTCATTACAGCGAATTTCTTAGTTATTGACATGTCCGCTCGAGCCAGAAAACAAAAAGCTGCGGAGTCTGAGAAAAACGAAGGTAGTCCGACATCGTTCTCCCGATCCGTTACAATTGAACGCAGCCATACATCATCAAGTGGGAGTCCTCGCAAAAGCTTTTCTCGCAGTGAAAGATCTAGCAGCCCTTTGACTATAAGTCGATCTGAAGAAAAGGATGAGCTCGCCCATCTGAATGATCGCCTTGCAGGGTACATCGACTACGTTCGAAAACTGGAGCTTGACAAACAGAAACTCACTAGACGTATACAGACTGTTACAGAAGAACGAATGGTAACTAGCATTATATTCAGTGGAGATTCTTGTAGAGTAAAGTTGAAGAAGCCAGGAAAACATATGAAGATGAAATTACAGCCTTAAGAAATTTGGTTGACGATCTGGCTAAACAAAAGTCAAAAGCAGAGCTAGATTCCAAGCAAATGAGAGATGAGTTGAATGACATAAAGATGAAGGCCAACAAACGAGATCAAGAGAATCGTAATTTGCAGAGAAAGATAGAAAATCTTGAAAGGGAATTGAGTAAGTATAAACAAGATCATGATGCTTACCAGGTAGATTGCAATAATCCTAACATTTTATCTCACAGCCTCTCCTTAGCGACTACCATGTTTTAGAAAAACGGTTCGAAGAAATGAAACGAGATCTTGAGGCGGAGACACTACTTCGAACTGATTTAGAAAACAAAATCCTCGGTCTTAAAGAGCAGTTAGATTTCCGTTCCCGGTTGTTCGATGAAGTAAGTCGGCCTTATTTGTAAATCTCTTCCAGGAACGTGAAAAGTTAGTTGAACGCAGTTTATACATTGAAGAGGAGGTCGAAGGACGCAAGCAAGCTGAATACGAAAGTCGATTAACGGAGGAGCTTAGATCAATTCGAGACCAAACCGCTTCTGAATTAGAAGAGTATAAAATACAAATGGAAGAAACGTTTGAGGTACACTATTAAATGTATTCTTTAGTAGACATTTCCCACGGTAAAAGTGTTATAACTTTTGACCGAGTGGATGTCCTGATAATGTATAACGTGATAAGACCGCCAATCAGAGAGCAGTGAATTATTGACCAAACCAATGATACACGGAAACCGTACGAGCAGTGTAGAGTATTTGTCGATCCTGCTTTCTGCCTAGCTCAGCCAGTTAAGTCCAAAACGCCAATCTCAGCCTCTGCTGTATAAATCATTATATTTCAAACACACTGAGTTTATATACCAAAACAGACAGACCGCATCGTACCAATAAAATAGAAAATAATATTTGTACAAGATTCAGCCAATTGCGGCTGTGAACGTGGGAGGCAGTAATTAATAGACTAGGAACGACTTAGAAATGGTAAATCGTATAATAATAGTCTACAGGTCAAAATAAAGCTTATAGCAGGGACATGAATATTAATAGTTTAGGTAATTAGCAACTATACGATAAAAAAATATATGCCTATTATTGGTTCATAAATAGATCCCAAAGTTACCATTCATTATCCTTATCGGGGCATAACAAAAAGTAACTTATTTATTTATTTAAACATAAATATTGGTACAAGAAAACACCAGATAAGTATGCGCCTCACAAATCTCATTTGATTTGTGTGAGGGCTGTGATACTGCTCAGGTGCCCAGACTGAAGCAGGTGGCTTTCTTAGGGTTCCACACCCCTAGCCTTTGACCTGAGGGTCTAGTCCACAAGGCAGTGGAGTATCGTAAGGAGGTGCAGTCCCATGGTAGCCGGTGACCAAATAATTGGTTCATACGCCATTTGTTCCTTCAGGATACTGGAGCCCATGTGCACCATTGGTTTGGAATCAGGGTTTTCGAAGTCTACTAGATGAACTTTCCATGTCCACCAACCCGGTTAAAGCTGTGGACATTCGCTTTTCGTCCTCTCAATTTCGTAAACAATACCCATGGCGTGAGAAGGCAGTGAGTAGTACTTCCCTGGCAGAGGCTATATATTCTCAAGGCCATGTGAGAGCCTTTCGAGAGGGAGAGGACTCTCCCCACTCTCGGCCGTACCAGGGCATTTGGGAAGCAACAAAAAGTAACAACACTTCGCTTATCACTACTGACAACTGTCCAAATGAGTTGTTTACATATTGCGAAATTCATGGTCAGGTTTCTAAGTCGACCATAAAGTAAACAAGCCATAATGCCAAAACCCACGTAAGATTTAAGGATTAGACTTCCATTACAAGCGCAAAATTTATTCACCCACTTGGCTAAATACCATTTTGACATAGTTCATGTCAACTGGTGGTGAAAACGATAAATCTAATTACTAACCTTGACGTTCAACTGTAAATTCCAATCCTAGTTCCTCACACTGATATCAGAACAACAGTGGAGTAGCGTAAAACCAGTTAGAATGTCCGAGCCAGATTCATTCTAATTATTGGTTGTGTTCAATATATCCATCTTCCGACCCGTAATGTGTGCTTTTACTTACTATTATTTCACCAATTCAATAAGTTCCTGCTAGCAGATATTTTCGGCTTATTGACTAGTTGGTGATTTATTCAAACTGAAACTTTCAGCATACATGTTTCTTAATGTTTTTCCTGTTTTAGAGCAAACTGGGACAATTAAAGTCATCAGCTAATTTTAGTGCCGAAGATGCTAGTCGACAGCGGTCTGAGCTGTTGATAGCTCGCAAACGTGCTGATGAACTTTCCCACGATTTATCCAAGAAAATTGCTGAACTGGAACTGCTTCAACGACGAGTAGCAGATCTTGAACGGCAGTTAGCTGATGAACGGAAAGATTTTGAATCTCAACTTCTTTTCCAACGCCAGGAAGTAAATCGATTAAAAGAGGAATTGGAAGAAAGTTTCCGTGAATTTACTGACCTCATGAATACGAAAATTGCGTTAGACCAAGAAATACTGATGTATCGAAAGATGTTAGAAGGTGAAGAATCAAGGTAAGTGGTAGCATTTACTTTACTCAAACTATAAATCTAGAAGTTTCGGTTTCCGAGTTTTTTGTAAAACTAGAGATTATTAAATTAATGGTCAGTCAATTATACGTGCCTCTGTTGAAGTTCGCATGCCTCTTATCAGAACGGTTTGAGATTATAAAGGTTAACAATATCGCAAAGCTAAATACGGGGTGTCGTTTAAAGGAAACATTTTAAATGGTAGAATAAAAGTAATAGATTAATATTAAGCTCGAAGAGAATTTAAAAATGAAAACATCTCCATCACTACTAATTTTTCTTGATAACATCAAGATTATTATGTAAATGTCAACCAGGAGGTTGTTTACACGCCTCCCGCACATGATATAATAGTTTGTTTTTCATAAAGAGCAAATTTGATTTACCTTAAAAGGGTGAAGGGTGATCATTGTATGTAGAAAGCATGAGTCGGCTGGATGTATTCGATGATTAGTGTCCCAAAGTCAGTAGGGGTGTGGTCGCCCCCAAATGCCCTGGTACGGCCGAGAGTGGGGAGAGTCACCTCTCTCGAAATACTCTCATATGGCCAGCGAATATATAGCCTCTGCCAGGGAAGTCCTACTCACTGCCTTCTCGTGGCGGGGGTGTTGTGTACGAAAGTGAGAGGACGAAAAGTGAATGTCCGGCGCTTTAACCGGGTTGGTGGACATGGAGGGTCTACCTACGGGAGTTGGAAAACCCTGATTCCAAACCAACGGTGCACATGGGCTCCAGTATCCTGAGGGAACAAATGGCGTACGAATCAACCGTTGATCACCGGCTACCATGGGACTGCATCTCCTCACGATGCTCCACTGCCTTGTGGATCAGACCTTTTGGTCAAAGGCTCCGGGTGTGGCCCCCTAAGAAAGCCACCTGCTTCAGTCTGGGCACCTGAGCAGTATCACAGCCCTCACACAAATCAAATGAGATTTGTGAGGCGCATATTTATCTGGTGCTTCCTTGTACCATTATTTATGTGTTTAAATAAATAATTATAATAATAAATAGGAGTGTGGTCAGACATATTAATCTGCCAACATGGTATATCAATTAAGTTAAGGACCCTCATTAACATGCATTAAACATACCTTAACCTCCTTGTCATTGTCACGCATTGTTGGTTGATATGAAAGCAAGTTTTGTAAAAAATTGTTCTCAGTCAAACTAAAACTTGTCATCTTTCCATTAAATCACTCTTAATTTGAACTGTGTTAGGAAGTGTAGATTTTTGGATTTTGGTCTGCGTGATTATTCTTTGGATCAGTACTCGAGAAGCTGATATGACTTGATTCAGAACTGACCGTAGTGGCACGGATGCACTCATTATTCATAGTTTCCCTGAAACTCAACGCTGTCACACATTTTACTAATCATTTACACTTGGTTTTTGCAAACTGCATTCTCCATGTTGAAATTTTACTATTGGAGTCACTGTTAGTTTACCGATTTCTTACCTGTCATGGTATAAATTATGGTAACATGAACCAATGAATATTTGTTTTAGGTCTTGCTGTTTTATATTGATACTGCTCAGACCATAATAGATTCAACCAATGTTTGACTTGAGATTCAGTAGTTTGCGATTGATTTACATAATCAGTAAACCACAGCTTCAATCGGATATACTAACATATCCAACCGTCAAGCAACCCCACACGTTGTACAGTCAAATTAGAGTATTGTTCATAATCACATTTAGTGACAGATGCATCCACGTTTTGGCTTTTCTTAGATCCCAGATTTCAAAATAATCTCGTACATTTTTCCTCTCGACCCATATGGTTTATGGTTGACCTTTCCTACTGTAATTGGTACTGTAATTTCTTCTACCCTGACATCTCTCTGTGCTGATTGTAGTACGGCGAATTAAACCGATATACATGTCCCAGATCTTACTTGTGACTGGCTAATGTCAGACTAAGTAAGTGGGTCAAGAAATTACATCAATTCACTAAGTAACTAATGATCAAGCGAAACCCTTAATGTGGAGATCTTCTTAGTAGTGTTCACAAAGCGACTGTAAAGGGTAGCGATAATAACTGTTTATCGGTTTTACATTGTTGCTGGTATTGTTATACTCAGTCCTTTACAATTCTGCTTTGCTTGTATAAGATATGATAACTCAAATCAAAGTATATTTGTACCAGGTCCTACCTTGTTAATAACTATTTGTTTCAGTATTATTTCATATGCTTGGAAAAAGTAATTATTAGTTTTTCTCACCTTATCTAATTATATTTCTGTCATTAGTATTATATAAAAACCATAATAATGAACATTTTCGGTTACTGCAGTATATCAAAGTTAGTCTTGTTTTACAGACTCAACCTAACACCGGCTCCTCGTGACTCGCCGTTCAACATACCGGTCAAACGTAGGCGTGTAGATGGAGATTTTGAGGGTGATGAGTCGAATGCCAGTTTAACTGGAGCCAGTTACAGTTCATCCCGGACAAGATTCGCCTACCGAGTGTCATCGACTGCACGTGGACCTGTAGAATTCTTCAAAGAACAAGATACACATGGCAAGTGGATCAAAATACATAACTCTTCAAATGATGTAAGACTAACTTGTGATCTTAAATAGAAATTTTTTAGAAAGAAAAAGTATAAATCTGAATAATCGCTTAAAATAATGATTGAAAATTTTATATTTCATACTAAGGTTACGTTAACTTGTGTTTAAACGTCCCAAGATACGTTTAGAGTTTTATTTCATTCTTAAAGGTCATTTAACTCTTTAAGGGTTCAAATCCTGAAATTGCGTTCTTTTTCATGACGTTTGTTTACCTCAGACTACGGGTTCGAAATCCTTCCGTGACCATAATTAACATGTTTCTGACCACTTAGGTAAAACAAGCTACTTTTTTTCAGTAACACTTCCCCATTGCTGCGTCTTCTCTATCAGTAGCATACCATTTTAGGTTTAGCATTGAAAGAAATCGACTTTTTTCAACTCGTGCATTATGACGTAACAGGTTCTCGGTATCGTTTGATTAATTACCGGTAGTTTTTGGGTAAATTTTGGTGCGTAAAAACCTACCTGTTATGAATAAAAAGAAAGAATAAGTTAAAACCGTCGTCTTCAAAGTAAACTTGATATCTTCGAGAGATTTAAAATGGATCACAACAGTGTAAACTTATCACATATGTTTGTATGCAGTAAAAATAAGGATCCCACATAAAGATGGTCTATGCTTAGTGAAACTTCATTCAGCGTTAAAGTGCACTAACCGCCGTGTTGACTCAGCAGTCAACTGCACAGTAAAGTTTACACCTTAATAAACGCATGACTTCGTGCATTTACCATGCGTAATTAGGCAGCAAAAGCAAATAAAAAGCATGACTTCGTCTCAATTTTTTTATTTATTTTTATTTATTTATTTAAACACATATATATTGGTACAAAAGGGCACCAGGTACATATGCGCCACACAAAATAATGAAAGTAGGAAGAGAAGGGATGAAAAGATAAGGCGGACTAAAATGTACAACCAGAAGACTCTTTCAAATAGGAAAGTAAGAACCATACTTTATGTAGAAAGTAAAAGAAGGTTGCAGCAGGATCGCCACTGGTTTCTATTCTGAGCCATATCTGATAACGTCTCTAGCCAATGTGTTGCACCATCTCTCGGACCCCAACCAAGGAGTCGTGAAGGACCAACAGAAGCTAGCCCTTTGCAGCTCTCTTTCATGCCACGACACCATGTCGTACACTGACCTCCTCTCCGCTTTTTCCAACCAGTCCCAGGGTCGGCAAATAATGCATGACGTGGAAGTCTCTGGGACGCATTCGTAGAATATGTCCAAGCCACCGAAGTCGGTGTTTCAAGATGGTGACACCAATTGAATTATCATCTCTGCGCCCGAACACACTATGCCGAACCTCTGCATTACTAACATGGTGTTACAACTGTATGTCAGCAATCCTTCGGAGACAACGATGATCGAACACAGAGAGACGTCTAACATCCTCAACTTGGAGAGGCCAGGTTTCACAAGCATAGAGCAAAACTGCTCTCACCGACGCGTTGTAAATCCGACTTTTTACAGCCAGACTAACATCACGAAGGCGCCAAAGATGGCCCAGATTGGCATAAGCCGATCTGGCTTTCCTTATACGTGCATCAACCTCATCACTCACGCCACCACCAGCACTTATATAGCTATCTAGATACACGAACTTCTCAACTACTTCAATCTGCTCACCATCCAGGGTGAGTACAGGATGAGAATCCTGCCAGTCTTGTAGGAGTACTTTGCACTTGGAGGGTGCAAAGCACATGCCGTACCTGCGGACACTGATTGCCAACTGATTAAGTGCGGATTGCATGGCTTGAGCATTATCGCACAGTAAGACAATATCATCCGCATACTCGAGGTTGAGAAGTCGTTCTCCAGGCAACATATCCACACCGCCATTACTTACATCCATCAGAGCTGTTTCCAGGATGTCGTCGATGGCAAAGTTGAAGAGGAATGGTGAGATCGGGCAACCCAGCCTAACCCCACTGCTCGAATGAAACAAGGGAGAAAGGTGATTGTATGCCCTCACTCTGCCTGAGGTGTTCGTATACAGGGCCTTTAAGGTGTTAATGAACTTCTCAGGCACACCCTTCTTTAATAGACAATCCCAGAGAACAGTCCTGTCCAACGAATCGAAGGCCGCCCTGATATCAAGAAACACTACGATTGTTGGCCTGCGATAAGTATGACGGTGTTCTAACACTTGGCGGAGGGTGAAGATGTGATCAATACATCCTCGACCAGAACGAAAACCAGCCTGCTACTCGCGAGTCAATCGTTCTCGGGTTTTAAACAACCTACGAAGAATGATAGAAGCCAATAGTTTGGACGCAATCGAAAGTAGACTTATCCCCCGATAGTTATTGCAGGAACAACGTGAACCCTTTTTAAAGATAGGGACGACTATCGACTCATTCCATGATGTTGGAACACTTTCTTCTTCCCAAACCTTTCCAAACAACACAGTCAATTCCTTAGTCAGAAGGTCACCACCATCTTTAAAAAGAGCCGGAGATAAGTCATCTAGGCCCGGTGATTTGTAACGTTTCAAGAGTTGGAGTTCTTTTTGCGGACTTCCGCCTCGTTTGGTGGATCAGTCGTCACCGGCCATGGGGGGCAGGACAAGCTGGTTGATGTTGCCGGAGCAGCAGGCCAGTTGAACTGCCCTTCGAAGAATTCCGCCCATCGTCCAAGACGTCGGGAGATGTTAGTGATTTGCATCCCATCATCCTCGTAGATTTTTTCACTCACACCAGACTTCTTGCTGCCAGTGGCTCGAATGAGTTGGAAGAGCTTCCGGCAGTTACCAGATGCAGCTGCTGCTTCCATCTCGTTAGCACGCTCCGACCACCAGGCTTCCCGGTCCTTACGCAAGTTTTGCCCGATTTCATTACGTAACAGCCTTCGTTTGTGGTCAAACTCACGGTCACCCGGAGTAGACCGACGGGCTTCCATCAGTTGTCAGGAGCCAGAAGAAACCCAGTGCTTGTAAGCGGGACGTTTCGCGAAGCCGCGAGCGGCTTTACTCGCCATTTTCATGGCGTCGTGAAGAAGCAACCAATGCTCATCTATACTTTTCGGTGGAGTGTTAGCTAGCCTAGAGGCTAGCTCCGCACGATACGTACTTGCAACAGAAGTTGCAGCCAGTTTACTAACATCAATCCGTTGGTGGTGGTCAGTCCTTCGGCCACTGAAAAGTACGGTGACATTGGCGCAGACCAGGGCATGATGAGACTCCAGATAGGTACTCCAAAAGGAGCGGCAGTCTTGTACACAACCACGCCAGCGGTAGCTGATCGCAATGTGATCAATCTGAGTCCAGGCTTGGGATGCAGAGGGAGGACGCCATGTGGCACACCGGCGATGACTGTGCCGGAAGTTAGTGCTGGCCAGAAACAGGTTGTGGTCTGTGCACAGTTGCAGCAAACTGTCCCCGTTATCTGTCCTGCGATCAACAAGTCCCCATCGACCACCTAAACGACTCTCTTCTGTGCCTAGACGCCCGACCTGTGCATTCAAGTCTCCGGCTAGTACTACAATATCTGTCGAACGCGCTTTCTGGAGAACTGTTAACTGATGGTAAAAGTCATCGTTGATTGCATCCGGGCTGCAATCTGTCGGGGCATAGGCGGAGATGACGAAAAGACACCGTTTCTCACGCCGATTTCTTCTCACTTTGATGGAACTTTCTAATCTAACAGTACATAACCGACTGTTAATGGGGATCCAATCGATTAGTGCTGCCTCAGCCCTAGCGCTTAGTGCGACACCAACGCCAGCAAGACCAGACGAAGATGCCACAGGGTTCCCGGATAAGCGCACGTGGAACAAGCTTTTCGAGGAGACAGATGGAGAGCGGATTTGTATTACTTCACTAGAGTCTTGAATGCGGTTCTCGGATAGACAGCAAACATCAACATTAAGACCTTCCAAAGACATAGCCAGCCCTATCTGTTGTCTGATATGCATTAGTGTGCGAACGTTGAAGGAAGCCAGCTTGAACGGCGTACGTGGTTTCAGAAAGACTGCTTCAGTATTCATTATCGGTGGAAGCATTCACTTTCAACCAGACAGTGACTGGAGATTGTTTAGATAAGACAGATTTTCCACCATGGGCGAGCTGCTGCATAAGTTGGAAAGTAAGGTTACACAAATTGGGGATAAAAGGGGGTGAGTTAGCGATATGGTAAATAATAATAATAATAATAATAATAATAATAATAATAATAATAATAATAATAATAATAATAACGTAAATTGTCTTGCTTATAATATGAGCAGGAATAGAATCGTCAATAGAGTTCGTCATTTCATTCATTTGTGTGTGGGCTGTGATACTGCCCGGGTGCCCAAACCGAAGCAGGTGGTTTTCTTAGGGGGCCACACCCGGAGCCTTTGACCTAAAGGTCTGATCCACAAGGCAGTGGAGCATCGTGAGGAGATGCAGTCCCATGGTAGTCGTTGACCAATGACAGGTTCTTCCGCCATTCGTTCCATCAGGAAACTGGAGCCCATGTGCACCATTGGTTTGGAATCAGGGTTTTGCAACTCCCCTAGGTGGACCCTCCATGTCCACCAACCCGGTTATAGCGCCGGACATTCACCTTTCGTCCTCTCACTTTCGTAAACAACACCCCCGCCACGAGAAGGCAGTGAGTAGGACTTCCCTGGCAGAGGCTATATATTCGCTGGCCATATGAGAGTATTTCGAGAGAGGTGACTCTCCCCACTCTCGGCCGTACCAGGGCATTTGGGGGACACTTTGATGGAACTTTCTAATCTTACAGCACATAACCGACTGTTAATGGGGAACCAATCGAGATCGTACTTCTAGGGATCAGTCCTATAGTACGTATCACCAGGACGTCAAACAAACTTCGTCTCAATATTTCCATAACAAAAAAACGGTTTGCTGAAGTTTCGTCAAACCACTACCCAAATAATCATTGCCAACTCAATTGACCCTCCCCCATAATTGGACGCCTGATCTGCTCGTTAAGGAGTCAATATCTGTTCAACGCTTTTTGTTAAAATGTTTATTCAACCGAAGTACTCATCCTTCATCGCATACAGGCCACATTCTTTTCCTGACTAAATAGGTAGTCTAACTCATTCACTAAGTACAGGTTCATGTATTCATCTTTGAGTCCCATTGTGAAGTTCTTTGAAAATTTCATTTTCAAATCCTTATGTTTAATATGCCATGTAGACCTTTCAATCTAGTAGCGACATTTAAGACTTTCAGCGAGAATTCATTTAATCACTGTTACCTTGGTTTTTATGCCGACTGTAAAGTCGGACACGGATTTTATAGTGTCCTCAAGTAGGTAGGTAGACATAAAAAATACTCTTGAGATCGAGAGACAGATCTACAATAACAGCCTTTAAGATGAAGCAAAATTTGTTATGTATATTTCTTAGAATTGCAGAAAAAATTGGCTGTTCTTTAATTTGTATGGATTAGAAATAGACACTCAAATCTAAGTACATGGTTTAATTGACGTCTGCACGTTTCAAGTTTCTGAACTTTATTATCTAATCCACAAAGTACTTCTGGAATATCAGAAAATATGATGGTAACTAGCGACCAAATTAAGTATACTCGCCTTCTTCCCCTTGTTATGCAGTTCAGGTACATCATTGTTTTGAAATTGATATTTTCAGGCTCTTATTAGTAAACCTTCCATGTTCACGAACGTATTTTAAGCAACTGACATCCGCTTATCTTTCGGTTAGTTGAACTAACCTAACTGATTGAAAACAGATTATTGGTAATAGTGGAAGATGTGAATTGAAAACAGTCAGTTATGAATTGAAGAGAAATGATAATGATGTAATAAAAAGGATGTGATGTTGCCAGGGCAAAGAAAGATTTATTACTGCTTCTTTTTGTAATATGGATCTGGTTTTTAGACGTTTGATCACTATGGCTGCTGTCGATTTCATAAGGTTGAAGTTCGATTTTTTTATTGTTAACCTTGAAAAACGACAGTGTATTCACTTGATGTCATGTATCAAAGAGATGTCTCGAGATGGCACTTCTAGATGATTTTTGGGGGTATGTTCTTTGAATCGGATGTAGGCTCTTCTTTTTGTCCTACCAATGTAACTTTTGGCAAATACGTGTGGATAAATGAATCTTTTACTGTGTACATGGTTAGTCGTTGACAAACTTGTTCTAACTTCGCTAACCATCGTGCAACACTGATAGGGTGAATTGACCATTAACAGAATAGGTCTAGTAAAAGCATGTTTTTTATGTATCTTTGGTAAGCCATACACGCGGGGACGAAGGAGACCCATGAAGTTTTAGGTTACTGCAAGTGAAGTTATCAATCGTCTTCAGATTCCCACGTACATTCTTTATTCTTTTTTGTTTTCATGGTTAGTTATCCTAACTAATTTACTAATCATTATCAGGTCTAGATATCAGTTTTATTGATCGCTTTTGTTTTTATCAGGAAATGAATTTAGGTAGCTGGGAACTTGTTCATGAAGCTGATGGCCACGAGACTCGTTTCAAATTTTCGCGGGCTTTCTCCTTAAAACCGGGGGCAATATGCACAGTAAGTTGATTTTCATGTTTAGGTTTTACTTCTCAAATATCTTAAAACACTACCAGCTAGCACGATATCTTTGATTAGGTTTTTTGTAAATTTTGTAGTGAAACGTCATAAAAACACCTGTATAGGTTATACGATAAACAAACATAATGATGTGTTAAAACAAGCAGAAAATACAGATAACAGAAACAGGTAGCCCAGATATTGAAGCAGGTCATCGTAGTTGTAGAAAATTGACAAATATACTCTAGGTTTGATAATTAATGTTTATTTTTGGGGGTAATAAGTTCTCCAAAATACCTAATGATCAATACAAATATCTATTTCTTGTTTTTTTTAATTTCTCTTTTTTTTACTTTGTTAAGATTTGGAGTCAAGATGCTGAAGGAAATTCACATAATCCTCCTGCTGATCTAACTATGAAGAATAAAAGTTTCCATCCTGGCACTGAAGTTACAATTCTATTACTTGATACAGATGGTGAAGTAAGTTTTTATTTATACACCGTTGGTGAACGGTTGTTCAAAATCGAGGATCGGTTGAAGTTAGACATTAACACCGTTAGATACCGGCCGGCTCAGTGGTCTATCGGTAAAATGCTCTGGCACGAGACTGGTAGATTCTGGGTTCGAATCTCGCGAGTGCGGGATCGTGGATGCACACTGTTGAGGAGTCCCATAATAGGACAAAACGGCCGTCCAGTGCTTTCAGGTTTTCCATGGTGGTCTAGCTTCAATTGACTCATGCTTTCAACTATGAAATATTTACTATGATTTATTCAATCAATAAAATGATGAAATAATTCTACTTGAGTAATGAAACATGTTTATTCATGTGAGATTGTCCAATTGATTATTGTTCATTATTTTTTATTTATTTAAAACGAAAACATGTACGTTCCTGTTTCAGTATATTTTAAACACAATATTGCAAAGCGTGTTTTTTGTTGTTGCTATGACTACAAATGCACTAATTATTTTCCTCGGTGTTAGTCAATGGGTCAGTAGTTATATTTTATTTAGTTTTCATTCTTTTTATCGGAAGTTGAAAAAGATCAATGTTCATCATTTGCTTGTTTCATTTTATTCTCCGCTACCTTCCTCCGAAAATTAGTTAAATCAATATTATTCGTCTATACTGTTGTAATTGATTGAAATCAAAGTTTTACATTAAACCGTAATAAGATAATATTTTAAAGGTTAAAGAAGTAAAATCAATAAAATAGAAATGTGAAATAAACATAGTACGTAACATGAGAAACAGTCTAGTTAAAAAAAATACCCGGCAACTTGGACCGATGCATAAATGTGCCTGATCTTACGTTGTAGCTGACTGATTAACTGACTGATGTTTGGTTCTGTTCTTAACATATTTTAAAGTGAGACTCCACTTCAAGATTATTTAAACGTTGAATAGAGTGCAGCTTATTTGTAACACAACTAAGTTATGAACCAACTACTTTTATGCTTTTCCTAATTAGTTACAATGTCGAGTCATTGGGATGGTATTCATGATAAATATCCAATCTGTGAAAGTCAATGTTTTTTTAATATTTTTTAAATTGATTGATTAGGTTAATTGAATTATAGGTCATGAAGATGAATACAATACTAAACCTCTGCATTTCTGACATAGCGATATCACTAGATGTATAATTGTCTGGAGGGGGTGAGGTACAGCGATAATCTAACAGACTCGTTGAATATCTTCAATTCGGAAGGATTAAGTTTTACAAACATGAGGTAGAACTGTTTTTATTGAACCGTTATGTACTCCACTAATCACCACATTCAATGGGTTCAAAGTACATGTTGTATATATATTGCCAACTGATAATATTTGAATGTAAAGAACGATCTATTAGCATAAGCTTGTGAAAATATTTCACACTGCCGTACCAGGAATCTTAACCATTAGTTCATCCGAGATGCTATAGTTATAAATTATGTATCATTCCTTATTATAAAAGTACCAATATATTTCTTCTGTATATTTGAATGTTGATGATTCGGTCATGCCTTGTTACCTTTATCATCAGTCTACTCCGAAGCTTAAATAATGTAAATGTACCCATTATAAGAGGAAATTTTGATCATTAAATTGTAACTGGACATTAAAATCTACCACTCTCTGCTTTATGTGGTGTTAAATATCTTTGTGGTTATATTTAGTTGTAGTAATCAGTCAGCCAGTCACAACGTAAAACTTCGTACGTATGTACATCAGTTCAAGTTTTCATACCACATTAACACAGAGATACATTTGTTGATTCAAATCGCATAGTGATAGAGGTACTAAGAGTAGGAGCAGTAATCGGGAAGATTAGGGTTTGAAGACGTTATTCAAGGAGTATAATCCAGTGAAATAAATTTGGAAAGAGTCCAGAAGAAGAAAGAATATTAGAATTTGGGAGAACACAAAGAGTGGATACACCTTCGCCATTGTAAACCTGCTATTGCAAACCATTTTGAGCCATGTCATTCAAGGTCTCTAACCATCGGTTGTTATCATCTCGCGGATCTCAATCAAGTAGTCTACACCTACCAACATGGCTCAGTCCATTTGTCAGTGACTTCATGGATTTGTACCACGATTTGGTCTGGCCGCCTCTAGCTTTCTTCCAACCTACTTTTACACCATAAAACATCCTACGTCGTTGCAGTTATAGTAATAGTTATTTGAGAAATTTCAATTTTATATGTATAAATCTAATTCTATTATTTTTATTTAAGGAGCAAGCAAAATGTACGGTTAAACGAGAAAAAATTCGTCCCGGAGTTAATTTTGATCGTAAATCCGGTGTTCGCGCTCATGATGAGGTTAGTATTCTAATTTCAGTTGCTAAATTATGTTGTAATTATGACTATTATCAAAATAGCTAATTTATATAGGGTATTATTATTATTCAAGCACATATACTTACCTTATCTTAAATCTAAACAAAATTAATCGTGTCATGATTTAGTACATGATCATAAACCTTATCGAGTTTAGTGAAGCAGATTTCGAATCAGCAGTATAATCGTGTTAAGTGTCAGTAAACTATAGCTTCGTTTTCCACATATTTTACAACATTCTATATCAGCATTCTAGCATCAGCATTGATTTCTTTGTATATCGTTTAGTTTCTGAATATGCACCATAGTTGCTTGACTATCTATCTCTACTCAATTTCAAATTATTTCATTGCTTTACATCAAGATAACTTATGTTTTTGCTGTAGCTTATCAGTCGAAGATGCATTTATAATAACATCTATGCATCCCATTATGTCTACTTGGAATGATGGAGCAGGTGTTTAATGTTTACATGATCGATAGCATTCGATCAGCACTAAGAAGGACTTGACACACATGACATTGATCACCACCCAGTGATCAATCAATTGTGATTACATCTCAGTCCTACAGGAGGTTGGTCGCGGCCCGAATAGCTCAGTGGTAACGTCTTTGACTGTGAGGCTGAGTGACACGTGATCAAATCCGTCAGGGAGCATCAGTTCCCTCAAGATTACAGGTTCACCTTGCTGACGACTGTCAAGTGTTAGGAAACCTAGCTTTAGGGTTTCCTGTAGACCACCTCCAACCATCATTTTATCTCAACATAGTGCATGGAGTGTCAAGCCATCTAGACTAGTGGCCACATTGCAACTTGATCGATAGCATTCGATCAGCACTAAGAAGGACTTGACACACATAACATTGATCACCACCCAGTGATTATATCACTAGAACTGTTATCAATCAATATTACTTATTATATTGTTTATCTACATTGTGTTTTTTCTTCTGTTGTTTCTTCTCATTTAATGCAGAAATGTCATCTTATGTGAAATTTGCTTTACTGAAAAAGAGATGACCTACCATTTATTCTTTGTTTTCCCTAATTGTATTAACTTTCTAATTAATATCAATTTTATAGCTGCATTTTATTCATTCTTTGTTCTTTTGTGCTAACAAGTTACATAGTTTCTTTTTCTCTCAATATGCTGTTGCTTGATCGTTCACTGTTTGTTTTTTTTATTATTCGGCTAACGCTTTGTTTAATAACGCTATTGGTTATACTGCGTTATTTTACTACGATGTCTTCGAGGAGGGATATGTTATTGGCTTTTGTTTTTTTATATATATACATTAAATAGAGCAAACATGTTGCGTTGTCATTATATAAACGTTATCTTCGTTCCACTCTACCGTCTCCTTATCTGCATGCTATTTTTCCGCTGTTATTTACTTTGCTTACGTATATATACACGCTATTTTCACTGTACCGTTCACTCATACTGTTGCCTTCATTGTATTTTCATACCTAATTCACGCTTATCATCTTCATATGCACTTATATTATAAACCAATACATTAATTTGTTGTGTAATCATTGTTTCTCGTCGCGTGTTTTATATCATACACTATATTTATGTATAATGGAGAAATCTGTTTTGTTCAATATTATGTTAAGTTCTACCTAGTTATCAATATGTGTCATCCTCTTGGAATTGTTTCGAGTTTATTTGATCTCTAGATTTAGCGTCTTGTATCTCATACCCCTCTCCATTGTTATGAGTTTTTTCCACAAAGCTGATAATAGTTTGCGGTTTAGAAACTGTTTAAATGGATAGATGAGATGACAGTCTGTCAGAGTTGTAATTGCTCACTAGACCGTTAACTAAAAGTATGTATTGTAAGTTAATCGTCGTCGGTGAATTCAGCCGATATCATCTGAAAGTATGATATTTCATATTAAAATCGGATTCTTAGGGAATTCTAGGACATCTTGCAATCGCTTCTCAATATCAAGTTCAGAAGTGGTCACCAATGTGATATGGTGAGCCAATCAGAGTTAGCCTATTCGATGACAATAAGGAATTACCTTCCGGACAAGTGCGTTCGATTGGCTAAGAAATAGATCAATTCTCCTAGAGGTAGGGTCATATATATACATATATTAGGATTTGTGCATTTTATTCGGTAGCCTTAATCTTTAACTGACATGTCATGGAACTTAATTCTGCTAGCTATAAAATCAGGTTGTTTTCCTCGTCAGCCCGTCGTATGTGCATTATGACTTGCCGTAAGTTGTGGTTTTTTTGGTCCATGCTGTCAACTGATTTGGTATCCACCTAAGGGCAAGCTTCTTCGACCAAAGATTTTGCTATGGTTTAAAGTTTGTTACCACTAATTATGAAGCACAACTGATCACTAAATAATAAGCTACGAATTGTCTACAAGTTTTTAGTATCGTGAAACAAAATTACTACTCCTATTTGGTTTTTTGTCCTATATACACGGCAAGAGTAAACATGCAACAAAAATACGAGCAAGCGCCGAAATTCCGATGTCGATGAGTGTAATGAAGCTACATGACTTCTAACATTCTGGCTTCATTATTGTGTCATGTAGGGCTTATCCAAGGTATACTCTATTAATAGTTTGAGAACTAGATGTAGCGCGGTAAGTAAGCAGGAAACAGCAAATCTTCCATGATTTGCAAAAGCTGGGGACAATGACCTGGGACTTGGACTTCTCTAGAGAGGAACGTTTAGTTTCATTCCGGTTATTTATCCTGAACTACTGTACTAACCTGATCATTCCTTTCGTAATATATTCTGCGCCTCAAAACTATTCAAGATCAGAATGAAAACGAAAATTTATTGTCATCAAACATGACTTTGGGATTACAGTCCATGTGCATTGGTATTAATACTAATTCCTACCACGGTTAAGCATTCGCGAGGTAGACAATATCTTTCCGTAATCAAATAAACCTTAATAAACTAACTGAACTGTTAGCTAGGAATCTTATCACGGTTATATTTCTTTTTTACGGCTAACTTACTAATGCAAATGCAATCAGTTTATCAATACCCGGAGGATTCGTGTTCTCATGGTAACTTTAGGCTCGTGACAATCTCACTGAACTTTGTGTTGTACCAACGTTACATTGATTCTGGTAGTAGACTAGTTTAGTGTTATTAGTTTCCGACCACATGATCCTACATGCTGAACATAAAATGTTAGAAAATTCACATCCAACACTTAAGGAGAGAAAGTCATATATTGTCACCGAGGGAAGAATTGATTGACTTGACTCAGTCCTGTAGCCGTGATCATTCTGTGTAACTCATACCATCCCACATGAGTTACATTATTTTATTCCCAGTTGAAATATGGTCTTCAGAAGAACTAAGCATCTAATTGCTGGTTTCACAGTAGGATGAGTCAGTATATATGATGGTACGACTTATAGACTAGGTAGTCACGGTATGACAATTCTACAATTTTGTGGTTAGGTCTATTTTTTATGGTAACTGGGATAAATGTACTTATATCGAATTAGGCAATGATTCTACACATTCACTAATATGGGATAGTCGTCCTTTGGAAATATGCATAGCATATAATCTGCATGTATTCTCTACGAAGTCGTCGCTTGTTTGTTGTTCTAGCACGTGCAAATATGTAGTATCTAGTACTAAATCAAGCAACACATGTGTTGTTCTAGCTTACAGATATTATTTTCACGTTATTTCTGACCGCAACTGTTTTTTGTATGAGCGTATATATGTTGATTGCTTTCATTACTTATTACTTGTCCGTAACTTTCTGTTCGACAATAAATAATAATAATATATTTCTGTCAAGGCAGGTACATGCCATGTTTACAAGCATGATCTACAAGTTACAACATAAGTTTGCTTACAGTATGTTTCCGGAAAAAGATGTAATGAATACATGTAAGTACCAATATATTCGTGCAGATGTCTTAGGGCTTTAGTGATTAGACTTATACTTTAGTACCAAGTCACAATTGGTCAAATGGTTATAGCTCACATGTATTCTCCACTTTGCTCTCTCCTCTTCGCCCTCTTTACTTTGTCTCTACAGATCAACTAATGTACCGAATATTGGTATCGAGGTTTTTTATTATATTTAACTTATTGAGCTATACACTAACGTGAACTAGGTCGATAATTGTGTATGAGTGTGGTTGGGTTATCTCGATAACCTCGTTGACAATATTATCAGACAAAAGTCTAAAACGTTTATGCCCTCCCCTACAAATATAGACGTACAAATCGCATCAGATTTTGTGGCACGTTCGTTTTCCTCCGCAGTTGTTTTAGTAAATTCTAAGTAGTTACAAATCCCTCCTGCGTTTATACTTGAATTAAGCAGATAAGTCACTGGACCTATTGACCTTATTCGTTTATATTCGCCGCAAGAAATGCAAACTATAACCCGTGAAAATTAGGAGTATTTGGATGATAGTACATAGCATGAATCTTCAAAAGGGACGCAATTTAACTGAGAGGAATTATTTGAGCATGAACGAATGTACTGTATTTGAAATTCAAAATCAAGCAGTCCTCAAATACAAAAGAATCGTTAGTTCATACAAACACAACTCTATCCTTGTAAGTTGTCTCGCAAATATCTCAGTTTTTCGCACAACTACCAGTAGTTTTGCACTTACTGAGACTGCGAACCATCAACCTGTTTGGAAGACATAAAATGACATGGAGAACTGGTTTTAGTTTTCAATTTCTAACTAATTTACTACCTCCGCGTTCATGTTATCAACCTACCATTAATTTCATATCGTTGCCTAACTATAATTCTTCTTCAACAAGCATTTCTACCGGGGAACTGTGGACCCTAGTGCCAGGAAAAAACTCTAAATGAAAGTAAATCTTTATCAGTGAGGTGAGAGCGTACCGTTTAGTTCTCTTACGGCACGGTAGAGATAGTTGATGTTGTGTCTCGTCACCTAGTGCTCACCCACATCAGGATCCATCAACAAGGATTAAAAACTTGGCCGCCTTAAACTTTTCGTCAGCACAGCCTGTCTTTTCAGCAGAAATGTGGTCTCACTTTCTTTTATCATGGGTCTTTGGCCGAGGGCAGCTGATAACACGGTGTTTTCTTGCTCTTCGTTGCTGTTTTCTTTCTGATCTCTGGCGGGTTTCACAATATCCAATGTGGCTGAAGAGGTCATTCTTCGGGCCTTTAGCGGCCGAAAAGCCTCAGTAAAAACCTTCGGTTTCTAACATTTATACACATAAGCCGTGGAGGCGTAATTGTCTTAACGGGTGTTTTTCCACTATAGGAATTCCGCCCCTGCTTTGTCAAACCTTGCCTTTACTTCCATTGATGATATTGACCATATATATAAAACTTTCCACTCCTACCAGAGCTTCTCCATCAAGTATGATTGGGATGAAATTCTCTGCGCTGTATTTTAGGACCCTGCTTCTTTCTGTGTGTATATGGAAGCTCAGTGATGCATAAGCTTTCCCCACACTGGTTGTCTTAACCTGCGTTTGTTGATACGTATTAGTATAGAACGGCTACGTGATCTGGGAAGTCCGAATAATCTAGTTGCATCAAACTCAAGCATTTTATTCCGTGCTTCCCCTCGAGCTGTGAAGCTTTTCATAAACCATTTGACTACCGGAAGAGCGGGAAAAAGGAGAGTAAACAGGTTTTCTTGACTCTGGTATTTACTTCTATTGAATCGGTTATCAGTTTTTCGTGCACGATTTTGCTCTGTAGTTCGTCGTATGATGATTTCCCAAGTACACCACAGTGTCGAAAATGGTTCCATATGATTCTCCTATACACAATGCCGGAAGTTCTCTCATTGTCTGTGCACGACTAATCCTTTCAGTTCTCATCACTACCAAATGCCATTGACTTACTATTATATCGCTTATTATCACCCCTGTCGGCGGTTTTATACCTTATTCTTTCGTCTTTTCACCGTTCACATTGCTGAATAATTAACATGTTTACTTAGGTTTTTCACAATTTTCTACTCATTATCTTCCACGTCTCAACCAACCGATTACCTGCTTGATAGTATAATAGTTGCTGCCATCTAGAATCGCTCGAACTACAAGACAGATAAATCTGTGGTTGTATTGGTCTTGTCCACACAATCCTCATATGTGAATCTGAAATAACTGGGAGAATGGATATTCAATATTTAACACAGAGATAAGACTAACAATAGTGAATGGGGGAATTTTGGTTTCAATGAGACGGAATGGCTCAGTCTCGCAGATGTGGTCATTCTGTATAACTTGTCTTTACTCACATTGAAAGTTTTATTCTATCTTTAGCCCATATGCGTTTTTTACAAACGCCAAACTCTATATCGCGGGATATTACGTACGGCGAGTCAGAATAGAGAATGACGTGACTTCCATGTAAGATCTTATAGATTAGGTTTTCATACCATGACATATGCACAATAATAGAATTAGATTCACGATTATGATAGTACTGATGACAAAGTAGATCATAATTCTACAGACCCACAAACACTGCTACTTGATACAGGAGACCGTTAAGCGAAAGCTTCTTCTGTTCCAGCCACAACCATTTGAACCACTACTAGTGCAGTTGAGTGACTAGTCTTTTTCCCATTGAGCATTACAAACTTCTCAAAATCATAACAACAAACAAGAAGCAAGCGAAAAGATCAATCGGTTTTTACGAAACCGTCACAAAGTTATCGGATGTATTAGGAACACTATTAAATCAAACTCCGTGACCAGTGAAGCAGAAAAATAAAGACGATAAGTGCAAAACTTGACATAGTTATCAATCGATTACGAGTCAAATTTGTTCGCGATTGATTCAAATAAATAATAGATATTTATTTCATGCTCAACGATGCTCAATGTGATGCGACCTGCAATTTCATTGCAATTATGCAAGTTACTGAGTTTATGCGCTACTATATTACATGCTCAAAGTACATGAATCTTCAGAGTGCTGTAAATCTAGGGCGGCAACATAGATTGGCAGATTTTCCACATTTATTATGCAGGACTGTGTTTGGTTATGATACTTCAATCTCATGATCATGGAAACTAGTAGAGCGGTTCGTTTGATATAATAGACTGGAGTAGCCACGCGTCAAGTTGATTGTAAAGCTTTAATTCGGTTTGATTAATCATCGAAAGAAAATTTTGAGCTTGATTTGTTTTCGAATGGTGATAAAATGAGCGCCTCTGAATCTACAGATGAAAACTTACAAGTGAGCAAAATATTCTGAACAAACAATAATTATAGTACACATACCACACTAAATCAGAAACTTCAGTACCTAAAGCTTCAGGAAGAAGCGATACCCGGAATACTCCTTTTGAAGGTCCTGGTGTTGCAGATGTTATAGTGGGCAATGAACCAATCAGAAGACCTGCTCTATATAAAAGACCTGAAACAAATATTCCTAACATATGTGTTGTGAGTTACTATTCGATTCTTATAGTACTTCACATTCCAGGAACCGTCTTCACAGAACTTCAAGAGTCATTTGAAAAAATTGCATATTGCTGTTAATAAGGTACCTCTAATTTTAGTGAAATGTTTGAACACTTTCGTTAGATTTTGGAAAATGACCGCCTTACTAAATATAGAAATCCGTCAAAAAAGGTATGAGTCAGTTTCGAAATAAATTTTCTTTTAGAATTTAAAAGAAAATCAGGAAGCTTGTGAGAAAATGTTGGATGCCGTTAGAGAGCTCGGGTCATTTATTGTTCAGCGTCGAAACACATCTCCAATTAGTCATCGCATTCGATCTACTAAGGAAGTGCAGTCCCGCTTTTCTATGAGAGTGCGATCAAAAAGCACTACCCATGATGATTCAATTAGCCATAAACGAAATTTAACAGTAAAGATGGGGCGTAGTCTCAAATCAGTCAGACGTACTACATCACTGACTAAGAGGTCAAAATCTCCAATCAAGCGCTCATTTTCCCCTTATCCGGTGTTTGATACTGAATACTCCTGCTGTTCCAAAAAGTTAGAAAATTTCAAGGGTGTAGATACAAAATATAGATTTCCAGTCAAAAGCAATACTTTTATAGCTTCAAACCAGGAAACTGAAAGTGTCCAGGCTTCAGAAGATTTTACACATTCAGAGGTGAGTTTCTTGATTAGTTAACAGTTCCTGAAATAATGACGGATTATATGAGGAATACGGATACTTTTTGACTCACATGATTTATATCACTACTTTTCGTTAATTTCTAGGTGCTTTGTTTGTATGGTTTCAACGTAAAACTTTGATGTTTATAGGGTTGGTGTCGATAAATTAGTTTATAAATCTGGATCAAGTGTCACTCATTTATGGCATAAAAGTTGTTATTCAGTGTAACGACTGTTCATATTGCTCATCTGCCATAACTGAAGATGAAGTTGAGATAAAATATGTAACCCAGTAGTGAAAATTTACACTTTTTAACCTCTGGTCCACTGCCCTACAAAGAACTTTCCGTTTTAAGCATCAGTGAAAAAGCTTGGAAAATTTTGTATGGTTTGTTTTGAAAAACCTAATATTTAGTTTATTTATGAAAAGTGGTACAATAGGGTAAGAGGCGAATTCAGAACATAAAATAGGATGCTTATATTGGAGTGAAATGGAGGAGGATAAGATGGTATATGCCGTTAACAATTGAACAAAATCAGTATCTAACGAAGAGAAACGGTCTAGTGAAGTTTACAACCAAGGTATTTATCTTTCATATGAGACAATCCATCCGACTTTCAGAAGGAATTTTAGGATGAGCTACATAATGGTCGGATAATTGACTCAGTGGCGAGAACGTTTGCCTTTAGGCCACTAGGTGAAGAGCCAGAACCCTGCTCAACTTACTTCGATTTGCGAAACTGGGTAGTGTCATCAGCCTCCACACACAGAGTGACTTTTACTTAGGTACCTGATGAATATGCTTGCTCAAAAATTGGACGTAAAGGTCGAAACTTCTTTTCGTTCGTCTTGCAAAACTATGCTTTAAGATTGTGCTTGATGCAGCTAAAAAGTGTTTGAAATAGCTTACATATATTCACTCTATCTTTCTTTAAATACCGAATCCCTTAATTTCATACCTTTTTCTGTACTTACTCTTGTATATTACAACTGATACTATTACTACTACTCTGTGATTTGACCTGATAATTATTTCTCGATGTGCTAATATGGTGTATTAACTTGAGTCGATGCGCATCTGCGTTAGGCTGTATGTCACGTGTGATAGATTGTCTGTCAAAGAGCTGTCTGAGATTGTTATTGATATCTTGAAGGCTTTATAGACAACTACTTCGGACACAGTAACTGCAATGGTCAGTTTATGAAATAACGCTGGGAAAAAAAGAAAGGTTACCGGGACTGGCTTTTATCAACTCATTACGACTTCAGTTAGGGTCAGAAATAACACTCACTAGACACTAACTTTATCAGATATGGTACAGAGTAAATGAAGTGACAATTACCCATTTATTGTCATTTTTTCTTGTAATACCGGCCTTAGTAGTTTGAACATGTGATATGAATGTCATCACAGTATATAATTTACCGACACTAATAGAAGCTGCGGAAAACGGAGAAGTCGTCTGTTCGTGGTATAGTGGTGCTATATGAAAAATATGTAGGACGACAGTTTGTCGGTCCGACATGAATCACTGGTTACGGTTTTGAAAATTCTGCAAGTTTGCAGTTTGAGACGTTATTAGACGTATTCCAAGATAGAAGCGATTGGAAAACATGCTGTAGTTTTCTATCGTCTCTCAATAAAAATGAGATAAATATCTTTGAAATGAAAATCTTTATCTTGGTGTTTAGTTCTTGAAGATTTTAGCGGTGGGTGAATCATAATCTTTGTTTGCTTTATAGATTTTCATGATTCGTGTAAACTAGTACTCAACGAGCCTTTAAAAGTAGTTAGGTAGTTTTGTTAAGTTTTTGACCGTAAAGTCTAATCAACGAGGGAGTTCAGCTCACTGAATGGTTATGACCCCAAGGTTATCAGTAAGCAGGTTAGTTTTGTGTGCCATTTGGTTCCGTATAATACTGAAGGCCATATGCATCATCGATTTCGAGTTAATATTTTTCCGCGGACTCTCCTTATCCATCAACTTAGTTCGTTCATTGGACTCTCATTTCTACCATATGTCTATCGTGAAGCAATTAGTAGGAAGTCCATAGAAGTGACTATAATCATGTGGTTTTATTAGCATTTAGAATGGCTTCTACATACTTTTAACAGTAATAGGGTATTTGGGAGTAACTTTGTCAGTGTCTATAAATAAATACTTTTACGTTTGACTGTGTGACATCAGGTTTTGAAGGCTTTTTGGCAAATATTCGTAAGAAGCGGGATTACGGAAGTTTCGCTGAAATAACAGGTCCAGTTCTTAAACATTTAGTTAATATGACATCTGAAAGGTTGAAACAAATATCAGTTAATTTCCTCAGAAATCGGTCTGATGAACTTGTGATTGTTTATTTGTTGTCAGTTGCTAATACCAGTAATACCACTACACACACTTTGCAATAGTCAATGAGGCTTCTCAACTACTTGCCGAAACCAATAGATTGGGGTTCGAACCTATAATCTATTAGTCAAAAGTTAAGTCTCCTAGCAAGTTCTAATTTCTCTAGAAGGTGCAATATACTCTAAATTATTTGCAAGCATGGTTTATGTATTCACGGATAAAATTTAGCATAACTCGGCACCTAGAAATAGAATATGCCACACAAAATATAAATGACATTGTGAGCAAATGAGGGCACACTTGAAGAGAATTAAGAAAAAAAAAATTAACACGAAAACTATATAATAGGAGAGGCAGTTCAGTTAACAATACAAACAAGAAAAGTTGAAATTCTTCTATCTAAAGACCCGTGAAAAGTAAACATTAACTGTCTGGAACACTACTGAAAACAGTTCCAATCTCATCGAAGACATCTTTCACTTTTCACGTACCTTAGAGTAGTTGAGCTAGAACTCTAATGGTTTTATGCAGCTAAGCTTTATTCATTCAAGTCATTTGTACATTAAATATCTCTCAGTTTTAGTTGGTTTTAATAAGTGAAGGTTAACAGGGATATTTTAAAAACTCTTTCACATGCTTCACACAATTATTTCCTTTTACTAACCTGAACAACACAGTTACAGTTGAAGAAATGTGATCTGAATCTGTCTTTCTCATATTCTCATCAGTTGCTTACAGTACCATTCGTGTTGAGATATAAGTTCGTCTAGTCATGTAACAAACACGAAATAATCTATACAAATGTAAAAAAAGTTGATCAAGCATTCATTACATATTTATTGGAAAGTTGTTTTGTTAAAGTGAATTAGATAATCAAGTGAAAGTTGTACAGCTTGATGTTATCAATTAGAGAAGCAAACAAAAATATCAATTTGTTGTGGGAGCGTACCTCAGAAGTACATGAACCTTGTGAGAGCTCTTTACTCGAACACCACTAGTCGAGTCAGAGCTTATGGAGAACTTTCATCTGATTTTAAAACCTCAAGGGATGTCCGTCAAGACATTCCACTATCTCCATTTTTGTCCAATTTCATCACAGACATGCTGCTTGAAATAACGTCTTCGTCGTCTGAATTTTCGGGAATCGATCAAGAGATCCACTTCTTGGCTTAGAATATGCAGATGATATAGTTCTATTTGGTGAAGACGCTGATAAAACGCAGTCTTTGGGTGGCACTGAGCAAAATGCCAAGATATTTGAGATGCATTTCTCCCCCTCTAAATGCAAGTTGTTGCTTCAGGACTGGCGTCAACACCTGAACTAAGGATAGGAAGTGAAGTAGTCGAACGCCTCGACAACTTAACTTATCTTGAAAGTCTGATCAGCCCTAATGGGTTGGTGTCTGAAGAAATATTAGAGAGGATTCAAAAATCTCGTTTGGAAGGAAGTTATGGGCGGCCAAACCAAAACGTAATATCAGTTATTGAAGTCACTAACTTCTAGTCCGCGCCATTTTGCTAGATGCAGACTACTGGATTGGGGTCCGCCTGACTATCTTAACCAATGTTTGGAAACAGAGTAACGTGGCTCAGAATCGATTGCAATGGCGTACGTGTATACACTCTTTATCTTCCCTTAAACCATGAGATTAAAACTACTTTATACCTTTGTTTCTACTAACTGATTCTTTCTCTCACTATCATACCCTTTTATGCGATTTTTTTTACTACCATTGAAGTATCTACTTCTATGAATTTGGTGTTCATCTCGTTGTGTTAATGAGGTGTGGCAACTTGGGCCGATGCATATATGTGTCTGGTCACACGTTGTAACTGACTGATTGATAAATTTATACTTGCTTCTTCCTGAATGGATGGATGTTTTCATGTCAATTTGGTTATATCTTTATGGGATCTGACAGTAATAAATTTCTAAAAATAATTTAGAATCAGATTTACTTTATGTATATATTCTTAAGGACCATATAAGAACCTTTGTCTAGTTGAAGCACAGGAATCGTATCATCATTCATAAGTTTTCTAAAAGCCAGCTGATCATCTTTAAAGTGTAGAATTATTATTTTGGTTTAGCTTAAATTTTCAAATTATAGTGTTGCTAGGTTTGTTATCAGACGTAGTCGCTAAGATTCTCAAAATAATGAACGTTTCTTCATAAATATTGCTGTTAAATAATGCGATGGTGGATTCACTTAGTATTGTTTGTTTGAATCTTCCTATTGATGCTTAGGACTGCAACTAGTCAATCTCCTATAGGCATATGTGCATACTGTGCATATTGCCTCGATATTGCCTTAATTCGCAAGCATTATAAGCAAAGATGGATAGTGGTTAGCAGTGGAATCTAGGAAGCACGACACTTCATCCTATTTGGTACTCGTCAGCTGGATGTACTTACATCTCAGAGTTGATGTTTACTCTGAGACTCGAACTCAGTACCTTTCAGTTCAAACGCCATATCAGTATGGACTTAGCTACTGAGTCCTGATAGCCACTTGCATGTGCGATGGGGTGAAGTTTGAATTCGCTTAGTATTGTTTGTTTGAATCTTCCCATTGATGCTTAGGACTGCAACTGGTCAGTCTCTTATTGGCATATGTAAGGTGAAGTTTAAAATTCAGCTGTCGAGTCCCAAAGAGGACGAAACCCGCGTCCTGGATTCCATTGTTAGCCATTATCCATCTTTGCTTGTAATGCGATGATGGGTTATGGTGAATCAAATCAGATGATTACAATTGAATATTTGATATAACTCCTTTGTAATTTTTAAAGCTGTCTGCGGAATTGATTAAATATATCATCAACCTTTATAAACACAGATATTTGTAACTTGTGTTACGTATACTTAGCCACTAGCTAGTTCATTTCTCAGTGCTACCAAGCGTGGAAGATAATATGAATAAAGTTAAGAGCACCGAGACAATGACATGGATTCAGTCCTTGGAATTCCGCTTTGTAAGTGTGAACCGTGTCAGGCAATGCAGATCTCTTGGTTAAGAATATGCATCATACCTACAATGTATAACTGGAGACGTTGTGTGTAGTCCTCCAAATCTGTCAAACTAGCATAGTTACTTTCATCATCGACGTTCCTCAAAATCCTTTTCAGTGTTTTAATAATAATAATGATTGTAGACGTCATACCAGTTTACAGGCATGATCAATTTGATATAATTAGCAACATTCGATTAAGAGAACACATATGTGATATAAGACTGTTCTAAGTTTGCTAGTTCAGTAATTGTTAAGCATTTAATTTATGACATGTATAACGGCAATCCAATACATCAGCAGGGAACTTTTAATATTTTCTTAAAAGAATAGCCTGATGATTTATGAATGGTGTTCTTTAAGGTTATTTCTAGTGCCAGGACGAATTATTGATAATTATCTACAACTAGAGAAAGTAAAATTAGAACAGAGAGCACGGAACAATAAAGCAATGATTATCAAAATATGCCGGTCAGGTTTACCACTGTTCTTGTTAGTTATTATTCAAATAACTTAAGGTTGTTAGGGACATTGTTAATGTAAAGCAACAGCAAGTAAGTGGTTAAAAATTTAAAGTTCCTATAATCTCACTTGTGGAGTAAGATACACTTACAGGTGCTAGAACATTTAATGCATTTTCAGAGGAGCAGTATGCATCCATGCAGCGAACTAACAATGGGAGAGATTTTATCTTACGGATGGATTGTGGTAGATTATTCCAGAGTCTAGAAAATTTACAGGTAAAGTAATTCATATAGAGAGATTATTTAGACTGGGTTTGTTTCGCCAGTGACAAGCAGTTACGTATGTCGTAATGAAAAGTTTCTGCATATTGAATCGCTTGTTTGGATGTAAAGGATAGTTTATTAAGTATTTTGATGAAGAAAAAGATAAGATATAGTTCGAGTCTCCTATTCCATAAAGGCTCAAGCCCAAGGTAAAATCAGTTCCAAGTATACGAAGTGTAATTCGTCTCTCTACTGATTCCAGCCTTAATTTATCTCTTATGCTCGCACTACAAAGAATAAACGCCCATTATTCAAGGAGTGGTCGAACATAAACTTTGTACAATAAAATACATGATTCATTGTTAAAAAGGTTCCTAGTTATGTAACCTGTAATTTGATAGCTTAAATCATTATACATTATTTCCTCAGATTGTACATTGAATATAGTTGAATATTTTTAAACCACTGAGCTGACATCCAACGGTGTTAATGTCTAACTTCAACCAATCCACAATGTTTGAGCAACCGTTCACCAATTGTCTTCAGTTATTTGATATCTGTACAACAGACCTGGTTGAACTCTACTGGTCACTGCTTCCCACTAGAACTCAAGGAAATATCTCTTGAAGTCAGTCACTATTGAGCATATGATTATAGATCAGAAGGGGTTTTCCTGGAGAATTCAGTATTTTCATAGAGTTGAGATCATGAGTCAATTAAAGTTAGACCACCACCATGGAAAACCTGGAAGCACTGGATGGCCGTTTCGTCCTATTATAGGACTCCTCAGTAGCAGTGCGCATCCACGATCCCGCCTCGCGAGCGAGATTCGAACCCAGGACCTATCGGTCTCGCGCCAGAGCACTTCACCGATAAACCACTGAGCCGGCATGTTTTTAAAATACGTTTTTACATCTAATAAACAGTTCATTTGCTTCTTTGTTTCTGGATATCTATCTATCTATCTATATATGTATACATTGTATGTATTCAATTTTATTTAGATTGCTTGTTTAGAAGCTGAATTATCACATCGTGATTCTTTAATCCAATATTTATCAGCAGAATTATTAAAACTACATCAAGATAATGATAGAATATTTAATGAATATGAATTACAAGAAGCTAATTTAACTAAATATTTACATTCATTAAGATCACGTTTAATTGAAACAGATCATAATTTAGATCAACAACAATACAATACTACTACCAATACTACTAATACTACTAATAATCCTACAACTATTATCCATTCTATGAATACTGATTACATAACACATATTAATCAATCAATATCTGAAACTATCCATTACAATAATACAGATTCTATTATACATCATTTCGCTATAGACATTCATAATAAATTAATTCATCCCGGTAATTTAAATCCAATTCAAAAGATACAACAATCATTTCTATCTGAATTACAAGAACTTCGTATAGCAACAGAAAATCTATTGACTTATTGGGAAGTAAAGAATCAAGAAGTTAATTATTTTACTATATGTCAACAATTTTTTAATGCATTACTTCATTTTTGTATGATTTCAATGAAACAATCATCTCCTATTGAAGAATCAGATCCATTTAAAGATCCAAATTTGAATGATTTACAAATGAAAGCTAATCATGCTGAACAACAAATTATTGATTTATCAAATGAAATAAAAAATTATCAAATTGAACTTAATCAATTAAATGAAAAACTTAAAAAAACCCACATAGCAACAACTAATAATAATGAGAATTATCCATTACTTAGTAACTATTTTCTATCTTCAACAAATTCTTCTTCTAATATTGAAAATATAAATTTTATAGATAATCAATTTATGGAAACTAATCAATCACAATGTATATTATCATTAGATAGAGGACCAAGTTTATTAGAAGATCCAACTAGAATACCACCACCATTGAAGTCTACAACAATGGAAAGTGATATTTCAACCATATCTATTTATAATTCAATCAATAATGTACTTCAACGTTTATTGGTGTTGCTATCTAAAAAAGAATCAAAGTTACCAAGTAAAGATTCTACATTATGGGCTGTTAATAAAGAAGATTATGATACATTACATGAAGCATATCATATAATTGAACAATTTCAATGGTATATGCAAAATAATATACCTTCATCATCATCAGTTAAATCATCTAGTGTAGTTGAATCACAATCTTCATTGTCAACATCAGCCTATTATATACCAGAATCCATTAATATTGAAATCAATAGAACAAATGAAACTGATACATCAACATCTATTGAAGTACCATCTATAACAAATTCTGATAATGAGACAATTATTAGCTTCACAGATCAGTCAATTACTACTGCTGCTTTAACTTGTAATCAACATAAGATCAAAGATAGTCAAGAAATAATTAAGAAGGTAAATGTTGAATCATTTAAAGTAAAAGAATCATCTTATACAAAGTATACAACAAAATCAATTCAATTAACAGATATGTATACATCTACAAGTGATCTATTAACATTGTTTATTAGTAAAGATCATAATGATCAGTTGGATATGCAACAGTTTAAACAAATGAATGATCAGGCAAGTTTATCTTTTCTTTTTTTTCATTTGTTCTATTATCGTTATTTACAAGTGATAAATTATGTTTAGTACAAGACCTAGATAATTCCGCTAGTAGCTCATCCGGGGGCTACTGCCGGTCCTAAGCCCGGGTAAAGGAGAAAGGTTAGGTATGGGGTTAGCAACCTCATCCTGTAGAAAAACTAACTCGCTAAAAGAACTCTAATCAGAAAAAAAAGATTCAAACCATTTAAACTTTGCCCTGGGAGTTGAAGAAATAAGCAGATGTGAAAAAGATGAATAACAACTGGAAAGAACTGGAAAAGATTGCCCAGGACAGAGTTGGGTGGAGAATGCTGGTGGGCGGCTTATGCTCCTCCACGAGGGGTAACAGACGTAAGTATGTAAGTAAGTAAGTACAAGACCTAGATCTTAATCAATAAAACTTCCGATGAATTCATTAAGAAAATGTGAACGTTTTGCTTTATGCAATAGAATGAACAACAACTTTGGGATGTAGATACATCCAGATGACAAGTACCAAATAGGACGAAACGCGCATCCTGGATTTCACTGTTATATATAAACTATTAAATTAACTTATACCATAATGGCTATATTGAGACGATCCTCACAGGATGCATAGATAACGGTTTCAAATTAAGAATACCTTAATTGTTTGTTTACTATCTATTTTTCAATGTTTTGAATCAGGATGAAATCTGGGTTTTACATTCTAACTCCTGAATACCCTGGTACGGCCGAGAGTTGGAAGAGTCCGCTCTCCCTATCGAAATGCTCTCACATGGCCACACGTATATAGCCTCTACCAGGGAAGTCCTACTCACTGCCTTCCAGGGCATGCGTCTCTTCGTGTTCGGTTCTCATCAGATGGATGCAATTATATTTCAGTAGATAAAATGCCTTGGCATTTGAAACAAAATGTACTGGGTTTGAGTCCTAACGTAAGTATTCACACTGGGGAGCAAGTACATCCAGCTGACTCGTCTCAAATACGACGAAACGAGCATAATTTCTTGTCAATAAGAACTGGTAGAATATTTGATAGCTTTTCACACCATGAACATCTATTGAATAAGAGCTCTATTTGAAGAAATCTGCCAGGAATTCAGGGTTTCATCTTGTCCCACTTGATATCGATTATCTATGAAGGACTATCGTAAAATAAATTTTGATTGTCTTAACCATAGCAAGTGGCTATCAGTTCTCAGTAGCTGAGTGGATAACGCTATGTCGTTTGATGCGAAAGGTACTGGATTCGAGTCCCAGAGTGAACACCAACTCTGAGATGCAGGTACATCCAAATAGGACGAAACGCGCGTCCTGGATTCCACTGCTAGCCACTATCCATCTTTGCTTACCATGCTTGTGCATTAAGGTTATATCGAGGCAATACGCACAGTATGCCCATGCGCCAATTAGAGACTGACCAGTTGCAGTCCTAAACATCAATGGGAAGATTCAAACGAACAATACTAAGTAAATTTCATACAATGTTTGTTTGAAATGTCTAATGATATGAAATCGTGATTTTATGTAAACAAACTTTACAGTTTAACCGAATATCTTAATGGTAATAAGTCAATCCATTAGTACTTTTCATTAGGTTTGTTTTTTTTGTAGTTAACATTTTATACTTTCTGTTTACTTATTTGATTATTAAACGTATATTCAAGTATAATTATACCACAGGTAATCAATAATTTCACCAATCAAACATATTTATTTATTTGAACACATAAATATTGGTACAAGGAAGCTCCAGATACATATGAGCCGCACAAATCTCATTTGATTTGTATGAGGGCTGTGATACTGCCCAGGTGCCCAAATTGAAGCAGGTGGTTTTCTTAAAAGGGCCAAAACTGAAGCCTTCGACCTAAAAATCTGATCCACAAGGCAGTGGAGCATCGTGAGGAGATGCAGTCTCATGGTATCCGGTGACCAACGATTGATTCATACACCATTTGTTCCCTCAGAATACTGGAGCCCATGTGCACCATTGGTTTGGAATGAGGGTTTTCCAACTCCCCTAGGTGGGCTTTCCGTGTCCACCAACCCGGTTAAAGCTCCTGCCGGACATTGGCTTTTCGTCCTCTCGGTTTCGTGAACAACAGTAATGCTGTGAGAAGACAGTGAGTAGGACTTCCCTGGTAGAGGCTATATACGCGAGGCCATGTGAGAGCATTTCGACAGGGGGATAGCGAACTCTCCCCACCCTCGGTCGTACCAGGGTATTTGGTGGTCCAAATGTTTAAAATTGTTCCTCTTTGTAAAATGAATAACTTTCTTAAATTTATATACAACTAGTTATGGATAATCTTATCATGAATAATGTAATCATAGCATTTTTTTTCTCTTTTTTTTTCAGTCATTATCAACAGATGATCTCATTCAGACAACATTACTAGAAAAATCAGCTTTACGTGAGTTACAAGGGAAGTTTAAATGTTTAAAAGATTCTTGTACCCATTTGATTAGTCAATATCAAATGTTTAATCAGATATTATGTGAACAATTAAATTCTGTTCATTCAGCATTTAATGAATATAAATCTAATATATCTTTTTCTATTTCCTATCAATGTAAAGATGTATGTGATTCATTTATTCAAACTGATTCCTTCAGTAATTTGCACCTACTGACTACTGACACATCACATAGACAAATACCATTAGACCATGGAGATTTACATGAAGTCGAATACTATCATAGTTCATGGCCAACAGCTGAAGTCATCCCGAGCGATACCATAATATCATGTCAATCAGTGTTATCAACAGATAGTTGTACATCTGAATTATCTCAATTAAAACAAGAGTATGAAATTTTACAATCAAAATTACAAAAATCTGAAAGGGAAGTAGACGTATTACGAAACAGCCTATCAGATATCGAAAATCATATTACATTATCTATAACCGATCATCATTTTATCAAATTACAGCGTATTCTAGATGGTGGAGGATTTCCTGATGTACAATCATTGACTAAAGCATTTTTAAATCAAATTAGCACAATTCTATCTAATTTAAGTCAAAATATACCAGATCAAGATCATCATATGAAATATGAATCAATCGATCCATATCTTACTGACGAATATGATCATCAAAAACATCGACTTTATTCAGCTGAACAATCTTTTATCCGTCTAACTGAATTACATGACATTTTACAACAACAAATCCTAAAGAAGCAAAATACTTTAGTTGAACCGATTGAACAGGATACTTATCCATTCAACCGAGAAATCGACAGATTACTACAAGATGAAAAATGTGAAATCACGGATTTGGAATTGACAGAAAAACTTCAATCTGCGCTAAATGTTATATATGAAGAATTATCTTCATGTCAACAACTAGTTGAGAAACTGTTGAGTGAAAAAACAGAACACTGCAAACTTATTGCTATGCAAGCATCACAAATAGAAGAATTGACTAAGAAATTAATTGATTATGATTGTAAATTAAAAGCTTATTCAAGAGAGCATAACATTGTCCGACGTAATCAAGAGATGTATAATAGTAGTTGCTATGAGAACAATGAAGAAAAAATGAAAAATGAATATCATATATATCACCATGATTCAAATATTAATGCATTTATGGATTCGTCGACAAAAGAGATTAAAAGTAAAATATATGAACAAAAATTAATCAATAAAACAATAACTGAACATACAACTATGGTGCTCACAGAACAAAGAGAATATGAAAGAACAACAAATAATAAAGAAACAAAACCTACCTCATCCACAGAAACATTGTTAACATCAGGATTTACCTATCCGTCGACCGTAGACCAGTCGACCATGAGTGCAGTGGAGATGACGAGAGAGAAGCTAGTGAGTTCAAGTTTGTGTGAAGATAAGTCGAATGTGGTTGGTCAACTGCGTGAAGAGTTGGCGTCTTGTTATGAACAGATAGTGAAGCTGTCTAAATCGGTAGAGGAGAGTGATGCTTCGTTGATGGATGTTCGGCGTTTGTTGACTGTGAAGGAGAGTGAAGTTGCGGATCTGAGAGAAGAGAAGCGTCATTTGCGAGACGAAGTGAATGAGTTGAGGGAGACTGTGGAGGCAGAACGACGTGATTTGGACATTATGCGTGCCAATGTGGATGTGTTGGAGAGGAAGGAAGAGGTGTCGGCGATGTACGTGGAGAGTCGTGGACCGAACACTGCTGCTGTTGAGGAGGAGTGTGTGCAGACGGAGATTGAGGACGACGTTTATGACCTAGTGTCGTCTCTGCAGGTCGAGGTTGCCCATCTGCGTGAGGAAAATGCGGCGACGTTGACGGCTCTGGAGCGTTCACAGCTCGAGTTGATGATGAAACAGACCGAAGTGCAGGAACTGGAGTCACGTATCGTGGTGAACGAGAGGACTTGGTCGATTCCTTGTGAGACTGTGAGAAAGGCACCCGATGTGGTTGTCGGTGAGTTGGCAGAGGTTGATGACACGGACAGAGTGGAGGCAGACGTGTTTTCTGGAGTTCCTGACAAGAAGCTGGTGGAGACTGTTGCAGGTGACTCAGTGTCAGGCATTGTGCACGACCGAATGGACAGACAAACTATGGACTTATGTGTTGAGGGCGTTTCGAACGAGGAAGTGGTCTCGCCCATTCACGCCACTCAGAGTTGGACGAAACCAACGAGTGAAGAAGACAATGACGATCCTGAACTTTCCCTGTTGAATACAGACAGCCTAAGAGCGCGATTGAAAGAGGCCATGAACAGAATCAGCGAACTTGAGAATGCCAAGACAGAGTTGAGTGCGCGTGTGGGTGAGCTGGAAGGCGTCATGATGTGTGAGGAAAAGCCTATGGATGTGATGCCTCTCAGTTCAGGTGTGCCTGACCGATCGATGAAAGTCACGGACGGAGCTGATGCACTGTCGAAGCAGAACAAAGAGCTGATGACAGAGGTAGACTTGTTACGAAGCAGGATTTCAGAGCGCGTAACAATGTTGGACGATGTGTGCATGGAGATGGATGAGGTCAGAGGATCACTTGGTTTCTTGTTGAAGCAGGTGAAAGAATTGCGTGCAGCACATGCTGAGGCGAATGCTGACCGTGCCGACATGGCGAACAGAGTGAGTGAGTACGAACGGGCCTCACGTCGCCCATGCGAAACAGTTGGTCGATCCACGTCACCGGTGCAAGACATCGACTATGCACATGAAGGCTTGTCGACTGACCGTTGCACATCAGACGGGTTACGAGAGGATTTGCAGCGTGCACTGGATACACAATCGTTCGAGTTGGAGGTGGTCACTGAGAAACTGAAAGAATGTGAGTCAGTGAACAATGACATGATTTGTGAGCTTGATTCTCCCAAGAAGCGTCTGAAATTTGATTTGCCTCCGCCTGTAAGGCATTTTAGTTCTCGTTTGGAGGTCGGTGGTATATCGTTTAACTCTCCTGATAATCGTTGTGATTTCAAGGAATCCGACTTGGTTAGTCCAACTGAAACTCTACTTTCTGAAATTCAAGTGGCTTGCGAAAGTGATCTTAGTAATTCTGACCAATTTCTTGCAAGCAATGGCAAAGAGGTATGTAGTAAACTCGGTGATGAAAATGTTCATGTCAATAAGTCATACATATCGTCTGTTGTTTTAGATGCTTCATGTTTCAGGTTGTTGAGTCCATCCGCTGTCGACCCTGTGATTGTTGATTCTATTGAAAAGGAATCTAAGTTGATGTTTGTTGCAAAGTCATCTTCAAAAATGGATACGTCACTTCATAAAAACCAAAGTGATGCTAGTGACTCCGATGCTTGTCATTTTGAAGGAGTTCCCATGATTTCAAATGATGATTTCTCACAAGATAAAATATCATATATTTCGAGAATGCCTCCCGATATTGATGATGAGAAAATGTTCATCAGTTCTTTGATTCTACCACCACCTCGACAACCCTGCAGTATGATATTCGGTGAATCAGCATCAGATATTCCTGTAATGTTAAGCAGTTTATCAAGTGAAGAATTGGAAACCATCGAACCAAGTAAACTAAAATCAGAAACGCTTATCAAAGACTGCATAAATAGCACACCTAAACATATGGAGTGGTCTTCAAACACAAAAGGATACATTGCTACAGGTTACTCAGAAGAAACAAACATATCCTCTAACGAACAACCCGATAGTCCATTGCAAATATTCGCCAGAGACAACCTGAAAAGCAAGGAACAAGATGAAAACATAATAACGATAAACCAAAACAATAACGTCACAATGAACGAAAAAACACTAGCAAACGAATATCCTGCAGAGCCAAAATCAACGGAAGAGTCTAAAGAGAATGAAGCCAAAAGCAACGCATTGGAGGAAACATCCAAACATACAACTTCCAAATACACGACGATTTCAACAGATATGAACAATCAGATGGATGAGGTCAGAGGATCACTTGGTTTCTTGTTGAAGCAGGTGAAAGAATTGCGTGCAGCACATGCTGAGGCGAATGCTGACCGTGCCGACATGGCGAACAGAGTGAGTGAGTACGAACGGGCCTCACGTCGCCCATGCGAAACAGTTGGTCGATCCACGTCACCGGTGCAAGACATCGACTATGCACATGAAGGCTTGTCGACTGACCGTTGCACATCAGACGGGTTACGAGAGGATTTGCAGCGTGCACTGGATACACAATCGTTCGAGTTGGAGGTGGTCACTGAGAAACTGAAAGAATGTGAGTCAGTGAACAATGACCTGATCTGTGAGTGTGAGTCGCTGAAGCGTCGTCTCGAAAGCTATGTGACTGTGACCAGTGACTTGGAGAATGACGTGACCAAGACGAAAGCACTGTTGGTGTTTGTGGTTGACCATATAAGGGGCCTGCGTTCCGACTATGGAGATTGGTGTAGAGAGCACGAAGAACGAGTGCATGATTGTTTAGATGCTGTGGCAACAGGGTTGTCCCATGGTGTGGTTGAACACGTGGACCGTGAGTGTGAAACGATGACATGTCCAGAACACTTGGAGTCTACTGTTATGCTTGATAGCATTGTGCCACTACAGGAGTCTAATGAAGTTACGTCGATGCAGAGAGGAAAAGATTGGGATTCGGTAAATGAGATGAGCAGACTGTGTGACACCAATCGTGAGCTGTCTGAGGAGCTCTGCAAGTGTCGAGACCTGTGTGATAAGCAGGTGTCTGAGATGGTGTTGATGCAAACAGCTCTTCGTGAGGCAGTCGAACAGGCGTCAACTGCTCGACAGGAACTGGAAGCCTATAGACACGAGAAGGTTTGCGTAGTGTCAGATCTGGAGGGTCGATTGTCTGCTTCTCGTGACGAGTGTTCTGCATTACGGGATGAAATGTGCCGGCTTGAGAAATCGATGGAAGAGCGTTGCAACACAGTGTTGGCGATAGCTAATCGAGACTGGGAGTCGCGCGTAAACGAAATTGTGAGTGAACGCGACACAGCCATGAAAGAGTTGTCGGAACTGCGTGGTAGATTGGATATGGCAGACGATGTGGACGCCAGGTTGGTAAAAGCAGTGTGCAGAAGTGACATGAGAACTGAAATGCCAGATCGTATCATTGAACATGATGTAGCATTGTCATCAGGGTTCACTAGTGATCTGAGAGAGACTGTGAGCGTGGGCGTTGGTAAAGATGCAGAGGACGATGAGTCGAATTGCATGGTGGTTGACGGTTGGAGCGACTACTCCTCAGAATGCATACACGACGAGCACAAGCCTAGTGTGTCGGTTGGTTCTCCGACCAGACTTGTGAGTGTGGAGACTCAAGCGACAGACAGCGTGTCTTGGTTGGCTACTGACACATTGTCAACTTCAGGATTTACCTATCCGTCGACCGTAGACCAGTCGACCATGAGTGCAGTGGAGATGACGAGAGAGAAGCTAGTGAGTTCAAGTTTGTGTGAAGATAAGTCGAATGTGGTTGGTCAACTGCGTGAAGAGTTGGCGTCTTGTTATGAACAGATAGTGAAGCTGTCTAAATCGGTAGAGGAGAGTGATGCTTCGTTGATGGATGTTCGGCGTTTGTTGACTGTGAAGGAGAGTGAAGTTGCGGATCTGAGAGAAGAGAAGCGTCATTTGCGAGACGAAGTGAATGAGTTGAGGGAGACTGTGGAGGCAGAACGACGTGATTTGGACATTATGCGTGCCAATGTGGATGTGTTGGAGAGGAAGGAAGAGGTGTCGGCGATGTACGTGGAGAGTCGTGGACCGAACACTGCTGCTGTTGAGGAGGAGTGTGTGCAGACGGAGATTGAGGACGACGTTTATGACCTAGTGTCGTCTCTGCAGGTCGAGGTTGCCCATCTGCGTGAGGAAAATGCGGCGACGTTGACGGCTCTGGAGCGTTCACAGCTCGAGTTGATGATGAAACAGACCGAAGTGCAGGAACTGGAGTCACGTATCGTGGTGAACGAGAGGACTTGGTCGATTCCTTGTGAGACTGTGAGAAAGGCACCCGATGTGGTTGTCGGTGAGTTGGCAGAGGTTGATGACACGGACAGAGTGGAGGCAGACGTGTTTTCTGGAGTTCCTGACAAGAAGCTGGTGGAGACTGTTGCAGGTGACTCAGTGTCAGGCATTGTGCACGACCGAATGGACAGACAAACTATGGACTTATGTGTTGAGGGCGTTTCGAACGAGGAAGTGGTCTCGCCCATTCACGCCACTCAGAGTTGGACGAAACCAACGAGTGAAGAAGACAATGACGATCCTGAACTTTCCCTGTTGAATACAGACAGCCTAAGAGCGCGATTGAAAGAGGCCATGAACAGAATCAGCGAACTTGAGAATGCCAAGACAGAGTTGAGTGCGCGTGTGGGTGAGCTGGAAGGCGTCATGATGTGTGAGGAAAAGCCTATGGATGTGATGCCTCTCAGTTCAGGTGTGCCTGACCGATCGATGAAAGTCACGGACGGAGCTGATGCACTGTCGAAGCAGAACAAAGAGCTGATGACAGAGGTAGACTTGTTACGAAGCAGGATTTCAGAGCGCGTAACAATGTTGGACGATGTGTGCATGGAGATGGATGAGGTCAGAGGATCACTTGGTTTCTTGTTGAAGCAGGTGAAAGAATTGCGTGCAGCACATGCTGAGGCGAATGCTGACCGTGCCGACATGGCGAACAGAGTGAGTGAGTACGAACGGGCCTCACGTCGCCCATGCGAAACAGTTGGTCGATCCACGTCACCGGTGCAAGACATCGACTATGCACATGAAGGCTTGTCGACTGACCGTTGCACATCAGACGGGTTACGAGAGGATTTGCAGCGTGCACTGGATACACAATCGTTCGAGTTGGAGGTGGTCACTGAGAAACTGAAAGAATGTGAGTCAGTGAACAATGACCTGATCTGTGAGTGTGAGTCGCTGAAGCGTCGTCTCGAAAGCTATGTGACTGTGACCAGTGACTTGGAGAATGACGTGACCAAGACGAAAGCACTGTTGGTGTTTGTGGTTGACCATATAAGGGGCCTGCGTTCCGACTATGGAGATTGGTGTAGAGAGCACGAAGAACGAGTGCATGATTGTTTAGATGCTGTGGCAACAGGGTTGTCCCATGGTGTGGTTGAACACGTGGACCGTGAGTGTGAAACGATGACATGTCCAGAACACTTGGAGTCTACTGTTATGCTTGATAGCATTGTGCCACTACAGGAGTCTAATGAAGTTACGTCGATGCAGAGAGGAAAAGATTGGGATTCGGTAAATGAGATGAGCAGACTGTGTGACACCAATCGTGAGCTGTCTGAGGAGCTCTGCAAGTGTCGAGACCTGTGTGATAAGCAGGTGTCTGAGATGGTGTTGATGCAAACAGCTCTTCGTGAGGCAGTCGAACAGGCGTCAACTGCTCGACAGGAACTGGAAGCCTATAGACACGAGAAGGTTTGCGTAGTGTCAGATCTGGAGGGTCGATTGTCTGCTTCTCGTGACGAGTGTTCTGCATTACGGGATGAAATGTGCCGGCTTGAGAAATCGATGGAAGAGCGTTGCAACACAGTGTTGGCGATAGCCAATCGAGACTGGGAGTCGCGCGTAAACGAAATTGTGAGTGAACGCGACACAGCCATGAAAGAGTTGTCGGAACTGCGTGGTAGATTGGATATGGCAGACGATGTGGACGCCAGGTTGGTAAAAGCAGTGTGCAGAAGTGACATGAGAACTGAAATGCCAGATCGTATCATTGAACATGATGTAGCATTGTCATCAGGGTTCACTAGTGATCTGAGAGAGACTGTGAGCGTGGGCGTTGGTAAAGATGCAGAGGACGATGAGTCGAATTGCATGGTGGTTGACGGTTGGAGCGACTACTCCTCAGAATGCATACACGACGAGCACAAGCCTAGTGTGTCGGTTGGTTCTCCGACCAGACTTGTGAGTGTGGAGACTCAAGCGACAGACAGCGTGTCTTGGTTGGCTACTGACACATTGTCAACTTCAGGATTTACCTATCCGTCGACCGTAGACCAGTCGACCATGAGTGCAGTGGAGATGACGAGAGAGAAGCTAGTGAGTTCAAGTTTGTGTGAAGATAAGTCGAATGTGGTTGGTCAACTGCGTGAAGAGTTGGCGTCTTGTTATGAACAGATAGTGAAGCTGTCTAAATCGGTAGAGGAGAGTGATGCTTCGTTGATGGATGTTCGGCGTTTGTTGACTGTGAAGGAGAGTGAAGTTGCGGATCTGAGAGAAGAGAAGCGTCATTTGCGAGACGAAGTGAATGAGTTGAGGGAGACTGTGGAGGCAGAACGACGTGATTTGGACATTATGCGTGCCAATGTGGATGTGTTGGAGAGGAAGGAAGAGGTGTCGGCGATGTACGTGGAGAGTCGTGGACCGAACACTGCTGCTGTTGAGGAGGAGTGTGTGCAGACGGAGATTGAGGACGACGTTTATGACCTAGTGTCGTCTCTGCAGGTCGAGGTTGCCCATCTGCGTGAGGAAAATGCGGCGACGTTGACGGCTCTGGAGCGTTCACAGCTCGAGTTGATGATGAAACAGACCGAAGTGCAGGAACTGGAGTCACGTATCGTGGTGAACGAGAGGACTTGGTCGATTCCTTGTGAGACTGTGAGAAAGGCACCCGATGTGGTTGTCGGTGAGTTGGCAGAGGTTGATGACACGGACAGAGTGGAGGCAGACGTGTTTTCTGGAGTTCCTGACAAGAAGCTGGTGGAGACTGTTGCAGGTGACTCAGTGTCAGGCATTGTGCACGACCGAATGGACAGACAAACTATGGACTTATGTGTTGAGGGCGTTTCGAACGAGGAAGTGGTCTCGCCCATTCACGCCACTCAGAGTTGGACGAAACCAACGAGTGAAGAAGACAATGACGATCCTGAACTTTCCCTGTTGAATACAGACAGCCTAAGAGCGCGATTGAAAGAGGCCATGAACAGAATCAGCGAACTTGAGAATGCCAAGACAGAGTTGAGTGCGCGTGTGGGTGAGCTGGAAGGCGTCATGATGTGTGAGGAAAAGCCTATGGATGTGATGCCTCTCAGTTCAGGTGTGCCTGACCGATCGATGAAAGTCACGGACGAAGCTGATGCACTGTCGAAGCAGAACAAAGAGCTGATGACAGAGGTAGACTTGTTACGAAGCAGGATTTCAGAGCGCGTAACAATGTTGGACGATGTGTGCATGGAGATGGATGAGGTCAGAGGATCACTTGGTTTCTTGTTGAAGCAGGTGAAAGAATTGCGTGCAGCACATGCTGAGGCGAATGCTGACCGTGCCGACATGGCGAACAGAGTGAGTGAGTACGAACGGGCCTCACGTCGCCCATGCGAAACAGTTGGTCGATCCACGTCACCGGTGCAAGACATCGACTATGCACATGAAGGCTTGTCGACTGACCGTTGCACATCAGACGGGTTACGAGAGGATTTGCAGCGTGCACTGGATACACAATCGTTCGAGTTGGAGGTGGTCACTGAGAAACTGAAAGAATGTGAGTCAGTGAACAATGACCTGATCTGTGAGTGTGAGTCGCTGAAGCGTCGTCTCGAAAGCTATGTGACTGTGACCAGTGACTTGGAGAATGACGTGACCAAGACGAAAGCACTGTTGGTGTTTGTGGTTGACCATATAAGGGGCCTGCGTTCCGACTATGGAGATTGGTGTAGAGAGCACGAAGAACGAGTGCATGATTGTTTAGATGCTGTGGCAACAGGGTTGTCCCATGGTGTGGTTGAACACGTGGACCGTGAGTGTGAAACGATGACATGTCCAGAACACTTGGAGTCTACTGTTATGCTTGATAGCATTGTGCCACTACAGGAGTCTAATGAAGTTACGTCGATGCAGAGAGGAAAAGATTGGGATTCGGTAAATGAGATGAGCAGACTGTGTGACACCAATCGTGAGCTGTCTGAGGAGCTCTGCAAGTGTCGAGACCTGTGTGATAAGCAGGTGTCTGAGATGGTGTTGATGCAAACAGCTCTTCGTGAGGCAGTCGAACAGGCGTCAACTGCTCGACAGGAACTGGAAGCCTATAGACACGAGAAGGTTTGCGTAGTGTCAGATCTGGAGGGTCGATTGTCTGCTTCTCGTGACGAGTGTTCTGCATTACGGGATGAAATGTGCCGGCTTGAGAAATCGATGGAAGAGCGTTGCAACACAGTGTTGGCGATAGCCAATCGAGACTGGGAGTCGCGCGTAAACGAAATTGTGAGTGAACGCGACACAGCCATGAAAGAGTTGTCGGAACTGCGTGGTAGATTGGATATGGCAGACGATGTGGACGCCAGGTTGGTAAAAGCAGTGTGCAGAAGTGACATGAGAACTGAAATGCCAGATCGTATCATTGAACATGATGTAGCATTGTCATCAGGGTTCACTAGTGATCTGAGAGAGACTGTGAGCGTGGGCGTTGGTAAAGATGCAGAGGACGATGAGTCGAATTGCATGGTGGTTGACGGTTGGAGCGACTACTCCTCAGAATGCATACACGACGAGCACAAGCCTAGTGTGTCGGTTGGTTCTCCGACCAGACTTGTGAGTGTGGAGACTCAAGCGACAGACAGCGTGTCTTGGTTGGCTACTGACACATTGTCAACTTCAGGATTTACCTATCCGTCGACCGTAGACCAGTCGACCATGAGTGCAGTGGAGATGACGAGAGAGAAGCTAGTGAGTTCAAGTTTGTGTGAAGATAAGTCGAATGTGGTTGGTCAACTGCGTGAAGAGTTGGCGTCTTGTTATGAACAGATAGTGAAGCTGTCTAAATCGGTAGAGGAGAGTGATGCTTCGTTGATGGATGTTCGGCGTTTGTTGACTGTGAAGGAGAGTGAAGTTGCGGATCTGAGAGAAGAGAAGCGTCATTTGCGAGACGAAGTGAATGAGTTGAGGGAGACTGTGGAGGCAGAACGACGTGATTTGGACATTATGCGTGCCAATGTGGATGTGTTGGAGAGGAAGGAAGAGGTGTCGGCGATGTACGTGGAGAGTCGTGGACCGAACACTGCTGCTGTTGAGGAGGAGTGTGTGCAGACGGAGATTGAGGACGACGTTTATGACCTAGTGTCGTCTCTGCAGGTCGAGGTTGCCCATCTGCGTGAGGAAAATGCGGCGACGTTGACGGCTCTGGAGCGTTCACAGCTCGAGTTGATGATGAAACAGACCGAAGTGCAGGAACTGGAGTCACGTATCGTGGTGAACGAGAGGACTTGGTCGATTCCTTGTGAGACTGTGAGAAAGGCACCCGATGTGGTTGTCGGTGAGTTGGCAGAGGTTGATGACACGGACAGAGTGGAGGCAGACGTGTTTTCTGGAGTTCCTGACAAGAAGCTGGTGGAGACTGTTGCAGGTGACTCAGTGTCAGGCATTGTGCACGACCGAATGGACAGACAAACTATGGACTTATGTGTTGAGGGCGTTTCGAACGAGGAAGTGGTCTCGCCCATTCACGCCACTCAGAGTTGGACGAAACCAACGAGTGAAGAAGACAATGACGATCCTGAACTTTCCCTGTTGAATACAGACAGCCTAAGAGCGCGATTGAAAGAGGCCATGAACAGAATCAGCGAACTTGAGAATGCCAAGACAGAGTTGAGTGCGCGTGTGGGTGAGCTGGAAGGCGTCATGATGTGTGAGGAAAAGCCTATGGATGTGATGCCTCTCAGTTCAGGTGTGCCTGACCGATCGATGAAAGTCACGGACGAAGCTGATGCACTGTCGAAGCAGAACAAAGAGCTGATGACAGAGGTAGACTTGTTACGAAGCAGGATTTCAGAGCGCGTAACAATGTTGGACGATGTGTGCATGGAGATGGATGAGGTCAGAGGATCACTTGGTTTCTTGTTGAAGCAGGTGAAAGAATTGCGTGCAGCACATGCTGAGGCGAATGCTGACCGTGCCGACATGGCGAACAGAGTGAGTGAGTACGAACGGGCCTCACGTCGCCCATGCGAAACAGTTGGTCGATCCACGTCACCGGTGCAAGACATCGACTATGCACATGAAGGCTTGTCGACTGACCGTTGCACATCAGACGGGTTACGAGAGGATTTGCAGCGTGCACTGGATACACAATCGTTCGAGTTAGAGGTGGTCACTGAGAAACTGAAAGAATGTGAGTCAGTGAACAATGACCTGATCTGTGAGTGTGAGTCGCTGAAGCGTCGTCTCGAAAGCTATGTGACTGTGACCAGTGACTTGGAGAATGACGTGACCAAGACGAAAGCACTGTTGGTGTTTGTGGTTGACCATATAAGGGGCCTGCGTTCCGACTATGGAGATTGGTGTAGAGAGCACGAAGAACGAGTGCATGATTGTTTAGATGCTGTGGCAACAGGGTTGTCCCATGGTGTGGTTGAACACGTGGACCGTGAGTGTGAAACGATGACATGTCCAGAACACTTGGAGTCTACTGTTATGCTTGATAGCATTGTGCCACTACAGGAGTCTAATGAAGTTACGTCGATGCAGAGAGGAAAAGATTGGGATTCGGTAAATGAGATGAGCAGACTGTGTGACACCAATCGTGAGCTGTCTGAGGAGCTCTGCAAGTGTCGAGACCTGTGTGATAAGCAGGTGTCCGAGATGGTGTTGATGCAAACAGCTCTTCGTGAGGCAGTCGAACAGGCGTCAACTGCTCGACAGGAACTGGAAGCCTATAGACACGAGAAGGTTTGCGTAGTGTCAGATCTGGAGGGTCGATTGTCTGCTTCTCGTGACGAGTGTTCTGCATTACGGGATGAAATGTGCCGGCTTGAGAAATCGATGGAAGAGCGTTGCAACACAGTGTTGGCGATAGCCAATCGAGACTGGGAGTCGCGCGTAAACGAAATTGTGAGTGAACGCGACACAGCCATGAAAGAGTTGTCGGAACTGCGTGGTAGATTGGATATGGCAGACGATGTGGACGCCAGGTTGGTAAAAGCAGTGTGCAGAAGTGACATGAGAACTGAAATGCCAGATCGTATCATTGAACATGATGTAGCATTGTCATCAGGGTTCACTAGTGATCTGAGAGAGACTGTGAGCGTGGGCGTTGGTAAAGATGCAGAGGACGATGAGTCGAATTGCATGGTGGTTGACGGTTGGAGCGACTACTCCTCAGAATGCATACACGACGAGCACAAGCCTAGTGTGTCGGTTGGTTCTCCGACCAGACTTGTGAGTGTGGAGACTCAAGCGACAGACAGCGTGTCTTGGTTGGCTACTGACACATTGTCAACTTCAGGATTTACCTATCCGTCGACCGTAGACCAGTCGACCATGAGTGCAGTGGAGATGACGAGAGAGAAGCTAGTGAGTTCAAGTTTGTGTGAAGATAAGTCGAATGTGGTTGGTCAACTGCGTGAAGAGTTGGCGTCTTGTTATGAACAGATAGTGAAGCTGTCTAAATCGGTAGAGGAGAGTGATGCTTCGTTGATGGATGTTCGGCGTTTGTTGACTGTGAAGGAGAGTGAAGTTGCGGATCTGAGAGAAGAGAAGCGTCATTTGCGAGACGAAGTGAATGAGTTGAGGGAGACTGTGGAGGCAGAACGACGTGATTTGGACATTATGCGTGCCAATGTGGATGTGTTGGAGAGGAAGGAAGAGGTGTCGGCGATGTACGTGGAGAGTCGTGGACCGAACACTGCTGCTGTTGAGGAGGAGTGTGTGCAGACGGAGATTGAGGACGACGTTTATGACCTAGTGTCGTCTCTGCAGGTCGAGGTTGCCCATCTGCGTGAGGAAAATGCGGCGACGTTGACGGCTCTGGAGCGTTCACAGCTCGAGTTGATGATGAAACAGACCGAAGTGCAGGAACTGGAGTCACGTATCGTGGTGAACGAGAGGACTTGGTCGATTCCTTGTGAGACTGTGAGAAAGGCACCCGATGTGGTTGTCGGTGAGTTGGCAGAGGTTGATGACACGGACAGAGTGGAGGCAGACGTGTTTTCTGGAGTTCCTGACAAGAAGCTGGTGGAGACTGTTGCAGGTGACTCAGTGTCAGGCATTGTGCACGACCGAATGGACAGACAAACTATGGACTTATGTGTTGAGGGCGTTTCGAACGAGGAAGTGGTCTCGCCCATTCACGCCACTCAGAGTTGGACGAAACCAACGAGTGAAGAAGACAATGACGATCCTGAACTTTCCCTGTTGAATACAGACAGCCTAAGAGCGCGATTGAAAGAGGCCATGAACAGAATCAGCGAACTTGAGAATGCCAAGACAGAGTTGAGTGCGCGTGTGGGTGAGCTGGAAGGCGTCATGATGTGTGAGGAAAAGCCTATGGATGTGATGCCTCTCAGTTCAGGTGTGCCTGACCGATCGATGAAAGTCACGGACGGAGCTGATGCACTGTCGAAGCAGAACAAAGAGCTGATGACAGAGGTAGACTTGTTACGAAGCAGGATTTCAGAGCGCGTAACAATGTTGGACGATGTGTGCATGGAGATGGATGAGGTCAGAGGATCACTTGGTTTCTTGTTGAAGCAGGTGAAAGAATTGCGTGCAGCACATGCTGAGGCGAATGCTGACCGTGCCGACATGGCGAACAGAGTGAGTGAGTACGAACGGGCCTCACGTCGCCCATGCGAAACAGTTGGTCGATCCACGTCACCGGTGCAAGACATCGACTATGCACATGAAGGCTTGTCGACTGACCGTTGCACATCAGACGGGTTACGAGAGGATTTGCAGCGTGCACTGGATACACAATCGTTCGAGTTAGAGGTGGTCACTGTGAAACTGAAAGAATGTGAGTCAGTGAACAATGACCTGATCTGTGAGTGTGAGTCGCTGAAGCGTCGTCTCGAAAGCTATGTGACTGTGACCAGTGACTTGGAGAATGACGTGACCAAGACGAAAGCACTGTTGGTGTTTGTGGTTGACCATATAAGGGGCCTGCGTTCCGACTATGGAGATTGGTGTAGAGAGCACGAAGAACGAGTGCATGATTGTTTAGATGCTGTGGCAACAGGGTTGTCCCATGGTGTGGTTGAACACGTGGACCGTGAGTGTGAAACGATGACATGTCCAGAACACTTGGAGTCTACTGTTATGCTTGATAGCATTGTGCCACTACAGGAGTCTAATGAAGTTACGTCGATGCAGAGAGGAAAAGATTGGGATTCGGTAAATGAGATGAGCAGACTGTGTGACACCAATCGTGAGCTGTCTGAGGAGCTCTGCAAGTGTCGAGACCTGTGTGATAAGCAGGTGTCTGAGATGGTGTTGATGCAAACAGCTCTTCGTGAGGCAGTCGAACAGGCGTCAACTGCTCGACAGGAACTGGAAGCCTATAGACACGAGAAGGTTTGCGTAGTGTCAGATCTGGAGGGTCGATTGTCTGCTTCTCGTGACGAGTGTTCTGCATTACGGGATGAAATGTGCCGGCTTGAGAAATCGATGGAAGAGCGTTGCAACACAGTGTTGGCGATAGCCAATCGAGACTGGGAGTCGCGCGTAAACGAAATTGTGAGTGAACGCGACACAGCCATGAAAGAGTTGTCGGAACTGCGTGGTAGATTGGATATGGCAGACGATGTGGACGCCAGGTTGGTAAAAGCAGTGTGCAGAAGTGACATGAGAACTGAAATGCCAGATCGTATCATTGAACATGATGTAGCATTGTCATCAGGGTTCACTAGTGATCTGAGAGAGACTGTGAGCGTGGGCGTTGGTAAAGATGCAGAGGACGATGAGTCGAATTGCATGGTGGTTGACGGTTGGAGCGACTACTCCTCAGAATGCATACACGACGAGCACAAGCCTAGTGTGTCGGTTGGTTCTCCGACCAGACTTGTGAGTGTGGAGACTCAAGCGACAGACAGCGTGTCTTGGTTGGCTACTGACACATTGTCAACTTCAGGATTTACCTATCCGTCGACCGTAGACCAGTCGACCATGAGTGCAGTGGAGATGACGAGAGAGAAGCTAGTGAGTTCAAGTTTGTGTGAAGATAAGTCGAATGTGGTTGGTCAACTGCGTGAAGAGTTGGCGTCTTGTTATGAACAGATAGTGAAGCTGTCTAAATCGGTAGAGGAGAGTGATGCTTCGTTGATGGATGTTCGGCGTTTGTTGACTGTGAAGGAGAGTGAAGTTGCGGATTTGAGAGAAGAGAAGCGTCATTTGCGAGACGAAGTGAATGAGTTGAGGGAGACTGTGGAGGCAGAACGACGTGATTTGGACATTATGCGTGCCAATGTGGATGTGTTGGAGAGGAAGGAAGAGGTGTCGGCGATGTACGTGGAGAGTCGTGGACCGAACACTGCTGCTGTTGAGGAGGAGTGTGTGCAGACGGAGATTGAGGACGACGTTTATGACCTAGTGTCGTCTCTGCAGGTCGAGGTTGCCCATCTGCGTGAGGAAAATGCGGCGACGTTGACGGCTCTGGAGCGTTCACAGCTCGAGTTGATGATGAAACAGACCGAAGTGCAGGAACTGGAGTCACGTATCGTGGTGAACGAGAGGACTTGGTCGATTCCTTGTGAGACTGTGAGAAAGGCACCCGATGTGGTTGTCGGTGAGTTGGCAGAGGTTGATGACACGGACAGAGTGGAGGCAGACGTGTTTTCTGGAGTTCCTGACAAGAAGCTGGTGGAGACTGTTGCAGGTGACTCAGTGTCAGGCATTGTGCACGACCGAATGGACAGACAAACTATGGACTTATGTGTTGAGGGCGTTTCGAACGAGGAAGTGGTCTCGCCCATTCACGCCACTCAGAGTTGGACGAAACCAACGAGTGAAGAAGACAATGACGATCCTGAACTTTCCCTGTTGAATACAGACAGCCTAAGAGCGCGATTGAAAGAGGCCATGAACAGAATCAGCGAACTTGAGAATGCCAAGACAGAGTTGAGTGCGCGTGTGGGTGAGCTGGAAGGCGTCATGATGTGTGAGGAAAAGCCTATGGATGTGATGCCTCTCAGTTCAGGTGTGCCTGACCGATCGATGAAAGTCACGGACGAAGCTGATGCACTGTCGAAGCAGAACAAAGAGCTGATGACAGAGGTAGACTTGTTACGAAGCAGGATTTCAGAGCGCGTAACAATGTTGGACGATGTGTGCATGGAGATGGATGAGGTCAGAGGATCACTTGGTTTCTTGTTGAAGCAGGTGAAAGAATTGCGTGCAGCACATGCTGAGGCGAATGCTGACCGTGCCGACATGGCGAACAGAGTGAGTGAGTACGAACGGGCCTCACGTCGCCCATGCGAAACAGTTGGTCGATCCACGTCACCGGTGCAAGACATCGACTATGCACATGAAGGCTTGTCGACTGACCGTTGCACATCAGACGGGTTACGAGAGGATTTGCAGCGTGCACTGGATACACAATCGTTCGAGTTGGAGGTGGTCACTGAGAAACTGAAAGAATGTGAGTCAGTGAACAATGACCTGATCTGTGAGTGTGAGTCGCTGAAGCGTCGTCTCGAAAGCTATGTGACTGTGACCAGTGACTTGGAGAATGACGTGACCAAGACGAAAGCACTGTTGGTGTTTGTGGTTGACCATATAAGGGGCCTGCGTTCCGACTATGGAGATTGGTGTAGAGAGCACGAAGAACGAGTGCATGATTGTTTAGATGCTGTGGCAACAGGGTTGTCCCATGGTGTGGTTGAACACGTGGACCGTGAGTGTGAAACGATGACATGTCCAGAACACTTGGAGTCTACTGTTATGCTTGATAGCATTGTGCCACTACAGGAGTCTAATGAAGTTACGTCGATGCAGAGAGGAAAAGATTGGGATTCGGTAAATGAGATGAGCAGACTGTGTGACACCAATCGTGAGCTGTCTGAGGAGCTCTGCAAGTGTCGAGACCTGTGTGATAAGCAGGTGTCTGAGATGGTGTTGATGCAAACAGCTCTTCGTGAGGCAGTCGAACAGGCGTCAACTGCTCGACAGGAACTGGAAGCCTATAGACACGAGAAGGTTTGCGTAGTGTCAGATCTGGAGGGTCGATTGTCTGCTTCTCGTGACGAGTGTTCTGCATTACGGGATGAAATGTGCCGGCTTGAGAAATCGATGGAAGAGCGTTGCAACACAGTGTTGGCGATAGCCAATCGAGACTGGGAGTCGCGCGTAAACGAAATTGTGAGTGAACGCGACACAGCCATGAAAGAGTTGTCGGAACTGCGTGGTAGATTGGATATGGCAGACGATGTGGACGCCAGGTTGGTAAAAGCAGTGTGCAGAAGTGACATGAGAACTGAAATGCCAGATCGTATCATTGAACATGATGTAGCATTGTCATCAGGGTTCACTAGTGATCTGAGAGAGACTGTGAGCGTGGGCGTTGGTAAAGATGCAGAGGACGATGAGTCGAATTGCATGGTGGTTGACGGTTGGAGCGACTACTCCTCAGAATGCATACACGACGAGCACAAGCCTAGTGTGTCGGTTGGTTCTCCGACCAGACTTGTGAGTGTGGAGACTCAAGCGACAGACAGCGTGTCTTGGTTGGCTACTGACACATTGTCAACTTCAGGATTTACCTATCCGTCGACCGTAGACCAGTCGACCATGAGTGCAGTGGAGATGACGAGAGAGAAGCTAGTGAGTTCAAGTTTGTGTGAAGATAAGTTGAATGTGGTTGGTCAACTGCGTGAAGAGTTGGCGTCTTGTTATGAACAGATAGTGAAGCTGTCTAAATCGGTAGAGGAGAGTGATGCTTCGTTGATGGATGTTCGGCGTTTGTTGACTGTGAAGGAGAGTGAAGTTGCGGATTTGAGAGAAGAGAAGCGTCATTTGCGAGACGAAGTGAATGAGTTGAGGGAGACTGTGGAGGCAGAACGACGTGATTTGGACATTATGCGTGCCAATGTGGATGTGTTGGAGAGGAAGGAAGAGGTGTCGGCGATGTACGTGGAGAGTCGTGGACCGAACACTGCTGCTGTGGAGGAGGAGTGTGTGCAGACGGAGATTGAGGACGACGTTTATGACCTAGTGTCGTCTCTGCAGGTCGAGGTTGCCCATCTGCGTGAGGAAAATGCGGCGACGTTGACGGCTCTGGAGCGTTCACAGCTCGAGTTGATGATGAAACAGACCGAAGTGCAGGAACTGGAGTCACGTATCGTGGTGAACGAGAGGACTTGGTCGATTCCTTGTGAGACTGTGAGAAAGGCACCCGATGTGGTTGTCGGTGAGTTGGCAGAGGTTGATGACACGGACAGAGTGGAGGCAGACGTGTTTTCTGGAGTTCCTGACAAGAAGCTGGTGGAGACTGTTGCAGGTGACTCAGTGTCAGGCATTGTGCACGACCGAATGGACAGACAAACTATGGACTTATGTGTTGAGGGCGTTTCGAACGAGGAAGTGGTCTCGCCCATTCACGCCACTCAGAGTTGGACGAAACCAACGAGTGAAGAAGACAATGACGATCCTGAACTTTCCCTGTTGAATACAGACAGCCTAAGAGCGCGATTGAAAGAGGCCATGAACAGAATCAGCGAACTTGAGAATGCCAAGACAGAGTTGAGTGCGCGTGTGGGTGAGCTGGAAGGCGTCATGATGTGTGAGGAAAAGCCTATGGATGTGATGCCTCTCAGTTCAGGTGTGCCTGACCGATCGATGAAAGTCACGGACGAAGCTGATGCACTGTCGAAGCAGAACAAAGAGCTGATGACAGAGGTAGACTTGTTACGAAGCAGGATTTCAGAGCGCGTAACAATGTTGGACGATGTGTGCATGGAGATGGATGAGGTCAGAGGATCACTTGGTTTCTTGTTGAAGCAGGTGAAAGAATTGCGTGCAGCACATGCTGAGGCGAATGCTGACCGTGCCGACATGGCGAACAGAGTGAGTGAGTACGAACGGGCCTCACGTCGCCTATGCGAAACAGTTGGTCGATCCACGTCACCGGTGCAAGACATCGACTATGCACATGAAGGCTTGTCGACTGACCGTTGCACATCAGACGGGTTACGAGAGGATTTGCAGCGTGCACTGGATACACAATCGTTCGAGTTGGAGGTGGTCACTGTGAAACTGAAAGAATGTGAGTCAGTGAACAATGACCTGATCTGTGAGTGTGAGTCGCTGAAGCGTCGTCTCGAAAGCTATGTGACTGTGACCAGTGACTTGGAGAATGACGTGACCAAGACGAAAGCACTGTTGGTGTTTGTGGTTGACCATATAAGGGGCCTGCGTTCCGACTATGGAGATTGGTGTAGAGAGCACGAAGAACGAGTGCATGATTGTTTAGATGCTGTGGCAACAGGGTTGTCCCATGGTGTGGTTGAACACGTGGACCGTGAGTGTGAAACGATGACATGTCCAGAACACTTGGAGTCTACTGTTATGCTTGATAGCATTGTGCCACTACAGGAGTCTAATGAAGTTACGTCGATGCAGAGAGGAAAAGATTGGGATTCGGTAAATGAGATGAGCAGACTGTGTGACACCAATCGTGAGCTGTCTGAGGAGCTCTGCAAGTGTCGAGACCTGTGTGATAAGCAGGTGTCTGAGATGGTGTTGATGCAAACAGCTCTTCGTGAGGCAGTCGAACAGGCGTCAACTGCTCGACAGGAACTGGAAGCCTATAGACACGAGAAGGTTTGCGTAGTGTCAGATCTGGAGGGTCGATTGTCTGCTTCTCGTGACGAGTGTTCTGCATTACGGGATGAAATGTGCCGGCTTGAGAAATCGATGGAAGAGCGTTGCAACACAGTGTTGGCGATAGCCAATCGAGACTGGGAGTCGCGCGTAAACGAAATTGTGAGTGAACGCGACACAGCCATGAAAGAGTTGTCGGAACTGCGTGGTAGATTGGATATGGCAGACGATGTGGACGCCAGGTTGGTAAAAGCAGTGTGCAGAAGTGACATGAGAACTGAAATGCCAGATCGTATCATTGAACATGATGTAGCATTGTCATCAGGGTTCACTAGTGATCTGAGAGAGACTGTGAGCGTGGGCGTTGGTAAAGATGCAGAGGACGATGAGTCGAATTGCATGGTGGTTGACGGTTGGAGCGACTACTCCTCAGAATGCATACACGACGAGCACAAGCCTAGTGTGTCGGTTGGTTCTCCGACCAGACTTGTGAGTGTGGAGACTCAAGCGACAGACAGCGTGTCTTGGTTGGCTACTGACACATTGTCAACTTCAGGATTTACCTATCCGTCGACCGTAGACCAGTCGACCATGAGTGCAGTGGAGATGACGAGAGAGAAGCTAGTGAGTTCAAGTTTGTGTGAAGATAAGTTGAATGTGGTTGGTCAACTGCGTGAAGAGTTGGCGTCTTGTTATGAACAGATAGTGAAGCTGTCTAAATCGGTAGAGGAGAGTGATGCTTCGTTGATGGATGTTCGGCGTTTGTTGACTGTGAAGGAGAGTGAAGTTGCGGATTTGAGAGAAGAGAAGCGTCATTTGCGAGACGAAGTGAATGAGTTGAGGGAGACTGTGGAGGCAGAACGACGTGATTTGGACATTATGCGTGCCAATGTGGATGTGTTGGAGAGGAAGGAAGAGGTGTCGGCGATGTACGTGGAGAGTCGTGGACCGAACACTGCTGCTGTGGAGGAGGAGTGTGTGCAGACGGAGATTGAGGACGACGTTTATGACCTAGTGTCGTCTCTGCAGGTCGAGGTTGCCCATCTGCGTGAGGAAAATGCGGCGACGTTGACGGCTCTGGAGCGTTCACAGCTCGAGTTGATGATGAAACAGACCGAAGTGCAGGAACTGGAGTCACGTATCGTGGTGAACGAGAGGACTTGGTCGATTCCTTGTGAGACTGTGAGAAAGGCACCCGATGTGGTTGTCGGTGAGTTGGCAGAGGTTGATGACACGGACAGAGTGGAGGCAGACGTGTTTTCTGGAGTTCCTGACAAGAAGCTGGTGGAGACTGTTGCAGGTGACTCAGTGTCAGGCATTGTGCACGACCGAATGGACAGACAAACTATGGACTTATGTGTTGAGGGCGTTTCGAACGAGGAAGTGGTCTCGCCCATTCACGCCACTCAGAGTTGGACGAAACCAACGAGTGAAGAAGACAATGACGATCCTGAACTTTCCCTGTTGAATACAGACAGCCTAAGAGCGCGATTGAAAGAGGCCATGAACAGAATCAGCGAACTTGAGAATGCCAAGACAGAGTTGAGTGCGCGTGTGGGTGAGCTGGAAGGCGTCATGATGTGTGAGGAAAAGCCTATGGATGTGATGCCTCTCAGTTCAGGTGTGCCTGACCGATCGATGAAAGTCACGGACGAAGCTGATGCACTGTCGAAGCAGAACAAAGAGCTGATGACAGAGGTAGACTTGTTACGAAGCAGGATTTCAGAGCGCGTAACAATGTTGGACGATGTGTGCATGGAGATGGATGAGGTCAGAGGATCACTTGGTTTCTTGTTGAAGCAGGTGAAAGAATTGCGTGCAGCACATGCTGAGGCGAATGCTGACCGTGCCGACATGGCGAACAGAGTGAGTGAGTACGAACGGGCCTCACGTCGCCTATGCGAAACAGTTGGTCGATCCACGTCACCGGTGCAAGACATCGACTATGCACATGAAGGCTTGTCGACTGACCGTTGCACATCAGACGGGTTACGAGAGGATTTGCAGCGTGCACTGGATACACAATCGTTCGAGTTGGAGGTGGTCACTGAGAAACTGAAAGAATGTGAGTCAGTGAACAATGACCTGATCTGTGAGTGTGAGTCGCTGAAGCGTCGTCTCGAAAGCTATGTGACTGTGACCAGTGACTTGGAGAATGACGTGACCAAGACGAAAGCACTGTTGGTGTTTGTGGTTGACCATATAAGGGGCCTGCGTTCCGACTATGGAGATTGGTGTAGAGAGCACGAAGAACGAGTGCATGATTGTTTAGATGCTGTGGCAACAGGGTTGTCCCATGGTGTGGTTGAACACGTGGACCGTGAGTGTGAAACGATGACATGTCCAGAACACTTGGAGTCTACTGTTATGCTTGATAGCATTGTGCCACTACAGGAGTCTAATGAAGTTACGTCGATGCAGAGAGGAAAAGATTGGGATTCGGTAAATGAGATGAGCAGACTGTGTGACACCAATCGTGAGCTGTCTGAGGAGCTCTGCAAGTGTCGAGACCTGTGTGATAAGCAGGTGTCTGAGATGGTGTTGATGCAAACAGCTCTTCGTGAGGCAGTCGAACAGGCGTCAACTGCTCGACAGGAACTGGAAGCCTATAGACACGAGAAGGTTTGCGTAGTGTCAGATCTGGAGGGTCGATTGTCTGCTTCTCGTGACGAGTGTTCTGCATTACGGGATGAAATGTGCCGGCTTGAGAAATCGATGGAAGAGCGTTGCAACACAGTGTTGGCGATAGCCAATCGAGACTGGGAGTCGCGCGTAAACGAAATTGTGAGTGAACGCGACACAGCCATGAAAGAGTTGTCGGAACTGCGTGGTAGATTGGATATGGCAGACGATGTGGACGCCAGGTTGGTAAAAGCAGTGTGCAGAAGTGGCATGAGAACTGAAATGCCAGATCGTATCATTGAACATGATGTAGCATTGTCATCAGGGTTCACTAGTGATCTGAGAGAGACTGTGAGCGTGGGCGTTGGTAAAGATGCAGAGGACGATGAGTCGAATTGCATGGTGGTTGACGGTTGGAGCGACTACTCCTCAGAATGCATACACGACGAGCACAAGCCTAGTGTGTCGGTTGGTTCTCCGACCAGACTTGTGAGTGTGGAGACTCAAGCGACAGACAGCGTGTCTTGGTTGGCTACTGACACATTGTCAACTTCAGGATTTACCTATCCGTCGACCGTAGACCAGTCGACCATGAGTGCAGTGGAGATGACGAGAGAGAAGCTAGTGAGTTCAAGTTTGTGTGAAGATAAGTTGAATGTGGTTGGTCAACTGCGTGAAGAGTTGGCGTCTTGTTATGAACAGATAGTGAAGCTGTCTAAATCGGTAGAGGAGAGTGATGCTTCGTTGATGGATGTTCGGCGTTTGTTGACTGTGAAGGAGAGTGAAGTTGCGGATTTGAGAGAAGAGAAGCGTCATTTGCGAGACGAAGTGAATGAGTTGAGGGAGACTGTGGAGGCAGAACGACGTGATTTGGACATTATGCGTGCCAATGTGGATGTGTTGGAGAGGAAGGAAGAGGTGTCGGCGATGTACGTGGAGAGTCGTGGACCGAACACTGCTGCTGTGGAGGAGGAGTGTGTGCAGACGGAGATTGAGGACGACGTTTATGACCTAGTGTCGTCTCTGCAGGTCGAGGTTGCCCATCTGCGTGAGGAAAATGCGGCGACGTTGACGGCTCTGGAGCGTTCACAGCTCGAGTTGATGATGAAACAGACCGAAGTGCAGGAACTGGAGTCACGTATCGTGGTGAACGAGAGGACTTGGTCGATTCCTTGTGAGACTGTGAGAAAGGCACCCGATGTGGTTGTCGGTGAGTTGGCAGAGGTTGATGACACGGACAGAGTGGAGGCAGACGTGTTTTCTGGAGTTCCTGACAAGAAGCTGGTGGAGACTGTTGCAGGTGACTCAGTGTCAGGCATTGTGCACGACCGAATGGACAGACAAACTATGGACTTATGTGTTGAGGGCGTTTCGAACGAGGAAGTGGTCTCGCCCATTCACGCCACTCAGAGTTGGACGAAACCAACGAGTGAAGAAGACAATGACGATCCTGAACTTTCCCTGTTGAATACAGACAGCCTAAGAGCGCGATTGAAAGAGGCCATGAACAGAATCAGCGAACTTGAGAATGCCAAGACAGAGTTGAGTGCGCGTGTGGGTGAGCTGGAAGGCGTCATGATGTGTGAGGAAAAGCCTATGGATGTGATGCCTCTCAGTTCAGGTGTGCCTGACCGATCGATGAAAGTCACGGACGAAGCTGATGCACTGTCGAAGCAGAACAAAGAGCTGATGACAGAGGTAGACTTGTTACGAAGCAGGATTTCAGAGCGCGTAACAATGTTGGACGATGTGTGCATGGAGATGGATGAGGTCAGAGGATCACTTGGTTTCTTGTTGAAGCAGGTGAAAGAATTGCGTGCAGCACATGCTGAGGCGAATGCTGACCGTGCCGACATGGCGAACAGAGTGAGTGAGTACGAACGGGCCTCACGTCGCCCATGCGAAACAGTTGGTCGATCCACGTCACCGGTGCAAGACATCGACTATGCACATGAAGGCTTGTCGACTGACCGTTGCACATCAGACGGGTTACGAGAGGATTTGCAGCGTGCACTGGATACACAATCGTTCGAGTTGGAGGTGGTCACTGAGAAACTGAAAGAATGTGAGTCAGTGAACAATGACCTGATCTGTGAGTGTGAGTCGCTGAAGCGTCGTCTCGAAAGCTATGTGACTGTGACCAGTGACTTGGAGAATGACGTGACCAAGACGAAAGCACTGTTGGTGTTTGTGGTTGACCATATAAGGGGCCTGCGTTCCGACTATGGAGATTGGTGTAGAGAGCACGAAGAACGAGTGCATGATTGTTTAGATGCTGTGGCAACAGGGTTGTCCCATGGTGTGGTTGAACACGTGGACCGTGAGTGTGAAACGATGACATGTCCAGAACACTTGGAGTCTACTGTTATGCTTGATAGCATTGTGCCACTACAGGAGTCTAATGAAGTTACGTCGATGCAGAGAGGAAAAGATTGGGATTCGGTAAATGAGATGAGCAAACTGTGTGACATCAATCGTCAACTCATATGTGAAATTTTTCCTCGTACTCCTTTGTCAGGTGAATTTTGTTTTTGTCGTAATTCCACATTGGATTTCGTGTCTAGTTCAAATGTCGTTGATGAGCTTTCTCAGCTGAAGCACAATTTTTCAAGTCTTTCAATGTCCTTAGCATTCGCTGTTGATTTCGTAGATTTGTGTGTGAAGTTAGTTTCACTGTTTGTGAATTTGTTTTTGAATTTATCGAGATGCGCGACTGCCACTTTTGATGATGTATTACGTACTGATTTCATAGATCTTTTATCAGATATTGTAACGTTTTCTAAATCTTCGAATTTTGTTGAAGTTTTTGGCGATTATTCTAATCATTTGAAATGTTTCAGTAATCTATATGATTTACTATTATCCCCTGGGTTAGCTTCTTGTAGTTTATGTAAAATTCAAAACGTTTCTGATCCTAGTTTTATATGTAATTTATGTGTTCGTTGTATTACTTCTATTCAAAATCCTGATGTTTACAATTTCATGTTAAATGCTGAATATCCTGAAATCAATCCAATGAATGGTAGTACTGATGATGTTGTTGATGATGAGGATGTGAACTCTCCTTGTGATTTAATATCTGACCTTACTCCTTATACACACCATTCACAACTTGTCACACAACAATCTCTGCCTATTGATACTCAACAATCTGAACTTGAACATAAACTTATCATTGCTAAATCAGAAATGAATCGACTATATGATTTATTATATAATATAAGATCAAACAACCATAATGAACAAGAAAGAGATCAAGATCAATTATTATCCATCTCTACTATCAATTTAAATCTACAACGATTTATAGATGGTTTATTCAAAGAAATTCTTCAATCTTTGAATGAATCAACTTCTTCATCATCATCATCATCTATCTCCTGTCTTACTGATTGTATTCATAAATATGTGATGCTTAATAATCAATTAATCACTTTCCCTAAAAATCAATATATTACTAATTACTATAAACATCTTAATCAATTTATGAATTTTTCTCATTTGAATCATAAACCAATAATCAATAATAATCAATTCAATGATTCACAAATAGAAATTCAAAAAATTTATTTTGAAAATTTATATTTAAAAAAACAAAATGATCAAATATTTAATGATATGAATCAACAATTTTCAATGATCAAATTATTAATCAATAAATCAATATCCAATCAAATATTGAATACTTTCTTTGAAAAATCAATAACCAATTCATTTATAATGAATCATCATTTTAATCAATATTATCAATTTATTGATTATATATTAAATGAAAGAAGTCAATTACTCAATGAAAATTTATATTATAAAAATTATATTAATAATAATAATGAATCACATTTAATCGATATCGAAAATATTGATAATAATGATAAAGATGATCTGGATCATTTCATTAAACAACAATTAGATCAATTCAATCATTCTATATTAAAAACAAATCAATATTTATTGAATAAAATTAATAAAATCAATTTAAAAATTGAAAATATTGAAAATCAATTAAATAATAATCAAAAATATTTTAATCAAAAATTAATCAATTTACAAAAAATCAATAATCAATGGAAAAATAATATTAATTTAATGTTTAATCATTTATTTAATTTAATGAATAAAATTAATTATGATGACGATGTAACAACGACGATGGCGACGACAGAAAAAATGACAGTGGCGGCGGCGTCGACGACGGTGACAACTGATCAGATACAAACACATGATTCTGAAATTAGTATAATTGAAGAAAATTTCAATATCACAGAACAAAGTTTATTGAATGTAACAACAACGACGATGACGACAGCAACAACGACTACGGTGACGTCGACGACAATTCCAGCAACAGATATACCGTTATCAATTTATCATTTAAATGAATCACCTATCAATATATTAAATCCAAATGATATTATGCCAACATATAATTTATTAATGAATCAATTACAGCCTCAATTAAATAAAATGGGAATGATAGAAAATCAATTAAATTCATATAATATTCTAATAAAACAATTAATTAAACAATCTAATAAACTTAATAATGAAATAATTCAATTACAATCATTAATTAATAATCAAAATAATGAAACAATGATAATTGATCACTTAGTTACTGACAATGTTGCCATAGCAACTGAACCAATCGAAGAAAATGATCATGATGACAATGTTACCATAGCAACTGAATCAACTGAAGTAGACAATCATGATGATGATAATACAAATATTGAGATGATTATGGAAAAAATGAAAACTTATACAAATCAATTAAATTGTATCAGAAAGAAACTTATACAAATAAAACAAGAGAAATCTAACTTATTATATCATCAAATGAATGAAAAACCATCGGAACTATTGAATATTGAACAAATGGAAACATATAATGAAGATACTAATCATGTAGACTATGAGTTAGTAGTAGAAGAAGAAGAAGATATTCATAGATGTGATCAATCCACATCTTTAAATAAGAAGATTGATCATGTTGAATGCATCAATGAACAATGTCAAAAACAACTATCTCCTATTAAAGAAGATATTTCAACAATTAAAACAATGATATTACATATAAAAGAATATATGAATAGAAACCTTCAACATACATTCATCTATACTTCGATGGATTTACATCAAGCTTTAGAATTGGATAAATCAGATGATTTGTTATGTAATAAATTGAAAATGTTCTCGAAATTCACTCATAATCTATATGAATTACTGCAACTTTACACTGTGCTTTCAGTGCCTGAAGTATCTTCTGTTGAAGTATGTTCCGAAGATGATATTGTTACATTTCTGGATACTTTATTAAGTAGTATAAAGAATATTCTAGAAAGAAATGATACTAAAAATAGTAATATACCTATTATTGATTCTACTCATCAATGCATAGACTCATTAGAACAACAAACAACAAACCAGAGAACCGATGAAATGATATCGTCTTTGAATGAAATCCCTATTACAACTGAAGTACAATTGATAAGGGATCAGTTACAATCACATGATCCTGAAGTTAGAACAGTTGAAGAAACTATCAATGTCACAGAACAAAGTCTATTAAATGTCAGAAGAGATTGTACTGAATTCAAAGATGATGAAAGGTCGGTTAGAAATTCTACTCCTGATGATTCAAATATCCTTCGTAGATCAAACAAAAAGCTTTTGTGCCGATCATTTTCACTGCCGAATTTATCTCAATTCAATGATAAATCAATGAAATTAGATTCACCATTAGCATTAAATGGTATTTGGCCCAAAAGATTATTCAGATCCATGGTAGCAATATCATCACAGACGTCGACATATCCATTATCTATAATGTATTTACTCAGACCACCATATCTTACATTTGTATTGAAATCTTTTCAAAAATTAGAAGTATCCACTCCAGCTATTCTATTGAATTTACAACAACAACTACGTATTCTTCTACTTCTGACACCAGAAAATCATTTAGCATGTTTAGAACATGTCCATAAATACTTAACTGATATCGATACATATTTACTTGTGAAAGAACTTATCACACGGAAATCGTTGAATGATTTACATTTTGAACTACTCAAACTGACTAGACTTAAACATATTGAAAGAAAAAAACGAATGGATAATATAACCATGAATACCAGCTCGACTTTGTCATCTAGTTCGTTTATATCATTAGATTTACAAACTCTTTTGCCTGAAGATGTTCTTGATAAGAAAATCTTACATATTAAAGAGAAATTGAATCAAACCATTCTCAGTTATAAGTGTATTCAAGAGTTGCTAAACCATAAAGATGACTTTACTTTTAATATCACTGGTGATGTGGATCTTGTTGGTTCTGATACTACTACTACTACTGGAAGTGATACCTTCTTATGTTATAGATCATCAGATCATGATCCACAATTTTATATTTCTCATGATAAAGAACAATCTCAGATTACCATTTCAAAAAATAATGAAGATCCTGTTTTCATTGCTGATCATAGTGAACTAGACTATGCTTTACGTTTATTACATTTACGTGATACTGAACTGTTATATATCATCTCAACACAAAATAAATCTGAGGAGGAATCAATGTACAGTTTTAAATATAATCTATCTGCATCTATATTGACTAGTGAAGTTCTCAAAGAGAAGCTTAAGAAATTCTTATATTGGGAAAATATAGATCCAATCAATATAAACAGTATACCAATTCAACGTATTAATATCAATATGTTAGAATTACAAGAATCCTCTGAACAACAACAACAAATTGATACAATATCATCTGTTTCTAAGAATCAATTATTTATAAATATTGAAACAACAGAAATAACAGATCAATCTACTACTGGTCAAATGTCCTATCATGAAGATATGGATGTAAGTGATATTTGGGTAGTAATTTTCTTATCAGAAAGGATTTTGAGGAGATTTAGCATTTTTCATAGTTGAAAGCGTGAGTCAATTGATGCTAGACTACCATAGAAAACCTGCAAGCACTGCTTGACGGCCGTTTCATCCTATTATGGGACTCCTCATCAGTGCGCATCCACGATCCCGCACTCGCTAGCAGGATTCGAACCTAGGACCTACCAGTCTCGAGCCAAAGTCCTTAACCGATAGACCACTGAGCCGGCCGGCATCCAATGGTGTTAATGTCTAACTTCAACTGATCCACGAAGTTCAGCAACCTTTCACCAATCATCCTCATTGAGTTGACATCTCACAACAGACGTGGTTTGAACTCCACTGGTCACTGCTTCTCACTCATTTTGTTTAGAAGAAGACTCTGAACAGTACTTCGTTGTCGTGACAGAATTCAACTGGAATTGGAAGCTTAGATTCGACAACAAATATTTATATTGCCAACTCAGACGATTTCTAAGGCTATCAACTATACTAGTATTTTACCAGTCAGTTGTTATGTCACACACAAATAACTAAGATCCCATACTTCTTTTTTTTCAGTGGTATGAACAACATTTGTATACATTAGTTCAAAATGCATTGAATGCATTAAATCAAATGAATCAACATTTTCTTGAATCTAAAAAACCATTGCTATCTGAATGTAGACAAGAAGAGTTAATCAATATCTTGACGAAATTATTAACTACTATCCCAATCAACTGCGGTATACAACAAGATCCTCATGAAAAAACTGTTCCAAAAATATTTCCATCATCATCTTTTTCATTCTCTCCATCTTTAACATCATCATCATTGTTGGAAGAACATCAAAGATGTAATACAACTGCTACTACAATGACACCTTCAGGAATTACTCTTTCATCTACTACTCCTACTTACAACATCACTACAACCGCTACATCATTTTCACAGGCTAAACCAATCTCTGAAATATCTGATTCATCTAATTTAAGTTTGACAACAAATTTAACTTATCCAAGACGTTCAGAAAAAACATCTATTCATGAATTGATTAGTTCAGTGGATCATTTAAAAAATTTGAAGGAATTGCGTAATTTAGCTAAATATCTATTAGATCAATATCATATTGTTACATCTGAAGTAAGTAATTGATTGTTTGTATTGTTATATGATAATCTTAATGTTTCTATCTTTATTTTAACACAACTTACTTACTTACTTACGCCTGTTACCCCTCGTCGAGTAGCATAGGCCGCTCACCAGCATTCTCCATCCAACTCTGTCCAGTTGTTATTCATCCTTTTCATATCAGCTTCTATCTCCCGACGTAATGTGTTCTTTGGCAGTTATTATTAAATGCTTTAACTTGTTTAAGTAATATAGTTGATATATTGGTCACTTATGATGAGAATGTTTACGTGGCTGACGTTTGACCTTCTTCCAACGCTGTTCATTCAACCCTAAAAATGAAGTAGATTCATCCATCTCCTTTCTTGCTGTAATTCTGGCAAGGTGGAATGATCCATTTCAATAAAATAAAGATGGGACTAGCAGTTAACCAACTTCTATACATGTGTATTCTATTTTACAGAAATAACAGTTTTATTCACTCTGTATGATTTCGGATACGTGATGTCCGTAATATTTATTTATTTAAACACATACATATTGGTACAAAAGGGCACCAGATACATATGCGCCACACTTTTTGTGTTAGGGCTGTGATACTGCCCACGTGCCCGAACCGAAGCAGGTGGTTTTCTTAGGGGGCCACACCCTGAGCTTTTGACCTAAAGGTCTGATCCACAAGGCAGTGGAGCATCGTAAGGGAAGCAGTCCCATGGTAGCTGGTGACCAACGACTGATTCAGGCGCCATTTGTTCCCTCAGGATACTGGATCACATGTGCACCATTGATTTGGAATCAGGGTTTTCCAACTCCCCTAGGTGAATGCGCCGTGTTCACCAACCCGGTTAAAGCGCCAGACATTCTCTTTTCATTCCCTCAATTTCGTAAAGAACACCCCCGCCACGAGAAGGCAATGAATAGGACTTCCCTGGCAGGGGCTATATACGCGTGGCCATGTGTGAGCATTTCGAGAGGGAGAACGGACTCTCCCCACTCTCGGCCGTACCAGGGCATTTGGGGGCTATAGGATGAATTGATGTGGAAAATTCTTTACTTTTGAAAAACAACAGTTGGAAAATAGCTTTTCAATAAACGCTTCACATTTAAGAACATGAAAGTCAAAAGCATAATTCTTGAAACTTAGTTTCTATGAATTATTTTTATGCACATATTATAACATTTAAAGATAACTAAACCTTCCATGTACTTAAGAGAATATTTTATGCAACCAAACTATAGCTAATGTTCATAATCCAGAAACTGTTTTACTTGTGAATGAAAAATAAACATACTCCCATATGGTCACTTATATATCTATCTACGACGGATGAAAGAGAGTTAAGGGAGGCCAAATCTAAACGTGGTATCATAACTATAAAGTCAATAACTTGTAGTCTTAGCCATGTTGGTAGATGCAGACCACTTGATTGGGGCCCATGTGACTATCGCAACCAATGATTGGATACTCTGAGTGACATGGCTCAGAATTGATCACAATAGTGTATGTGTATAAAGTCTTTTTCTTCTCTTAAACTATGAGGTTAAAACTGCTTTATATCTTTCTACGAACTAATTCTGTTTCCATGTATCATATCTCTATATGCACACTTGCTTTTGCTGCGATTTAAGTAACTGCTTCTATGAATTTAATTTTTGTCTTGTGCTAATGAGGTATGTCAGTCTGAACCGATGTATGTATGTGCCTGGTCCTATGTTACAGAAGACTGACTATGACCAACGCAAAAATTATAAATGCTATGAAACCTAGTTTTCATTGTTTATCAAACTTCACTAATGAATTTCATATAACACTTTGCTCTTTTTTTTATTCATTTATGATACTTATTCGTATTTAGCTAGAGCTTCAGTCGGATACTAATTGGTGTTTAAGACAGAGATTAACAAATGCAAACAGTCAATTAAATCGATTAACAGGTTTGCTCAATAAAGGCAGTCAAGGATTATCATCGATTGAAGAAGATTTAAGCTTAGGAACAGACAAAACTTCATTACGTTCAGGTACTGAATAATACGTTATTTACTATTTTAATGATCATTTATTTAAAATTAACCTTCTTTTTAATGTAATATACCGATTAAGGCGATTGATGTGGGATTTTTAATAGTTCCAATGGACTTTTAGTGGCCCTATATCTGACTCCAGTACAATAATGTACAATAATGTAGTCGAACGCGTCGACAACTTCACCTATATTGGAAGTCTGACCAGCCCTAATGGGTTGGTGTCTGACGAAATCTCTGCACGGATTCAAAAAGCTCGTTTGACTTTAGCCAACTTACATCACCTATGGCGAAGACGAGATATCCGTCTATCAATTAAGGGACGAGTATACTGCGCAGCAGTTCGCTCTGTTCTACTTTACGGCTGTGAAACATGGCCATTAAGAGTAGAAAGTACTCGCAGGTTACTGGTATTTGACCACAGATGTCTTAGAAATATTACTCTCATCTGCTGGGATAACCGGGTAAGTAATAGTGAGGTTAGGCGCAGGTTATTTAGGAGTGGTGGTAAATCAGTTGATGAGGTGATGAATCTTCATCGACTGAGATGGTTGGGCCACGTGTTACGTATGCCTGAACACCGATTACCACGACGCGCTATGCTGACTAGTATTGAGGATGGTTGGAAGAGAGTTAGGGGCGGCCAAACCAAAACATGGCATCAGAGCTTCAAGTCACTAACTTCTAGTCTGAGCCATGTTGGTAGATGCAGACTACTTGGTTGGGGTCCGCGTGTCTATCGTAACCAATGTTTAGAGACTCTGGGTGACATGGCTCAGAACCGACCACAATGGCGTAGGTGTATACACTCTTTATCTTCTCTTAAACCTTGAGATTAAAATTGCTTCATATCTGTCTTCCTTCCTTTACTATATCCTTATATACAACTTTTCTTTTATATACTACCACCACCACCACTAAATTAACTACTTCTATGAATCCGGTGTTCATCTTGTTGTGCTAACTGAGGAGTCTCACAATAGGACGAAATGGCCATCCAGTGCTTTTAGGTTTTCGATCATGGTCTAGCTTCAATTGACTCATGATCTTAACTATATAAAATTACTAAAATCTGCACAAAACCCCCTTGTGATAATAATAAGTTTTGATTAGGATGTTGCTTTGTACACCAACAACATTCAATGTCACTTTTACAATATGTACATGACTGAACTATATTTGAATTCCTAATCTATTTCAATTCATTATTAAGCTTTTATCCTTTTTTCTTGATCCTTCTCTCTTGTTAGAACATTATGATGGAATACGTCAAAGATCACTTCAACCAACCTATTATAATCTTAATACTTTACAAGAAAAGCATAAAACCAGTGGTCGACGTTTAAATTTTATTCCTTCTTCAGATGAACATTTAGTAAGTTATTTACAATTAATTATGTAATCATATATAAAGGTTATATTTCCTAAAGGTACTTGAATGTTTGTAAAGTAATCTAAAGGAAAACACACACACACACAAAAGAAAAGATAGTAACTAACCAATACTTATGTTGTTATGATTGTTTTTATTTATATTTTACATAAACCGATCAATAAAATCACGTGGCAATATTTGTATCCTATGATAAAGGTATTTATTTTCACTTTGTTTGTTTATCAATAATAAAGTACTTTTATCGATTTATTATTTTGTTCTAATTTTTGGTTAAAGATAATTGATCAATGTATTTTAGGTGATGATAATCAGTTACAATGTGAATATTATTATTATTATCAGAAGGGGTTTCTGTGGAGATTTGAGTATTTTCATCGTTGAAATTGTGAGTCAATTGAAGCTAGACTACCATGGAAAGCCTGGAAGCACTGCTTGACGGCTGTTTCGTCCTATTGTGGGACTCCTCAGCAGTGCGCATTCATGATCCCGCACTCGCGAGATTCGAACACAGTACCTATCAGTCTCACGCCAGAGCACTTAACCGATAAACCACTGAGCCGGCATCCCATGATTTTTATGTCTTACTCCAACCAATCCACGAAGTTGAGCAACCTTTCACCAATCGTCTTCAGTTAGTTGATATCTCTCAACAGACGTGGTTTGAACTCCATTGGTCACTGCTTCTCGAAGTCAGTCACTAGTGAGCATATGATTATTATTTTCAGAAGGGGTTTTTGTGGAGATTTAGTATTTTCATAGTTGAAAGCGTGAGTCAATTGAATAGTTTATTACTTGTCATTTATGTATAAGTAGTTTCAATGAAACTATAAAATATATGGACGACCTTTGAGCGACGCCTTGATGGCCTTCAGAATGTTCACCTTCTTAATAGAGTTAAATGAAGTTTATATAACAGTTTGAAGAGTAAGGAATATGATTTACAGATGATTGTTTGGATTAGTAACTAGATTTAAAGTTTTTATCACGAACTGACATCAGCTAAAATGCTAAAACGCTATTTGACGGAATGGATAAATGAATTCCGTGCCAAAATTCACGATCTGATATCTGATTGGTTAGTTCGTAAATTGTAGTCTTATATTTTTATACTGTGTTAATACTAGTTAAAATCGATGAAATGTACAATGCAGAAATAGTTACCTCTCTCACCAATCGATATTCAGTAGAATTACGTCAGAAGATGCGGTCTTATGACAGCCAGTGTCCAAGATCAGGTTCATGCACCAATAGATTCTTCATGATCTTGGAGCACATGCATACCATTGGTTTGAAATCAGAATTTTTCAACTAAGGTGGATCCTATGTACCCGTCAACCCAGTTTAAGCACTAGCCATTCGTCTTTCATCCTGGCTGGTGCTAGTCATCAGGAAACGATCTTTATAAGTACAAAGCATACTTCCAACCTTAAGGAAACTGATAATTTTCATGGAATCCGAATCCACATCACCCAGTTTAACATTATGAAATTATACAACTGAACTATTGGGACCTCACTTGACATCCTGTATGTCTGACATATCTACATTAGTTGATCACTGAGCAGTAATCAATGTCAAGTTTGTCCCACTAACTGCCTTAAACTAACTACCACCCGAAAGAAAAGGTATCCCCGTACTTTAATTTATACAGTAAGAAAAGTAAGACTAGTTAAACAGTAATTTCTACAAACTTTTCATATATTCTGGTTGGTATTCTCTTTCTTAAATCCCTTAATGTAGGTTAGATCTAGTTATTCGTCATCCATTCAAACAATGGGAAGGAAATCAATATTAAAATCAAAATCCAAATCTGACGTATCATCAATGACATCAAGAATCAGTGATCCTGATTATTTTATAATTCATGGAATGTTTATTCCAATGAAAATAATGGTAAGACGTTCTTCATTTATGTGAAATTTGATTCATAACGATATCAGCAGCATACACCTCAGGTAGAAGTGAAGTGTTCAAATCTCTTCACAGATGACTCTATTCATCATGGCCATGTTTCACACTCATAAAGTAGAACAGAGAGAACTGTTCCGCAACAAACTTGTCCTTTGTTTGGTAGTTGGACATCTCTCCTGCGTCGCAAATGACTCAGGTCGACAAAGGTAGTCGAGATTTCTTCAGACACTAGACCAGCAGGACATATAAGACTCGCGATAAGTACAGCAGTCGATACGTTGAACTACTTCACTCTTCTTATGATCAAATCAAGAACTGACACAAACCAATTCTGAAGCAAAATTTTGCACTTGGAAGGAGAGAACCACATCTTAAAAATGATTGTATTGTTGCTTAAGGTAGTCAAAATCTCTTCATTTTGTCAGTGCGTTCATCAAACATAACTGCATCATCTACGTATTCTAAGTCAACAAGTGAATCTCGTGGTAAAGGACCCATCTCTGGAAAGTTAGATGACGAGTGTTAGCTCTAAATGCATATCTATGATGAAGTTTAGTAAAGACGAGAAAAGTAGATATTCCTGAAGAACACCATTTGAGGTAATCAATTCCAATGACAGTTCTCCATAAGTTCCAGTGGACAACCTGTACAAGGTTGGTGTACTTCTTTGGTACGCGTAAAATAGAACCGCATTATCAACAGAGTCAGATATAGAAAAGTACATTTAAAAACGTGCCGAAAGTTGAATATTTGGTCTATTTATGCACGTCCAGGTCTGGAACCAGTCTGTTTCTCTTGGATTTGCTCTCCACGAGCTCTAGTTATGTGTGGAAGTATTATTAAGTCTATTATTTCATACTGTATATTAGTTAAATTGATTCCTCTGTTATTGTCACAAGAGGACATTGATCCTTTCTTATCGACTAAAACGATCAGTGATTAAAATTGATCAGATGGAATTGCGTTCAGTTACCAAACAAGCTAAGATCTAAGTCAGTCTTACAGCTAAAACTGGACTACTATCATTAGAGTTCTCAGATGTCAATCCATCAGCCCCTACTGCTTCCCCTTATTTTAGATTCCACTCCACTCCGCTAACCGACTGACTATCTAACTTTGTACGTTGATCAATAGGCTAAAAGGTGTTACTTATTTGAAAAAAAATCATACAATATCCAAGATTCAGATCTGATATGTTGTCAGTATTAGGAATAGAATTTGCCTTTAATTTATATAGCAATAAATAATGACATTATGGATATCTACATATGTAGGGATCCCGTTAAGTTCTGTGAATTAGTTAGTTCAATTAAAGTGAAGCTTTCATCGTATACATACATACGTATTGATATAATATTATAATGTTAGCAGTCGTTTACTCATCATAAAATTTTTTTTATTTGTAAAATGTAATTAAACATTAGTGACAACTGATTCTCGTGTATTATTTCATCGTTGAATCCATGAGTCGATCTAAGTTAGACCACTGTTGAAAACCTGAAAGAGCTGGACGGCTGTTTCGTCCTAGTATGAGACTCCTCAGAAATGCACATCCACGATCCCACAGGCGGTACTCGAATCCAAGACCTTCGATCTCGCATGAAAACTCCTAACTTCTAAACCACTAAGCCGGCATCATATCTTTTATATCTTTAGGAATCAACTGAAGAACACTTTCAGCATGATCTAATAGTGACTGAAAAATAATTATAGATGATTGAATTAATAAAATGAATTCTTATTTCATTTGGATTTTAATTAATTCACTTCATGTATTGTTAACCTCTTCATAAAACCTAAAGATTCCAAGTTGTGTTGTTTTCAATATTACTTTGTGTCGTTTTAAGTTCAGTTATAACAGTGCCCCAAATGCCCTGGTACGGCCGAGAGTGGGAAGAGTCCGCTCTTCCTCTCAAAATGCTATCACATGGCCACGCGTATATAGCCTTTGTTAGGGAAGTTTTACTCACTGCCTTCTCGTGGCGGAGGTGTTGTTTATGAAATTGAGGGAATGAAAAGCGACTGTCCGGCGCTTTAACCGGGTTGATGAACACGGTGGGTCCAACTAGGGGAGTTGGGAAACCCTGATTCCAATCCAATGGGACACATGGGCTCCAGTATCCTGAGGGAACAAATGGCGTATGAACCAATTGTTGATGACCGGCTAGCATGAAACTGCATCACCTTACGATGTTCCACTGCCTTATGGATCAGACCTTTAGGTCAAAGGCTCCGGGTGTGGTCCCGTAAGAAAACCAACTGCTTCAGTTTGGGCACGTAGGAGCATATATATTTCTGATGCCCCTTTGTACCAATATGTATATGTTTAAATAAATAAGTTATAGCACTTTCATAATGGTTATTATTATTGTTTGTTTATTTGTTTATTAGCAATCTATTTCATCACAAACAGTAAAACATAAAAAACTATCATGTCTTCCACGGAACACATTCAATTGTGGTCCAATATTAAAACGTTCATCCATTCATCAGCATTCACGTAAACGTTATCATTCATCTACTGATTATACAAATCAATCATTATCTACTAGTTCTTGTGTAAATGATCAATCAATTAATAGTAGAACAATTACATCAACGTTGACACCGACGCCAAGAACACCCACACCGACATCAACAACACCGACAGCAACAGTACCGACAACAACTCTAACAGATTCATCTAAACAATTAGATAACAATAATAATCCAAATATTATTATATCACATTGGAATGAATTAGAAGAAGGACAACAAAAATTACATCATGCATCCATGTCTATCATCAAAGATTATGAATATTATCATAATAAATCATTATCTCTATCAGTTTCTTCAACAATGAATAATGATAATGATATACAATATAATGAAAAACAATCATTATTATATGAATATCAATCTAATAATAATACTACTGATAATACTACTGATAACATCAATAGTAGTAATATTCATCATCAATTACCAGAAAGTTCAACATCAGCATCAACATCATCATCATTGTCATATTCAAGTTATCATTCAAATTCACATCCTCATTCATATAACAGTCGTATGATGATGAAATCAAGAAAATTAAAATTTCATTCACGTTTTCTTAATTTATTTAAATCAAATTTTAAAAAATCTTGATTACTTTTATTGATTTATTGATTATTTTCATTGATTTTCATTGATTTCTTATAATTTTATTACCACTTTGTTTATTGTTACTATCCTGTTATTGTGGTTGTTGTTGTTGTTGTTTTTGCCATGGCTGAATTTATTTTTTCAATAAAAAGAATTATAAATGAAAAGAAAAGAAACAAAATATTGATAGACTGAGTGTGTGTGTGTGTGTGAATGTGTGTTATTTTTCTTTTCTTTTTAATTGTTATACAAATACCTGTGATGTTGTTTGATTGAATTGATTTGTTTAAATGTGTTAATTTAATACTTACCTACTTACTTATTCACCCACTTACTTACTTACCTACTTACTCACCCACTTACTTACGTACGTTCTTACTTACTTACTTACTTACTTACTCATTGACTTGGATACTATTTTACACATTGATAGGCATTAGGTAAACATTTTCTAGTTTACTAAATGACTGATTTACTTATTATTATCTTATTTTTTGTTTGTTTTAATATACAAATGATTCATTGAAAAAGGAGATGTGTACAGTTTTCTTGTTTTCTTCCTATATATCACAGAGGATTTCTCTACTGTCATTGTTCGTTGTTGTTGTTGTTGTGACTTATGATGTACTTGATGTAGTTTGTACATGATCTATCTGCTTATCATTATCATCATTTTATTCTTAAACAAAGAATCCTTAAATGTTGTATTATTATGTAATAGATTACATTAGATTATTGTTCTTATTTAATATATTCTATTTTTTAATAGTTATTTATTGAAATGCTTCACATATACGCTGATCAGGATGATGATGATGATGATGAGTATCATGTGATTCATGCATTTTTGTGTGGTCTTTCTCTTCTTCTATCCAACTGTTATCTATCTTATCCTTCAATGTTATAGTTACTATGACAACTTCATGTTGTTCAGTTTATTGTGTGTCTGTGTGTGTGTGTGTATAACGAAATTGCCAAAATCTGTTTATAGCGCCATTTTCTATTACATTTTCATATTTTGATTGATTGATATATTCTATACTTATTCAACTTTTGCTTTATTCTTTTCACTTATTTATGGATTTTTGTTCTTGTTGTTGATTTTTATGAAAAATTTTCATGATTATTTTTTTTTCGGAGGGGGGGGGTTGTTTGTTTTTTAAAAAAAAGAGAGAATAAACAATCATCTCACTTATTAGGGGGGGGGATGTTTCTTTGTTTAGATAATGTTTATGTATCTATATACATATATAATGAGTTTTTATGATCAATGTCACTTTCAACTCTACAATGTTTAGATCAGTATTGTGTGTATGTGTATGTGTGTGTGAATGAGGGTTAGTGATTTCGATCTGTATTACATTCGTTGAACATTGACATTAGATTAATTGTTATATAACAGTTTTTAGGCTGTGAATAAACATCTTCATCATCATCATTATGTTAACCTTCATTATTGTTGTTACTATCCTCCTCATTATCATCATCATTAGTAGTATTATGAATTTCATTTTCATTGTTACCATTCATTCAGATTAAGTAAATAGATAAATAAATATCTTGTGGATATATTGTGTATTTTGATTTAATGATGACAAAAAAACAGTAATGATTTTAAGCAAAGATGGATAATGCCTAGTAGTGGAATCCAGTTTGATGAGCGTCACTTCGTCCTATTTGGGATTCGTCAGCTGAATGTACCTACATCTCACAGTTGACGTTCACTCTGGGAGTCGAATCTAGTACCTTTCGCTTCAAACGCCATCTCATTATGATGTAGGTTTGTTCTCTGAGCTCGATGGTTTGGTCGTGGAGCACAAACTTTGGGTATAAATGAAGTGTTTGAATTTCACCTCATGTGATTCACAGCTTTCCCTGTACACCTCAATTTTGATTGGTTCTTATTGACCTTAAATCTGTCATTGTTTATTTCTTTAATTGCTTGCACTGATTGGATGGTTGTGCTGATGCTGTCGTTCAGAAGGACGATGAAAACTCCACGACCAAACCATCCAGCTCAGAGAACAAACCTACATCAAAATCACCCACCTGAGCTACAAATCTTCTCAACCATCTCAAAGCCATCTCATTATCCACTCAGCTACTGAGTCCTGATAGGTACTTGCTTGTGCAATGGGGTGAAGTTTTGAATTCACTTAGTATTGTTTGCTTGAATTTGACTAGTTGCAGTCTTAAACATCAATGGGAAGATTCAAACAAACAATACTAAGTGAAGTAATGATTTTAGATAAATGAATGAGTTCAAAATTAAAATTGTATGAAAGAAATACTCTATGAAACGACTTTGATAAATTATAGAGATCATTTTCATTATAGGGTTGTAGAGAATGTTGGATTTTATTGAAATCATGGACCTATTCATCTTAGACTACGATTGAAAAGCTGGAAACACTGAACGGATGTTTTATCCTAACATAAAACTTCTCGTCAGTGCTCACCCACTTTCCCGCACCCGAGTCTCCAACCCTGGACTCGCAGTTTCACTTGGAAATGATCACATAATGTCGTGGGTTGATCGAATCTAGACATCAACACCATTGGATGCTGACCTAGTGGTCTAGAGTTTGTGAACGGTTCTGCCCGATGCTGAGGAGTCACATACTACGACGAAACTTTATCCAGTACTTCTAACACTTCAATCGTGGTCTTATACTGATCGGTTCATGGTTTCAATGAAACTCAACAATTTCCACAACTGTTTATCGACAACATTAAGTAACTGTTTGTTGCTGACAGAGAGTTCCAATCAAAATTTCAAGCTTTGCAATAAACAAAATTAAGCGAGTACAAAATACTTGGTCAATTTGTTGAAAACTACTGTTCAGTATATCAAAAGTGAATCATAGTAAAACGCTTAATATGATTATTTAATTAGTGTCTTCGAAAATAGTGATTGACTTCTTGTTAAGAATAGAGGTTGAATTAAGTTAGTCATGATAATAGAACACTCAGTCTGAAAACTTCTGAAGCTAGTAGTGAAGTTCTCAACGTAACACTTTGTCTTTTTGAAAGTTTTTTAAAAGCTTGAATTATTGTTGAAAGTGTGAGTCAATTGAAACTAGACCACCATCGAAAACCTGCGAGCACTGCTTGACGGACGTTTCGTCCTATTATAAGACTCCTCAGCAGTGCGCATCCACGATCACACCTCGCAAGATTCGAATCCAGGACTTATCAAAAAATTTCAATGATGATAGTTCTTATGTCATTATAATAAGTAATTTAGTTGAAAAAACAAGATATGTGAAATAAACAAGTTTGAATTTCATAACATATCAATATAGTACATTGAAGATGTCAGCTAACATAGTAATACACCTAGTAATGATCCATAACATGAATTGAAAATCTAACACCAGTAAGTAACAAATCTCAACTTCTGTTGTGTCATATGCTTTGTTAATTATTATATCACATGATATCATTTTCAATTAGAACACCCATTTATAAGCCTTTGGCACAGTGCCAAATTAATGATGCGTTAACCAGTACGAGCAGCCTAAATTCAATCTGTGAGTTCTAATTGATCTTTCCCCTTAGCGCTACCTGCTGAGCTCAGAACATAGCTTTCACTATATGAATCATATATTTCAGATATACATGATTTATATACAAGCAAATCATGCCATATAATAGAAAATAACAATTATGCAAGACTAAGAAAAAAGCATCTGAGTGTGAAAGATTGTAACTAATAAGTTGGGAATAACTTATGAATAATAAATCGTATAATAGTAGTCGATAGGTCAAGTAAAAAGCTTATAATAAGAGAAATGTTACTTACTCACTTACGCCTGTTACTCCCAATGGAGCATAGACCGCCGACCAGCATTCTCCAACCTACTCTGTCCTCAGCCTTCCTTTTTAGTTGTATCCAACTTTTGTTCATTCTTCTCATGTCTGTCTCCATTTCTCGGCGTAATGTGATCATTGGTCTTCCTCTTCTCCTCCTTTGGCCTTCAGGATTCCATGTGAAGGCTTGTCTTGTGACGCAGTTGAGTGATTTCCTCAGTGTGTGTATTATCCACTTCCAGCGCACCTTCCTGATTTCTTCCTTCACTGGAATCTGGTTTGTTCTTTCCTACAGTAACTTGTTGCTGATAGTGTCTGAATAAGAGGAATATAAATACATATAATCTAATTACTCAATAGCTATACAATATGGATATATTGTATAATATTAGTCCACAAATGACTCTCAGAAATTATTCATATTTTAATCTTTATTAAGATATAAAAACTTCAAGGTATCCTCCTAGAATGCAAAACAATCGATTGAAAAGTAAAAACAAACAACTCCGGTAGGAGAAGAATTCTTGTTGTTAGTAATGATGACTAGACCAATTGGAAGAAAACTAAATCGGAAAGTAGCGGATAAGCTGTGTATTGAAGACAAAACTCCCCGATATAATTGAACGTTTCGGTGGTAAGTAACAATCTGTTGGAAAGCTGGGTGGTTTACGATAAACAAAAGTGGGTGGAGTGCTACTGGTTTCTGTGGCTTGGTATTATATTAGCCGAATTATGTTGTTTGTATTGGGACAACAAGTCTACGTGAGGAAGAATCTTCCTTTAAGAGCATTGTTTGACTCAATTAAAGACATAGAAACAGTCAACGAAGAGTTTAGCAACCGATCGTTACGGTGTCTTAGGAGTTAAGTTGCAAAACTGAAAAGTCACTGTCTGTACGAGAAGCTGAGACAGATTCGATGTTAAATTCCTGATTCACTTGACAAAAAGAATATAATTATGTACTACTTAAAACTAACAAGTTGATAAGTAGTAGACTTTTCAGTTTAACACAGCAACTCCTAAGACACCGTAACGATCGGTTGCTAAACTCTTCGTTGACTGTTTCTATGTCTTTAATTAAATCAAACAATGCTCTTAAAGGAAGATTCTTCCTCACGTAGACTTGTTGTCCCAATACAAACAACATAATTTGGCTAATATAATACCAAGCCACAGAAACCAGTAGCACTCCACCCACTTTTGTTTATCGTAAACCACACAGCTTTCCAACAGACTGTTGCTCACCACCGAAACGTTGAATTATATCGGGGAGTCTTGTCTTTTTACTTTCTGATTTTGTTTTCCTCAAATTGGTCTAGTCATCATTACTAACAACAGAAATTCTTCTCTGACCCGAGTTGTTTATTTTCACTTTTCGATCGATTGTTTTGCGTTCTAGGAGGACACCTTGAAGTTGTTATATCCTAACAAAGATTAAACTATGGATAACTTCTGAGAGCTATTTATGGTCTAATATTATACAATATATTCATATTATATAACTATTGAGTAACTAGATAATATGTATTTATATTCCTCTTATTCAGACACTATCAGCAACAAGTTACTGTAGGAAAGAACAAACCAGATTCCAGTGAAGGAAGAAATCAGTAAGAAGCTCTGGAAGTGGATAGGACACACATTGAGGAAATCACCCAACTGTGTCACAAGACAAGCCCTCACATGGAATCCTGAAGGCCAAAGGAGGAGAAGAGGAAGACCAATGATCACATTACGCCGAGAAATGGAGACAGACATGAGAAGAATGAACAAAAGTTGGATACAACTAAAAAGGAAGGCTGAGGACAGAGTAGGTTGGAGAATGCTGGTCGGCGGTCTATGCTCCATTGGGAGTAACAGGCGTAAGTGAGTAAGTAACATTTCTCTTATTATAAGCTTTTTACTTGACCTATCGACTACTATTATACGATTTATTATTCATAAGTTATTCCCAACTTATTAGTTACAATCTTTCACACTCAGATGCTTTTTTCTTAGTCTTGCATAATTGTTATTTTCTATTATATGGCATGATTTGCTTGTATATAAATCATGTATATCTGAAATATATGATTCATATAGTGAAAGCTATGTTCTGAGCTCAGCAGGTAGCGCTAAGGGGAAAGATCAATTAGAACTCACAGATTGAATTTAGGCCGCTCGTACTGGTTAACGCATCATTAATTTGGCACTGTGCCAAAGGCTTATAAATGGGTGTTCTAATTGAAAATGATATCATGCGATATAATAATTAACAAAGCATATGACACAACAGAAGTTGAGATTTGTTACTTACTGGTGTTAGATTTTCGATTCATGTTATGGATCATTACTAGGTGTATTACTACGGGAAATGGTAGCTAACATTAATTTATAGCCCTTAGATGCTCTAAAATAAGAACAGAAATCTTGATATGTTATGAAATCCAAACTTGGTTATTTCACATATCTTGTTTTTTTCAACTAAATTACTTATTATAATGACATAAGAACTATCATCATTGAAGTTTATTGATAAGTCCTGGATTCGAATCTTGCTAGGCGGGATCATGGGTGCCCACTGTTGAAGAGTCTTAGAATAGGACGAAACGGCCTTTCAGTGCTTCCGGGTTTTCCAAGGGGGTCTAGCATCAATTGATTCATGATTTCAATGATGGAAAATTATTAAAATCTCTACAAAACCCCCCTTCTGATTATTGATTCATATTTATTGATTAAAAACAATTGAATAAGAATTTTACAACACTTATCCATGA